GCCATAGTATCATCGCCATCCCACAGGCAAATCTGTAGCATACGTGTGCTGTGAAAGTATGTTAGCAGGGAGGTGCTAATCTCAGGCAAGCTAATGCTAGCTAGCACAGTAAGAAAGTGTCTTTATATAGAACATTTGTGGCCCCTACAAGCCTTTCACACACAGAATGACTTCATCATGGCCCAATCCCTGTTTCTGCTCTACTCACAGTCAAGCTGCTGACCCTCTTCCTGCAACTAGCACTGATCATTCATATATTCAAGGGGCAGCTTCTCTTTCAGAAGTTGCCCAAAGGCATTTTGAAGTGATTAGTGATGACAGCTACAAAGATGTGGATCATGAAAACAGCATGAGATGTGGTGTAGGATTAGACCTGGAGGTCATGACCCTGATTTTCTTGATCACAGCATTCCAGATCTCCAAGTCTCAGTGACAGCATTCCAGACTTCACCTGCAAACATGCTGAGAAAGTTCAAAACGTTTGAGGCACAGAGGAGGTAGAGTTACTGACTGTGTCTCTTTAGGTTACAACGTCTTCCATAAACAGTAGAGATGAACTGAGAAACTTGTAGAACCAAGCAGTCAAAAGGTAATTATATATATATTATATATATATATGTGTATATATATATATATATATATATATTAGGGGTGGGAATCTTTAGGCACCTCACGATTCGATTACGATTCAGAGGGCTGCGATGCGATTATAAAACAATTATCGATGCATCTCGATGCATCTTTTTTCTCTATACAGGATTTCTATCTTCCTACTGTCTGAGGACTTGGTAGTTTTAAAGCAAAGTATTTGTAATGATCCATAATGTAAATGCATTACGGATCATTACAAATACTTTAATTATCTAAAATATCTTTTATTAATAAATCAAATGGAAGTGATGTGGCAAGTGAACTAGAAGGCTCTCATTCAGAGACGCTGCTGCCACTCATCTGCGATAAAATGCGCTGTTACCCTGAAATAAGATCCAGTGGTAATGGGTGTCCACGCAGCGCGTTACAGCCATCCTTCCCGTTTTCTTTAGTGATTTTATAACTTCGGTTTTCGTCTCGTTGTAGAGACAGAGAGAGAGTGTGTGTGTGTGTGTGTGTGTGTGTGTGTGGGGGGTGTATTTTCGAGACTGGACGCTGAATCTCAGCTCCAAAGTGTGCAGCATAGCGCGAAAGCCCTGGTTCTCAACGACTGAGAACAGACAGCAGACAGCAGGTCACAGAGCACCGAGGTCTGGCCTCGCCAGCAGCGAACGAAAAAACAGATTAAGACGAACATTTGGAGGACTTATTCGCATTTATAAGCAGCGCGGTTGGTTAAATCTGCAATGAGAGACTGTCTTTCTCTAAAAAGTTGCGAAAATGAACTCTTTCAGTCAAACCACCTCCGAAGGTGGTTTGACTTGAAAAGGCAAAATGGCTCTTCTTATCATTTGTGTTGTGACTCCTGACCTAACCTGGCTTTTAATGCAGAGGGAGCCGGTCGGATTTCTCGCTCCTCCAGTAGTGTTTTTGTTATGTGCCGCCACAGACCGTCCGGGCGCTGCACTTACCCACTTCCAGTTCCGCCTTTTGTGTTCAGTGAACATTACGGTATAAATTAAATATTTAGAAAATTGATTTTTGAGTTTTTCCCGCACCCCTAATATATATATATATATATATACATATATATATATATATATATATATATATATATATATATATATATATATATATATATATATGATACATATATTATAGATGGGTCATTCTACAGAAACATCCACTTTTCTATCTGTCCATAGGTGTCACTGGTGTTACCACTCCTCATTGGTGTAACACATAAGAAAGATAACATATTTAATGAAAAATACATTTTACTACATGGCTGCTACAGAGTATCAAACCACATGTTGTCAATCATGGAATATCCACTAAAATATGTAATTTAATCCATTTGTATTCAATTTTTTCACAATTACCTAAGAATAAAGTAGGTCATACCAGTGACATCAACTAAAAGCTTCATATGACATCATGAGAAAATGAGAAATGAGAACATTTCTGATAACTGAAAAGACTCAGTGGACTCACCATGTGCTTTTCTTCACAGATCCTCAGAAAATAGGTAAAAGGAAGTCAGATGATGTCATCAGTGTGATTTTTTCTTTCAAAATAAGAGATTTTTTATTATGCAGTAACACCAGTGACATTCCTGGAGACCACATCTTTCATTATGTAGTTTATAATATTTATTTGACATTTGTTTTCTTTATGTCATTTAGTTTATATATTCCATAGTCATGTATAGATTATTGTAGTTAAAATTGCAGAAAAAGATGTTTTTTTATTTGTAAAAATTTGTTTTATTGTAACCCTAACATGTTTTTTCAAGTGTAATATATCTGTAAACGCTAGGGACACAAAAATAGACGTTTCTGTAGAATGGCCCATATATATTCTGAGAAAACTTCAGAAAGTCATTCATTCAATTCAGTTGATTCAAAAGATGTAGTGTTGGCTTTCAGTGAGGGAACTTTTAGAGGCATTAAACTCTTCAGACGCCGGGTTCCTATCACCAGGACTGTAACGAAATCAAAGTCGGCAAGTTTCTCTACAATGAACCAATTCACATCAAACCACTCTGGAAGATTTTGTTTACTTCTTAAGTCAAGTCAAGTCAATTCAAAGTTTATTTATAAAGCGCTTTTTACAACAGGTGTTGTCACAAAGCAGCTTTACAGAAAAATCCGGGTCCGAGCCCCCATGTGCGTCGCTAGTGGCGACAGTGGCAAAGAGAAACTCCCTAAGAGCAAGAGGAAGAAACCTTGAGAGGAACCAAGACTCAAAAGGGGAACCCATCCTCCTCTGGTCGACACTGAATAGCAAAGGGGCTCATGTCGCACATTTTTTATTTTTATTTGATGCTCATAATATTTTTGTGGTTTTATGTACCAAACATGGTCATAATTCAGTAATTCACAGGTTTTTTTTGCCTGACTTGAAACACAAAACATGAATGAGTGGAGCTAAACTGCTGTAGGCTGAATAGGCAGATATATGCAAATGACTTGGCTGACATCACAGAAAGAATGAATTCAGAATGGGCTGTTTTGGACATCTTTGGACTGGGTAGTGAACAGTACACTTTGAAGCTTGAACAGTGTTTACATGTTGCTTCAAACTGATTTATTTAAAATAATGAGGAAATTTGGTTTTCCATGATATGGGCCCATGATATTATGCAGAAATTAAAAAAAAATCTGTGGAATCTGCCTTTAAAATGCAGCAGTCCTTCTTATAGTTTTTATTGATGTGAAGGTTTATAATATTTACGATGGGTGATACTGTGGTCTTATTTCCTTTTGTGATTTTTATAAAAGGTCAACAGAAGAATAGCTACATTAGCCTCATACAGAAGGGCATTTCAGGAAAGGATGTTGCTCTTTCTTTAAATGCGACCTGAATCAATTTTGCTCTCAAACGACTTTCAGCTGAAATATTTATGAGCCAAAAACTAAAAGGCTCCTTTAGTGCGCTGAATGAGCGAGAATTGAATTTAACAGGCCGTGCGCACGTCCTGTCTGGCTTGTCCCGCAGACGCATTTAGCGTTGTTGACTCGTCTCTGCACTTAGACAGTCCTGCCCAAAGTCAAAGCAGACAACATGGTTTGATTGTAGTCTGGAAACACCAAGAGGTTGACCTTAGTTGTTGTGTCAGATGGTAAAACGCGGTGAAAAAGAAGCTAACGTTGACTCAGACAGAGGCAAAAAAGTGTAATGCTCAAGATGTCTTGTTAAAGGAATAGTTCAGTGAAATGTTCCCATCTACACAACTATCCCAAATATAGTCAGTCAGCCAAGACGTGTCTGAAGTTTGCTTTCTTTATAGCCTCTAATGGAGCTGCAAGGCTTATAGCTAACAAGTAATGGAAGCTTATACCCCATCAAAAAGCATCTTACAAACTACGTGCTTAAATCATTGTGTATATGCATCAAGTGTTGTTTAATAACATTAAATAGACTTGCTTATGCGGTAATGCCAGGAGAACATTACCTGCCTGACTACATTGTGCCAAAAGTTTGGTGGAGGAGGAATAATGCTATGGGGTTGTTTTTCAGGGGTTGGCCTAGACTCCTTAGTTCCAGTAAAGGGAAATCTTAATGCTTCAGTAGACCAAGACATTTTGGACAATTCTATGCTTCCAACGTTGTGGGGAACAGTTTGGGGAAGAACCTTTTCTGTTCCAGTAGTATGACTGAGCCCCAGTGCACAGAGCAAGGTCCATAAAGGCCTGGCTGGGTGAGTTTGGTGTGGAAGAACTTAACTGGCCCTCACAGAGCCCTGACCTCAACCCCATCGAACATCTTTGGGCTTAACTAGAACATTCTCTTCTGAATGAATGGACAAAAGTTCCCACAGACACACTCTAAAATCTTGGAGAAAGCTTCCCAGAAGAGTGGCACCAACTTCATATTAATGCCTATGGATTTAGAATGGTATGTCATAAAAGCCCCTGTAGGTGTAATGTGTACATGTCCCAACACTTTTGTCCATATAGTATAAGTACAGGTATGGTCCATTGCGTCAGAGACGCGTTGTGAATCACTCAAACCGCCTTCAGAGGTGGTCAACATCGCATATGACCAGATAACAATTATATTTTGAACGCTAGAGTATCCCAGTGTGTCACTGACAGCAAGAAGGATCAGCTGCATCATCACAGCAGGGATGAAAACAGGTGTATAGCTTAGCTCCTTATCTCCTCTCCTGTTTGTTTAGCAGTTATTTTAGCCGTCCACCGAATCCATAACTTGTAAACGAACAAGCACTCCTGGTACGTTTTGTTGTATGTAGTATACATTATTTGGCTTAAGCTTTAAGGAAAGGAACTGTTTGCTGAGCTAGAAAGGAAAATGTTTTAAGACTGAATGTTCACTACATTATTATAAACCTCAGTGTTTAAAACCACATAAAACACTCAAACCTGCTTTGTGCTGTTTTACAGGAGAAGCCATTAACAAAGTCACTGCAGAGAGGAGAGGATCCGCAGTTTGACCAAGTAAGTGTGTGACTGAGCCAGCTGTCTACCACCTCTCTCTCTCTCTCTCTCTCTCTCTCTCTCTCTCTCTCTCTCGCTCTATGTGTCTATCTATCTCTTGGCCTGTCTCTCTCTCTCACACATTTTCCTAGAAATCTCTAAATGTCAGTGCAGACGGGAACCGTTCAGACTGACCTGCTGAGCCAAAGATTAATCAGCCTTTGTGCATTATTGAAATGCGTATAGATCTGTCTGGCCTACTTGCAGACACATTAACAATGGGAGTGATGTGGAAAGCCAAATGATACAGAAAGCCACCTGTATATTACAGTGTACATTTAGAACATCCTCAGGCTGTAGTGTCAGGTTTCCTACATCAGGCAGTTTGTGATCAGTATTATTTGTTTCCTAGAGAACAGTCCTCTCAGACTTTAGCTTCTTTATTCATCATGAGATCATCCTGATTATTTAAGTGTTTAGGCTGAACATATGCTGGTCAAACAGAGATCATTATAACATTCTATGGCAAAACATATCTTGAAATGTACTGAAGAGGAATATTGTGTGAGTACAGGGGATGGACGTACAGGCTTATTGAGGCTCACAGTGCAGTGTTTGTGTGGTCACTGGTCTTTCAGCTGCAGCTCACAGAGAGAGGATTCTTCTCTCAGAGTTTAGTACTGAATGAAGGGATCAGTCTGTTTTCGGTAAACCATAAACCTTCTCTTCTCTTCTCTTCTCTTCTCTTCTCTTCTCTTCTCTTCTCTTCTCTTCTCTTCTCTTCTCTTCTCTGCTCTGCTCTGCTCTTCTCTTCTCCTCTTCTCTTCTCTTCTTTTCTCTCCTCTTCTCTTGTCTTCTCTCCTTCTCTCCTCTTCTCTTCTCTTCTCTCCCCGTCTCTTCTCTTCTCTCATTTTCTCTCCTCTTCTCTTCTCTTCTTCTCTTCTCTTCTCTCCTCTTCTCTTCTCTTCTCTTCTCTCTCTTCTCTTCTCTTCTCTTCTCTCCTCTTCTCTTCTCTTCTCTCCTCGTCTCTCCTCTTCTCTTCTCTTGTCTTCTTCTCTTCTCTCCTCTTCTCTTCTCTTCTCTTCTCTTCTCTCCTCTTCTCTTCTCTTCTCTTCTCTTCTCTATAAGGGCATTTAAAGGTTAATTATTGCACAATTTTAGAAATAGTGTTATAGACATGTATCACATATCCAAAATTGATGTGAGTTCTGCTGTGTTAGCCATACCCATTGCTAGAACACAACCATACAGCCTCTATAGACAAACATTGACAGTAGAATGGGTCATACTGAGGAGTCATGGACTATCATAGGAATGCCCCACCAGTAATTAATTGTAAGTGCTTTTATTGGGAAGTAGAAACATCCAGGAGCAACATCTTTAAGTACTGTTATTGGGAAGTGGAAACATATAGAAGCAACAACAGTTCATCTGCAAAGTGGTTGGCCTCACAAGCTCACTAAGTGCTGAAGCAGCTCTCATTATTGAGTCCCAAACTGTATCTGGAAGTAGCATCAGCAAAAAAAAGAAGGTCATCAGGTGTTTCATGGATTGTGCTTCCATGGCTGAGCAGCAGCAGCACACAAGCCTAAGATCACCATGTGCAATGCCAAGGGCCGTCTGGAGTGGTGTAAAGCACGCCACCATTGGACTAGAGTGATGAATCATGCTTCGTTTTCTAGCGGTCTGATAGATGACTCTGGTTTGGCGAATGCAGGAGAATGCTCCCTTATTGCAATGCCAACTGTAAAGGTTGGTGGAAGAGGAATAATGGGCTGGGGCTGTTTTTATGGGTGGGCCGGCCAACATAATGGATATATAACTTTCAAACCCACTATGTCTCACTGTCATAACGCTGCAACACCCTTCACTATAAACCTTGCATCCACTCACTACAGGTACAGCAAATGCTCAATGAAGACAACATAACTGAGTTAAATTCAGACAGCTGAGATGAACAAAGATGAGGAAAAACAGCACAGCAAACTTAAAAACCTAAATCTAACCATTGTGGGCTAGTGTATACAGCCATAGCGGGCATGAAAAATGTATATGGACCATTTGTGTCTTATCTTTGATGATTTGAATGCATTGAAATAGATGTGTGCTTTAATATTTTGACACAGTATGTTCTAATTTTTGTAGTAAAAGAGCATTTTAAGTACCAAGTACTGACGACAACATTTTTCAAATTTGTTTTTGGCTTTTGGAAATAGGAAGAAAAGTATATACTCAACTCTATTGGGATGGCGTCTCATTTTTACAGGTACCCCAGATACATCTTTTCACTACAATTGGATCTTCAAATTCAAACACTGGCGTACTGATAAGGATTAGTTACAGTGGTTTGTAAGTGGTGATTGGAGGGCTGCGAAAATAAGGCAGAGCTTGGCATTGGTCTGATGGACCATACATACTTCACACATTCAGGAAAGAGGTGGCGAGTGTAATTATTTGATTGGCCATAATACAATGACAGCACTGACGGACAACAAGCGAAATTTCATTATCTTAAGAAGTGCAGTTTAGTAAGAGCTCTTTCCCCTTTTTAAGTGGGCCTGAGATCAGTCTGGGTAGGCCCATGCCTTCCCTGGCCTACGTGTGGTTATGCCCCTGCTTTGGGCCCCTTAGTTCAAGTGAAGGGAAAGCTAAATCTACAGCATACTTCCAACTTTGTGTAACAGTTTGGGAGAGCTCCTGTTTCAGCATTATAATGCCCCAGTGAACAAGCAAGCTTCATAACAAAATGGTTTGCAGAGTTTGGTATGGAAGAACTTGACTGACCTACACAGAGCACTGACCTCAAACCAGTCCAACGCCTTTGGGATGAACTGGAATGCCACTGCAAGCCAAATATGATCGTCCACATCAGCACCCGACCTCACTAATGCTCTTGTGGCCAACTGAAAGCGAATCCCTGCTGCCACGATCCAAAATTTAAGCCTTCTTAGAAGAGTGGAAGCTGTTATAGCAGAGAAAGGGGTGGGGGTCAAACCCTGTGTTGTTGCCAATGGTTTTGGAATGAGATGTCCAGCAACCACATATGGATGTGATGTTGGGTGTCCACATACTTTTGTCATGTCAAGTAGTTAATTTCAGGAATTTCCCAAACAAACAGGAATAAGTGAACTGTACTGTTGAACATGTATGTTTTTGTTTTGCAGTTGATCAGCACTATGAGTTCTCTGGCGGAGTACTGTCTGCCCTCTATCCTCCGCACACTGTTTGACTGGTACAAGAGGCAGAACGGAGAGGAGGACGAGTCCCACGAGTACAGACCACGCTCTAACACAAAGTCCAAAAAGTCAGTCTCTCTCTCTCTCTCTCTCTCTCTCTCTCTCTCTCTCTCTCTCTCTCTCTCTCTTTCTCTTGAAGATTTGTTGTCTTTTAGCAGTTCAAACGTTTGGATTCACTCGTCATATTAATAATTGTATAATAAATTTGTACAGTGTAGACTAGAATACTATTAGCTACACACTAGAAGACATTTTAAGATGTTTTATTCAATATTTAAAGTCTTTTGGTAACATCTAGAAGTTATTAATGATAAATCATTTGTAGTATTTATTTGTGTCGAAATTTGATCACCACTTTTCATATACAAGGTGTGCTGGAGGTTAATTTCACTCTACCTTCATTCTCAATGTTATATAGCTTTCTCGGTCATTATGGGCTCTTTTTATAGCTCTGTTCATTATTCTGGAAACATCTAACGTTTCATAAGTTTTTCCAGCTTTATACTAATTTGTTTAAACCTATTAAGTTGTATCAGCACTGTATATAATCATTGTAAACATTTATCTGCAAGAAATCTTGTTTTATATGAATGGAAACAGTGATTCCAAGACATGTTCAAAGTAAAGTGAAAGTTTAGCAGAAGCCCCCAGTGTATTTTGTCAGCTGAGACATGTTTGGTGTCGAATTTTGCTTCCTTAGTTTTACACTGGAGCTGTGAGGCTAATGTAGCTAATAAGTAATAGAAGATTGTATCCCACCAATTAGCGGTGTGCAAACTGGAGGCCTAAACCATCCAACACTTTCATCAAAATGTGTTGAGTTGTTTAGTAATGTCTGATAGACTTGCTTCTGAATGAAAAATCCTGGCAAAAACCAGAACTGAAATTGAAGATGCACTTGGCAGAAACCCAAAACCTTTTTCTGTTTCATTATTGCATTTGAAGAAAATCTACAAGGTAAAAAAGAAAATGAATTTTGTTAAATATTTTACATAGTGAATATTAAAATCATATCAAATAAATTGATGTGACAATAAACAAAAAATCGTTCACATAAAATAAACATACTAAAATTATTGCAGTGTGTAGGCTAAAAATATGGCACGGAATTCAACAGAAAATGTTTGATCATCCACGGCAATGAATTGCATTATTGTTACGTTGTTTGTTTTTTTAAATCATTTTAACGGTCGCAGGAACTCTGCTTTCTGCTTCTGTTGTTTTGCTGCATTCTGCATATTGAGCAGGATGTTATGTTTTCGAGTGGTTTCACACCTGGGGAAGATATTGAGTGTTGTATCCCCTCCTGATGCTCGACATGAACAGTGATCTTTATTAAACACTCGTCTGATGTTCCTTGTAGAAACTGAAAAATAGTTACACACAACTGACATTTTCACTTTTGATCTGCTGCTGCTCCAGCTGTTGGAACGCATCTGCTCTGACTGGCATGGGAGAGTGAAGGAACAAACTGTGTTTTTTATCATTGTTTTCTCATTTCCATTACTGTTAAAATGATAAATAAAGTCTGAGATTTTGAGATTCTTTGTTGTAGTCCTATCTATTTTGTTTTTGTTTTTTTTTTCCGACCAGTTATTTTAACCTTTCTTTCTCTTTCTCCAACACTGACATTTTTCAGTGGCCGAAAATTCTTTACTGGCGTGTGTCATTTTTGACACTGTATGAGATATTGTTATCATAAAATGGATGAAATTTAGGCTTCAAATCGGCTGCTACTGCTACATTAGACTCATAACTCCAGTGCAAAAAGTAAAGAAATTTTGGCACCAAACATGTCATGGCTGATTGCATTTGAGGTAAAGGGAAAATTGACATGTTTTTCACTGTGCTATTGCTTGAACCTCGGTAACCACTGAGGTCTATTAACTTGTGCCCAGAAATAGACTGTTATGATGCTGAATTCCATTTGGGAGTGTATTTGGGTGGCTGTATTTTCTCTTCAGTGGACTGTATGACAGTCCTTCTAACAAAAACTATCACTGGCAGAACAGCAATGCAGTCGCACCATTACATATTTCGCCTCCTTGCTCCGCTGGACGAATTGACTCAACAGTGCCAAAATAGCCCAGTGACATCAGGCGTGCAGCCCAGGACTGAGTCACTGAGCTCAGGCTCTGAGAGCGAAGCCGTGTTTCATCACTGCTAAATAATATTTTAATCTGTGATTGAGGATGAAAGTGAGGGTGAACATAGCTCACGTAATCTCTTCATCTCTCTCTCAGTGATGAACAGCAGAGGGATTATTTACTGGAGAGGAGAGATCTGGCCATCGACTTCATCTTCTCACTCGTACTCATAGAAGTTCTCAAACAGGTACTGTAATATATGGACATTTTAGCTGTGGTTCTCTGTTCCCTCATTAACATTGTGCTATAAAGGGGGGGAACAGCTTAGTTTGCTAAAATGTCATAAAAACACATAATTCACTCAATGAATTTGAACATGTTCATCATCAGCCTGTGTCAATATTCACCTGTCACAAATCAATATTAGTCTCTTGAGCAAGGAAGTTGGCTTGTTATTCATAGATGTAGACATGGTCGTAATGTTTAGAAAGGGCAGTTGGGGCGAGGTCCAGGGAAAACATGACTAAGCTACACATTTAATTTTTGGTCCCTGATTGCAGTGTACAGTTCCCATTTATAGTTTGTGCTGAATATTGAACAGCAGAAAATGTGTTAGGGTCTTTGTTTTTAACTGTACAGAGCTGCTGTTTCTTTTACAGTCAGCTTGACAGCCCTGTTAACATTAGCTAATGTTCTACTGTCCGTTGCTTCATAACTAAGACTTGCAATGTAATTTGGATGATATTCAGCTGAAAATCGTTCCATTTTACAGTTCATGCACTAAAGCTGGCTTTACAAAGTGAAACTTTCCTGCAACTAGTTGCTTGTTGGAAGTTGCCTGCAACATAATTTTCTTTTCCTTGACAGTAACAAGAAACAATTTAGAAATAGTTGCATGCAACACATTCAATTTCTCCATCAGATAGCCAAATTAGCAGCTTCCCTCTTCCCACTTGATGCCTCTCTCATTCTGCTCTAGAAGCACTAGAAGTTCATCGGCGGCCGCAGCTTTGTCTCCCCTGCTGTAGTAAATTTCATCATTTTTCAATTCCAGATGAATTGAGCTCTGGGTAAAATTAGGGGGCATCATGAGAATATACAGCAGGCTAAAGAAGAGTAAACAGGGACACAAGCAGCCTTTTAAACAGCTATTAGCATTAGTTGGCTAGTTAACACAGCTGGTTACAGGGATGTTAGCTTCTTGAAACTCACGTTTGTTGTTCAGGAAACTCACAAAATGAAAAACTAGTCAGACGAGGGGATCTCCTTTTAAACGACCCCATAAACAGTTTTTTATTTACTAGTCTATTGACCTGTTGAAAGTATGCCGTTTGATGTCATCATGCATTATTGGTGTTTTGATTGGACGAAACTTGCAACTGTTGCAGCTGAGTTTCAAATGGATTGCAGGATACTTTACATTATAAAACTCAACTGAAATTTAGTTTTATGTAAGTTTCAAGCAACTAAAGATGCTTAAAAGAAAAATGCCTGACGTAAACGATAGGGATCCGTTTCTGGTCACAGACACTGATTTTGCATATTGTTTTAACACTATCAAGCTAACATACACAAATGTCCGCCAGTTTGTACTACTGACTACTGACGGTTGGATTTCACTGTGCCATGATTCGCTGGTCAGACAATTATCAGTTATACAGATCTTTCACAGATTAGATCACAGCCGTAACATCAATATCAAAGGCATATTGTAATTGTCTATGAATTGTTTCTCATTTATAGCTCATGTGAACAGGTAGAATGTCTGTTAGAAGTGCAGATAAACTAAACTTTCATAAATATCACATTTGTGTCTGTAAGTAGAAGAGGAGATATTCTGTTATGATTTGAATTTGATGTCACATGTCAAAATGTTAAAAACATGGAAAAAAGTCGAAGGTGTAGACTCAAACCTGTTAATGCAGAATGTAAATGTAGTATATTCTGCAATAAACTATGTAATTACACAATTATATTTTTAATAGCATAGTAAATGACAATAATAACTCTGAGAATGTGTTTGTGGATCCACAATTCAGTTCCACACTCATATTTACTGAAGATGCATATTAGTTTAAGAGACGTTACTGAGTGATTACTGAATAATACATCTATGGAAATTACTGAATAGTAGATTCTTTAATCATTAACTGTTGCCACCTTGCTGTTGTTTAAAATGTCCTTGGGTTTTATACAAAGAGCAGCAAAAAAACTGAAATAAAATACAGAAAAAATAATGTAAATACGGTATGTGAATGTTCTCATGGATGTGCACCAGAGTATGTCATTCACAATGTAATATGCATGCAATACACAGGGTCATTTTTATATGACTTTAGATACATTATCTAGTGATATGGATTTGCTCACATACAATGTTTTAATTTAAGGCTAAACTGCAAATTACAAGCAGTTATTTGCTTTCAGTTTGTAGGTTTTTGCTCAATAGCTAGAAAGTTTTGCCTAATAGCTTTTTTCAGGAAGCTCACTGAGATGATGCTTGATTATAGCACAGTATAAAAGTAAATCTCTATCCCTCTCTCTCTCTCTCTCTCTCTCTCTCTCTCTCTCTCTCTCTCTCTCTCTCTGCTTGACCAGATGCCTCTCCACCCAGTCCTCGACACTTTGGTCCAGGAAGTCATTAACTTGGCTTTTAAGCACTTTAAATACAAAGAAGGGTAAAAATCATATATTTTTTTTTAAATAGATATAATATTTTATATTAGATACAGTTTCCTTTATTCCTCTTGCCCCTGTCTGCATTTCTATTCACTGTCTATTGTCTGTGTTTTGTTGTTGTTCTTCTAGGTACCACGGTCCCAACACTGCAAACATGCACATTGTGGCAGATCTCTATGCAGAAGTCATAGGAGTCTTAGCGCAGGCAAAGTAAGTATATCTTCATCTTTAACACAGAAATCCAGATTTTGAAACATTTCTGCGTAATTAAATGGTTAAATTGTGAACAAAGTCATTCAGATTGGTTTGATATGAAATGCTCTGTTCTTGAAACACTTACAGAGTCAGAATTGTGCACAGTGGTGGTGATAGGAACCAGACGTCTGAAATTTTCGATGACTGTTAAAGCTCCGTCACAGAAAGCTGTTACATGAAATGGTTGTGAATACACTGCTTGATGTCTGAGACATTGTTTTAGCATATTTTTAGAAAGTTATGGCCTAAAGCATATTTTTGAAATTAATTTATGGTGGAGATGTACATACAGGGTTTTGTAGGACAAAATAGTGCCCAAAGGAAATGTTGTTTTTTTTTCTATTTTTTCTGATTCACCTCTATTTTACCATCATCAAAATGACTTATAAAACTCAGAAGATGTTCAGGTTCACAATGGCTATATTTGTGTTGTAGACATCGTGGCCCCTGTTTCTTATCAATCACCACCAATGTAAAGAAATCCAAGCTGATAATATTACCTACAAATTTCACATCAAATCACTCTTTGTTTACATCTCACCAATTAAATTATGCAGAAATACTTTACAGAAATTGCAAAATCTGTTGAATTCCCCTTTAAATTCAATTTCAATTTTCTCTAATCCTAAACACTCCTTCTAACCCTAATCTTATCCTCAACCCAAAACTCATTGAAAATCTTTAATCCTAACCCTAAAACTCTTCATAATCAATTACATTAACAATCAGAGCATTTGTAGACAAGTTAGTAAGGACCATAAAACAGAATGGGACACTAATTTTCCTCCTCACAATAAAACAATGTCCTGTCCAACACTACAGTCCACTTCACAAGCTCTACATAAACACCCATACGTGCAGGTCATCACCTCTAGATAGTTGGATTATTTATATGGACTTAATGAACAGAAGGAACTTTTCTACAAAGGCTTTGCTGCTAAAAGCAGCTTTTCTAGCTAATGTGTCCAGCTGAGTAGTCAGTGAGTCTCTTATTTGGGGTTAAGCCCCCTCTCCTCCATACTAGGACTGGAAATTGGCCTCTGTTTGTTTTAGTTTCTGAATCTTAGCAGCAGGGCATGAACTCTTGACGTAGAGGTCCGGATGGTTAGCATTTAGCTTACGCACACTTCATTCCACTACACAGTCTGCGGCTCTCCAAAACGTCTGTTGCCCTGCAGTTGCCATAGAACTCTCTCTCTGTGTATGTCTGCTTTATTTCCTATGGGTTTTGGACACCTTGGGAAGCCGCCTGTTCGCTGTCAGGTTTGGCAGGTTCTGTAAGTGTCAAAAGGCCTCATCCTGCTGAACTGTGAACCTGCAGGGAATGGATATAGTACGATACCAAGAAGCAGTACCATAAGTAGTATTATTGTTATTTTTATTCTATCTATCTATCTATACACACACACACACACACACACACACACACACATATATATATATATATATATATATATATATATATATATATATATATATATATATATATATATTTATTTATTGACAACATCACAGCAACGACAACAGCATGGAGTCTTCTCTTATAATATCTATGGCGAGAATGGAGATCCCAGAGCAAGCGATCTAAGATCCCTCCTCAATACAGAATCTCTCCAGATCCTTCAGTATCCTCTCTTTAGGATGCTCCTCTTCAGCTCAGCCCACAGGACTTTAGTTGGGCTGGGGGGCAGCCATGTCAAAAGCTTGATTCTGTGGTCATTGAACCATTTTAGTGTAGATTTGGATGCATATTTTGGATCATTTTGGATTAAGGTGGATGACACAGTTTTAGCTTTTTACAAATTCTTAAATTTCATGATGCCAAGGTTCCCAGGACATCTGGAGAAAAAACAGACCTAAATCATCACAGATCCTCCACCATGCTTAACAGTGGTGATGAAGTTCTTTTCTACATAACCGTCCTTCTTTTTACACGAAACCTATGTTGACTGTTAGTTACCAAAAGGCTCTAATTTTAATATTAAGTAAAATAATATCTTTATTTATAGAGTACTTTTCGTACTGGTGGCAGCTTAAAGTGCTTTACAGACAGGTGATGTTTTACAGTAGTAGACAAGACAATGACAGATCAGGCTAAAAAGATATTTTTTGTCTCATCTGACCATAGAACCCAATTCCAGTTCCAATAGTGTCCAAATGAAAAGAGGTGAAAGAAAATGCTTTCTTCTGGCAGGCCTTCCAAATAGTTTGTTGGCATGGAGGTCGTGTCTAATTGTAGTGGTGACCCCTAAATGCTGCATCCAAGATTCTGTAAATCTCCAAACACGATCCTTGGAAAGATTTATGCCTTCCTAACTGTCCTCTGTGGGTATAAACATGCATCCTCTTCAAGGCAAGTTCACTACAGCTCTGGTTGTTTTAAATTTCTTAATTTTTGACCTAACAGTGGATATGGACATTTTCAGACATGTTAGCCGTTGGCTGATTTATGAAGCTCAACACTGTTTTGTCTCAGTTCATTTGTGTGTTCTCTAATTTTGCTCATGTTTGATGAGTGACTAAGGGTGACTAATTTGGCCTCTGTGTCACCACATATTTATAGTAAAACAGGAAATCATAGATGACTGCATATGTTTGATAAACCACGTACATTTGTTTTTAGGAGTGCCAATAATTCTGACATAGGTCAACGATATTTAGTTTTTGATAAAGGTTTTTGTTTCCTTGAATGAATTTGTCTCATATTTCCTGTAAGGTTGAGCTAATTAACCATAAAGATGTTTTTTTTTTGTTTGTTTGTTTTTTTACTTTTTTTTTACTCTATACTAAGAGTGTCAATAATTAGTTGGGTGCTGGCTTGTGTAAAAGTTTACCTTCCACATAAGATCAATCAGAATTTAATGTTATTCTCAATCAGAATTGAATTTTATTTATTTAATGCAATTTTTTCCCCAAATCAATCCTTAGAATCTTACTTATGAGTGTATAAGGAGTTGTTAAGCCTCTCTATGGATGCGGATATGGAGAAACACATTTATCCTCCTGTGTACACTGTAAAAAAGTTCAGTTTACTCTGTTATATGGACATAAATGATTGCCTTGAGTAATGTGCCTTGCTGTGACTAATTTGTACAAATAATTTCAAGACAGACAAGTGAACTTGATTAACTCAATCATTCAAATCTCTCATCATATCGTTCTGGTATAGAGGGCAATCACTGAAGACATGAAACTGATTCTCTCGCTTTGTTACGCCTTCAGGTTCCCTGCAGTGAAGAAGAAGTTTCTGAGTGAGCTGAAGGAGCTCCGTCAGAAGGAGCAGAACCCATACGTGGTCCAGAGCACCATCAGCCTCATCATGGGCCTCAAGTTCTTCAGGGTGAAGATGTACCCTGTTGAAGATTTCGAGGCTTCGTTTCAGTTCATGCAGGTATGGAGTGACAGAGGTGTGACCGGGTTGGATCTTAACCAACAGGATGCTGTTCAGGTTTCCTGGTTTGAGTTTCCTGGTTGTGCAACATTTAACATGTATGGAAGAACAGTACTTTTATTGTTTCAGCTGGATGTAATGAGAATGACATCATGGTTGGGAAAATATATATGTATATATATATATATATATATATATATATATATCTGTGGCAACTTCACAGAAGAAAGAACAAACTCTTGTTAAAGACAAGGCACCAGCTAATATGAAAGTGTCAAACACAGCATAGCAAAACTTCTGATTTTGAATACTAAACAAATCAGTTTACAATTGTTTGTTTGGCCTGCAGAATTTGTTATGTACGTCATACAGCTTCAGCAGGCTGCATGCTGGCTTTTCATCTCAAAATAATAAAGACAATAACATATGAGGTGTCAGTAATGTTTTCCTTTAATAAATTACACGTATGTAGTGATCAATTATATATATCACTTCAGATCATCCTATTTTACTGTATAAATAGAGGTAAACAGATACCATTTTACTAAAGTCACTAGGGCTCTTATTTTGAAATGCATGGGAGGAGAAGCTGTTCATAACAGTAGCCGAAAAACTCATACAAATCTGACAGAAAATATATCACAAGTGTGACAAACTTTAACAAACTGTAAATACAGACATAAGATGCCATCAAAAAAAGATCTTCTTATCTTATAAATTAACTTCTTTTTTACTGTGCTTTAGGCTGATTCTGACAGGAGTAAACTTGAGGGGATTTCAAGCCATATTTGATAGCTCATGCATGTCATTTACAATTCACAGTTAGCTGACTTGAACAGGATAAAAGAGGTTATTTGATCAAATCTGAACCTAATACCTGTCGTATTGAAGCAAACGTTAGTGCTAAAAACGTATCTTCCAGGTATAAATGTGAACCGGTCATGGTAGTAGAATTTTTAACCAGGTTTCATGCCTGAAGAGGATAAAGGGAATAAAGTGAATATATGATGATCTCAGCTGTTTTGAGACATTTGGACCTGTATATTTCATTAAAAATTTAAATATAGTCTTTCAGCAAACCTCTTCACCACATACACACACACTTTGTCTAAGCCATTTATCCTTCCAGGTCACTGGGGTGCTGGAGCCTATCCCTGCGGTCATTGGGTGGAAGGCAGGCCGCCAGTCCATCACAGGGCAACCTCTTAACCAGCGGTCAAATCAAATGAAAATGTAGCTTAGGTTGTCAGCTTCACAAGGCATGTTTCAGATTTAACAGTGGTGATTGGTCAGCAAAAATATACCAGTTTATATCAATTATTATTGCTAAGCACTACTGGCCAGGTCATTGTGTATTGTTCTTTGGTCCAGCTTTGTCCATCTCATGCTCAGATCTAAAGGGCTGTTTTTTCTTCAGATTCTCGAGCCATTTTTGAATTTTGTTGGGGTGACATTAGAATCTAATAATACACAATAAATTGTCAGTTCCTCTTTAGATTCTGTCATCTTTGAATCTGTTGAAGATGACAAATCATCGACATTAATAGCCCTATAAGTATGTAAATACATATTTAATTACATAATTACTCATTTTCATTTGATTTACATTCTGTATTGACTTCTTGGCTGAATTAGGGGACAAAATACAAAATACAAAATACTCTTTGACGATGGGCAAAAGTCTGACTAAATTGGACTGGCCAGTATCAAATATGACATTTTTAAATATGTCAGACATTTAGTGGGTACTTTTCTATTTGCGTTTTGGTTTATTAATTAAAAAGATTGGAATATTGAATGAGCAGTCTTTTTAGACAGTTCAGTGACAAAAGTGGGTGGCCTAGGCCTACTGCGGCTGCTCGTATGGCCACAACTGCTTTTAGTAGTTTATATCATGTGTAAAGCTGTGGGCTTCATGTTCTTATTGAGCTCATGCAGTGATGCAGTATGCAGTGCATACTCCTCTGTATAGATTCCAGCATGTTTGTGTGGACGCTCGCTGTGCATTTCACACCCATGTTCTCTGTTACAGGAGTGCGCGCAGTATTTCTTGGAAGTGAAAGACAAAGACATCAAGCATGCACTGGCCGGCCTCTTCGTGGAGATTTTAGTGCCCGTAGCAGCGGTGAGGACGTGAAGGGTTTGATGGTGCCCAACAAATTCTGACCTGTCCTGCTAATTGGTCACTAGGAGATGTTCAGTGTTTGTTTGATTTATATTCATTAGAACACAGCTGAGGAAATGATGTGCACATAACAGAGCATATGTGTACATTCACTGACTGGCCACTTTAGAAACCCCTCCTTTGCAAACGTCTCTCACAGTCTTGTTTGTCTCTTGCATATATATGATTGTTTGAGGCCGACATCTAGTCTGTAAACAGACTCCTTCAATAATACAGACAGAGACAGACTTTATTGTTTTACTGAATGAGTCATGGTCCTACTGTTTTGGTGCTAATATAACACTGGAAATTGCATAGAGGTACTAGTGCTAAATTAGCGTTATCACAGTGTTTGTAACTGGTACAAGGGCTACTTATAAGAGTAAAATTCTGGCCTACATATAGCCTTACTAAGCTAAGATAGTGTGCTCCTGAAGAGACACTATCTTGCAACTTTTTAGTGTTTTCCCTGCTCCCAACACCCCTGGTCCAACTAATCAGCTCTCGTTAACACTGAGAAAGATGCCAAAGTCTTTTAGTTAAACAGACAACATGAAGAGTTAGTCGGCTGATACTAAGCATGACAAAATTATGTTGAGTTTTATGCGGTCATCCAGTGCCTGATGGCCTTGACAGTAAGAGATAACAAACTGGTCTAATAGCCCACCTTTATCTTAGTTAATTAACTAAGGTAGTAAAAGATGGTTTAGTCGTCAGCAGGCATGTTTGGTGGGTCCCATAACCAAATTACATGACAAGTGGGTCAAATTCTGCTCATATATTGCTTGTTGTACAAAACACATGTAGGCTAGTGTGAATGTTGCCCATTACATGTTCTCGAACAGCCTAAAATGAAAACTGTTTGCTGACAAAAACATATTTCTTGGTTATGTCATGGCTGCTAACAACATTTTTTACTGTTTTCTCTTAGCTGGCTTAAAGTCCAGAGTATCTAAAGTGTCTCAGCAGTTTGAGAGGCACTCAAGCTTTAATCTTCTTCAGTTTTAAACACCAGTGAAGCGGCTCAGTGCACTAGATTGTGCGGTTACGTTATGAATTCAGGCCATGCGAGTTTACAATTTACCCAGGGGGAGGTGTTTGAATGTTAAATACAATGAGAACTTAGAAAAGAAGACAGTCACCATGTGTGAGGGCACTCATCTTATTAGGAAATTCACATTTTATTCAAGGAAATAAAATGGGACCCCCCAATTTCTCTTATGGGGGTCTCTTTACTCTTATAGGAAGTCCAGTACCCTAATGTTAAACACAGTGCTGCAGTTAGCTTTAGCCCTGTGGCAAGCTAAAACTAGCTTCATTCTCTCTGTTTTGCTGGCAGGCTGTGAAGAACGAGGTAAATGTCCCTTGTCTGAGGAACTTTGTGGAAAGCTTATATGATACAACGCTGGACCTGTCGACTCGAAAGAAACACTCTCTGGTCAGACACTTGCTTTATAACCCTTTATAACCCCCACTATTGCCATTTTAAACATTTTCAATGTGTGAAGTTCATTTTTTTTTAAAGTGCATTGAAGTAACGGTAACGCTTTATTACATAGGGAGCTCATAACACATGCATAACTGCCTTATAAATCCCATTACTTGGGAATGATGCTTCATAACAGTGTTATAAATGTCTGTCATTGTAGTTTAAGGCCCCTTATGTCAATACAGCATCATTCCCTTCCTAAAACATCTCCTGTGTCATCTTGTGGCTGATGTCATTCATCGTAAATACTCAACTCTGGCTTTATAAAAATGTTATTCAATGCTTATGCATGTGTTATGAAGTCCATATGTATGTAGCCTTCAAATAAATCAATTTACTCCATTCAAATGTCTGCATATGCTAATAAATAAAACATACGGGCACAATTAGTTTTCAGGAGTGAACTGAAAGAGAAGCGTTTGTTGATTATACTTCATGTAGAGATCACATGCACTTTTAAATCAAGTGAATTCAGTTCATCACTTTTATCAGTGTAGCTGCCAAATAATTCACTTCCAGTCTTTTCTTGTATTCAGAATCAGTGAAGGGTTTTCAGGATTAACAGACTTTCTCCCTTTCAAGTCCGGTTTAGAAGCTTGGCAGGCAAAACGCAGCAGTGTTGGAGCACTGATCTCTGAGTGTTTGTGTGCTCAGGCTCTGTACCCGCTGGTGACGTGTTTGCTGTGTGTCAGCCAGAAGCAGCTCTTCCTCAACAGATGGCACGTCTTCCTCAGTAACTGCCTCTCCAACCTGAAGGTACAGTGATGGTGCACTTACACTGTTTTAGCCTTTAAATCATCACAGGCGGTTCACTGAGTATGTTCACTTAGGTTCAATGTCAACATGAGTCAGAAATCAAAACATATTTAACTTTCCTGCCATGACCTTCAGTTCTGAGAAAAAGCCACGTAAACTCATTTATGGATTTTTCTCCCGAATTGGTTCAAAGTCAGAGTTCAGAACACATTTCGGATCTTTCGGATCACATTTTACCTGATCTTGGACTTTAGACTAAAATCATTTTGCTTTGAGTGAGCCTAAATCTTAATTATGTTTATTTTATTATGATAAATTAATGAACATTCCATTTTGTCCATTCCAAAACAATCACAGCACTACTGAGACTTTACCAAACGTTTCGGTAGTGACAATTTTAGCTAATTTTGAGCAGAACTCAAAAACACTATCATAGTGACAATTCCTAATGTTCCACACTGATTTTCAGACTTTGGGACACATTTACTTTAAAACAATGGGATCTAACTGCTCACCGTGTGGCCATGAGGGACAGGGATGCAGTCTCACTTCCTGCTCTAAAATGCAGGGTTGTGGCTAAAATAAGGCTCCGCCTATAGACTAACCTCTGTTTCGGTAGTGACATGAAAACATAGGACATCATTTTTTTAACATTTTTTTTTTTTTATTTAACTCATGATAAATTAAAATATTTCAACTTCACTTTAAAAGAAATGAAAAAGATGTTAAAAAATATTTATAAAAGTATGCTATAAACAATGAGTTTGAATATATTTAGCTTATTTATCTCTATGAATGCCTTGAGTTTAAATAGATCATAACATAATCCTTGTAAATATCTAAGGTCTGAATACTTCATCATTTTTTTAATCTTTTTTTTTTTTACTGTGTCACTGTAGTTTAACGTTAGAATGAACAGTCCTGGTCAAATTGCATTTTTTTGTTAATATGTTAAAATCAGCAAATAAACAGTAATTGTGTATTAAAATGTGCAGAAGTTTGTTCTCTGTAGAAAATGTATTCACTTGTTTTTGCTTAGAAAATTAACAAAACACCCAAACTTTTGCATACGACTGAATAAATAAACAGTTTATTGTGATTTGATGAGTGTGAGCATCTTAGCAATTATTATGTTATTAGTTTATTGTATTAGATGATATGTTAAGCTATTTGTCTGGGCAGGAAGCGTTTGTTAAAAAAAGACAACACAAAACTAATATAGAAATATTTACTAATAAGAAAATAAACAATCAATTGTGACTGTTCTGTGTATTTTTGTGTTAATTTAACCATTTTCAAAGCTCTCCTGGAGTAAGTTCAGTGTTTACAGCTACCATCCAGTACCTATTTTATCTAATCAGCACCTCATTAAATTAAATCAGGCACTGCAATTGAACAGATCCATACGGTGGCTGCAGTAAACCGAGGAGTCAGGAACCAAAACAGTGTTGTTCTAGTGTTCTTGTGTTCTTCTAGTCTTCTAACCTGCATATTTGCACAGTTCTATAATTCTGATGATGAGTTATCTGGGAGGGTTTATAGGTTAGCGGGGTGTTTTCTCTAGATGATTGGTGGGGGTGGCGTGCGGGGGAGGTAAAACATGATATTATTGGCTAATATTACTTTCCCAGTCCACTGCTGCTCAATGACATAATCGAAAATCAGATGTTTTAGGGATGGGGAAAAAGGAATATTTTGATGGAATATTGTGGGAAAACATTTTGTCTTTTGTTAATATGACTACAGACATGAACTAACATGGTTGATTTCATGATTTCAGGTTGACTTTAATAGATTAGACTAAGTTTAACATTCATATTGTCGCCATTGGAAACCCTAAAAAACATGGAAAAATAAAAAGCAAGATTTTTCAAGCAATTTTGAACCATTTCTGTTGGTCCATTCATCATGAAATTTTAATACAAGGCGAAGGGTAGCAGGAGCTTTTAAATTATGCCATAAAGTAAAAACCGACAGAAAAGGAGATGCTGTTTCATGACAGTATATCAATATCATATCTGCATTGCAGAGTAAGGACCCGAAAATGGCCCGAGTAGCGCTGGAGTCTCTGTACCGCCTGCTGTGGGTCTACATGATCCGCATCAAGTGTGAAAGCAACACTGCGACACAGGGGTGAGTATGTTCTTGCATGCTGTGGTCTTATTGTAGTCTCCTCTGCCACGTACTGCAGTTTTAAAACCATGAGGAAAAGTCTCAGTCCCCCAGAGAGCAGGGCAGGGGCCGACCCACAGGAAGCGGCTTTTACGTCAGCGGGGCAGCCCCATGAATGCCATCTTTCTTGGTGGACTTTGGGCGGGCTTGAGCAGTGAAATACAAGAGTACCACCCAGAGCCTTCACCGTGTTACACTGAAGAAGAAAAAACTAATCAGGGAGCTGTTTGAGCTTCTTAACCAGCTACTTAGAAACTTAAAATATACTGAATTACAAGTCTGTATGTCTTCACTCTGCTGGATTTGATTGAATGGAAAGTTTAGAAGAGACAGAGGGAAATAAAAGAGAGAGAAATATGACTGTGAGAGATAGGAATAGGACAAAGAGATAGAGAAAGACAAAGAAAAAGAAATGAGGGAGAGATAGGAGCGAGTAGGAGCCTGTTTACACCTTGCATTGTGTTTTCTGGATCATATCTGGATAAACTTTGGCCCAATCCCATTTCACCCCCTGCCCCTACCACTTAGCCCGTACCACTCTATTTTGTGCGTTCAGGCCTAGGGGGTAGGGTGTCCCAATTTTTGTTGAGATAGAGGGGTCGGCGAAGTGTTAGGGCTACATGGCCCTCCAGACGGGGGTTTTTCAGAGACATACACCAAACAGAGTGTTATGAGTAAAAAGAGAAAAACTGGCAAGATGGCTGCGCGAGCGACCAAAGAAACCCACAAATGTGAGAATTTTCTCTGTTAAAATTACAGTAACCATTGTGTTGTATTAGTTTAATGTCATTTCAATGTATTATGATCTTTTTCTTCATAACAAAAATGAAAAATCTCTAATAGTATGCTAATGTCTCGATAGCTAGCTAACAGCTAACCTTCTCGTTCAGCCAACCTTCCCATTCCACCATAAATGGTGCAGCATTTACATTCTGGCATGGCAGGGCACAGAACTGCTGCACTATTTAAGGTGGAACGGGAAAATTCGAACAAGGAGCTGGCGAATAGCTGACTTCAGCTTCATATCACTGAAAAATTAGGGATGGGTGATAATAAATAATTGTTGAAGCCCCTCTTTAAAGGCAAATGACCGCCTAAATGTAACTAAAGCCCAGCAGTGAGGTTGCTGAACTTTACCCTCCTCTGCTATCACTGCAGACTGGCAGGGTGGCCTACAGAGCAGCGCTAGTAGCCTGTTAATGAAATAATGTTCTTTTTTTATTTGCAACCTAGTTCCAAGGGGAAAGATGACACTCCAAAACAAGGGCTAGGGGTAAAAAATACGAACTGGGATTGGACCTTTGACTGGATTCCATTGACACTTTTTACTAAAATACATCGCTAGTGTGGCCATATGAGATCTGATTATACTTTTCCCAGGTAAAAAGCATGTCAGCACATATGTCCTTTTCGTTTTACCTCTGTTTACTCTTTTCCTCATTACAATACAAGTCGACAAGCTTGGCTTGGACCAAGCCAACGGCCCAGAGCGCACAAAGGCTCTTGGTTTGGGGCTGACTCCAGCCTCGCATGTCCTCCATCTTCACTATCTTGTTTATACTCTCACCTGCTAGTCAGCACCCTGCAGACACATTTCCACTCATGCAGCTGTATCCAGATAATGAAAACACATTTTGTTTACCTTTGTGTCAAAGGGGACCTATTATGCTTTTCCAGTTTTTCCCTTTCCTTTTGTGTGTTATAGATTTTTGTGCATGTAACTGGTCTGCAAAGTTACAAAGATCAATGTTCACTCCAGGGGAGTAACTCTCTCCCACAGAACCCACTTTCTCACCTTTCCTTTGTTACAAGATTACGCAATCTCATAACACAATCCTTATTGCCCACCTACTGGCAAGCTTGGCATGCCCTCAATACACAATGCACAGCAGCTACTGGAGGCTGGAAACAGTTTGTTCTGACTTTCAGGATCAGAATTAGGCTCAAACTGATACAGCAGAACCACTCTGGTGATTGACCATTCAGAGCAGAGTGGGCGAGCTGACCAATCAGAGCTCACTGGGCTCATCGGAAGGTGGGGCTTAAAGACACAGGAGCTCTAAACATTGAAGCATATAAATCTATTCTAGCAGACCCTAAAAATAAAATTTTGAACACTGAAAATGAGCATAATAGGTCCTCTCTAAATGTGGTCAAGACAAACCTCTGACCACCTCAGAATGTGGTTTCAGCTAAAGAGAGAGAGAGAGAGAGAGAGAGAGAGAGAGAGAGAAAGAGAGAGAGAGAAATAAGAAAGGGAGAGACATAAGAAAGAGAAATGAGAAAGAAAGAGAGAGAGTGAGAGAGAAATAAGAAAGACAGAGGTGGGGGAGATGTGGGAGGAAGGGTCCTCTGGAAATTGCAGGCTTGGCCAACTTAGCCACAAACACAGCCTTATTTGGCAGCGGGATTGGATGCAAACAATGAATGGTGTTTTTTTTGGAAGGACACAACAGGCCAAAGGTCAGGAAACAGCATTAACTTTGTGAAAACAAACTTTTTTTTGTTCAAAAGATAATGGAGGGTAATATGTTGTAATAATTACATTAATATAATTATTTTAATAAGTGGGATATAAGTAGGATATAAAAGTCTGTAGCTACAGTGAACAATTACTTGATTTTTATTTAAGTCCTGCACTGAAATACTCTGAGTTTACTTGACTTCTGAAATCTAAACATGTATACGTAAAAAATATACACATCACATGAATAAAACATATCACATCAGTTCAAAAAGTAGGTTATTGAATTGAAAAGAAAGTAAGTAAATTGAAGGAATTTGTGTTGATTTAATATATTTTTGTGTAAAATTATGTACACATAAGAATGAAGTATGTAATTCGGTGTGCTGATCTCACAGAGTTTAATCTGTTCAGATTCAGTTGATTCAAACATTCAGATGCTCCTGATGGACTGAACTGAATCAGAAGTGTTAAATTAAGAGTTTAATAAAGCAATAAGCCACAAGAGGCAGTGCTTTACAGTGAACCCCCTGGCCTGTTAGCTATCTGATCTCTAATTGTTGAGAAAATAAGTTTAAAAAAAAAGGTTCTTATGTACACACTGAAAAAAGATGGTTCTTCAATGGTTCTTTAGTAAAGACAGTTGTTCTATATAGAACACTCAGACAACTCTTTGCCTGATCAAAGAGTTCTTTACATCAGGAAAAGGTTCTTAAGAATGTGCTGTAGATGGTTCTATATAAAACCGTTTTTAAAAGGGTTCTATACAGCACCAAAAAGGGTTCTTCTGTTGTTACATCAAGCTTTTATATAAAAGGCATCGTTAAAGAACCGTATACAGTAGCTTCTCTGACACAGCAAAGAACATTTTAAGCATCTTAAGCTAAACCTGATGTTAAGCTAAACCTGACTGAATAGTGCTAAAGGAGATGGTTCTCGGCCACGTTGAGTGACGACGCCCTCCAAGATAGTCAAAAGTCTGGCTTGTGAGACTGAGCAGAGACTGATGTGGGCCTAGTTTACATCACTGCATGACCGAGTTTATTTTGTTTTCCAATGTAGCAGGTCATAAAGTTAGCAGGTCGAGCAGTTGCTATGATAGCTTAAGTGCTGTTCGTCCCTCACATAGACACTGTACACTTCATAAGCCCAAACAGAGGTGTCAGAAAGGGGTCAGGCCAAGCATTAATTAACCTTAAAATAAACCTCTCCTGAAATTAAAGTCGAGAGAGCTGAAATAGGACAAGCTGATAATGTAATGAAGTGCCGTTTATAGCACGTTTATCTGTGTCAGTGTGCTTTGACCTGTTGGAGCTAGATTAAATTCCTTCGGCGCATTATTGATTAGTCTCATGAAATAATTTGTTTTTCCTTTCAATCCTCAGCCGCCTGAACAACATCGTCACCACCCTGTTCCCCAAGGGGTCCCGCAGCGTGGTGCCTAGAGACATGCCTCTTAATATCTTTGTCAAAATCATTCAGTTTATTGCACAGGTGAGCAAAGACGTTTTCTGAAAGCCGGGAATATAAACCTTGTTTGTGCTTCCATGTTCTTAGGCCTCTTACTTGTTCTAAAGTAAAATCTGCACTTTTTGGGGGAAAAACTACATTTTTTAGATGTGAGGAACAGCCAGATTTACCTACAATGTCAAAATGTTCATGCTTTCATGACCCAGTGGGCTGTTGGTCCCCACAAAATGCTAACTACACCCATAAAAATACATATACACATTACCCCCACAGATTAGATCGTATATGCAAATAATATGCCACATCGCTCTATAATTAATTTACAAGCCCATGTTCTACTTTTTCTTGCTTTTTTCCCCCCCAGAGGTCCATTTAGAAAGTTTTTCTGGTTTTCAGTACCAAAAATGGCCATCTTTTATTTTTACATGGCCTCTCTTTATCTCTTAGAATTAAACAGGCTATTTTTGTTACTGTGCCTTTAAGACTGATATATGTAAATGAGTTCTGTTCTGATTGGCTGCACTGCATTGTCGCTTCATTCAAAAAGCTGTTCAGGCTGAAACACTCCTTACAACCTCAGCATGAATGGGTGGGGCTTAACGTCTGTGCTATGTGTGAATGTGTAGGTTTCACATCACAAAAACAGTCAGTGCAAAATTCAGCTTAGTTTCCTTTGTATGACCTGGAGAGTGAATGTCACGTTAGGTTTTCCATGATATGTCCTTATTTAACAATAATCATGGCAAAGTGCGAATTTTGATGTCACAGTGCTGTCAATCATCCTCTACTGCCCTTTTCTCTGTGTTCCCTTCACCAAAACAGGAAAGACTTGATTTTGCCATGAAAGAAGTCATTTTCGACCTGCTGTGTGTTGGAAAACCTGCAAAAGCCTTTAGTCTTAATCCAGAGGTACGTGAATTATAATGTTATAGCATGAATAAGCGCTTGTATTTCACCGGTTACTGTTTTTTGCTCTGTACTCTACAGATATGGTAGCTACTGCAGTCCACGGGCATGTGCAAAAGTTTGGCCGCCCCAGGTCGAATGACATGTTTTTTTGAAAATAGGTACACATCCTCTACAGAGAACACACTTCAGCACAGTTTAACCCACATTTACTGTTTATTTGCTGAATTTAACATATTGAGGAAAAAATTAAATGGCCTGTACAAATTTATGGCAAATTTATGTCTATTTTATGGTCAGTTTTTTCCAACATGTTAAATTTAGCAAAAAAAGAGAAATTGTGCCCTAAAATTATCAGAAATAATGCCATAATTAGGTGCGTTCTCTGTAGAGGATGTGTTAAATAATTTTCGCTTAGAAAATCAACAAAGCATGAAATTTGGCTAAGGGTGTTCAGAATTGTATTGTATTGCATTTTGCGTCGTAAATTGATTCATTCAGCTGATGGAATGTTTATTTGATGTGTAATGTTTTTATTTGTGCATTAGAGGATGAATATCGGTCTCCGAGCATTCCTGGTTATAGCTGATAAGCTGCAGCAGAAGGACGGAGAGCCGCCCATGCCGAACACTGGAGCCACTCTGCCCTCAGGAAACACGCTGCGTGTCAAAAAAACCTACCTGAGCAAAACCCTCACTGAGGAAGAGGCCAAAGTTATAGGTGAAAACATCAAAGCACGAGGCAGATTTAGTTTACTGTTTATTCATTGTTGATGCATAACTGTTCTTGTTTAAGGATAACAACAGCCACAATGACAAAACAAGTAATATGCTAATTAACCTTTCTAAACAAGTCATAATTAAGTTAAAATTCAAAAATGCCTAAATAGAATCTTCAGTAGAAGATTCTGAGGTAGCCTATCAATTCTGAGGAAGTAAATCTGTAAGGACAGTTTGATATATTGAAATTTATGGCCACCATTAGCCAATCAGCTTTCAGCAGGCTTTTGAAAGGCTTAATATTGACCCATTATTATGAAACTTGAATGGTATCTCTATGTATGTACTTTCTAACAACCAGTGAAGTTTCAAAAGATTTGGCCACTGGGGGCGCTATTCGTGAAAATCGAGTATTTATTACACATGACGTACAATCGTTAACTGTTTGAGAACAACCCTTTTCGAACTAGTCTCTGGGTTTTGATCCTAATGCTTCGAAATCAACCTAGAAATACTCTGTGGCCTCTCTAGATAAATAATCATCAAAAATGATTGACTTTTTTATTCAGCATGATCTCACTCTGTCAATTAATCTTTCTGCTCATCAGTCATTGGTCCAATCATTGGTCCAACCATTAGGGGGTGCTTTAGCGCTCAAAAACACTAAAAATCATTAAAAATGCTGCTACAATCTTATTATGAAGTTTACAGACAAACGTTTGGTGGTAACTCAGTTCACTGACCTGAATAACTTTGTGATTACTTGTTATGTCAGGAATTGGACCGCTTGTCTGGTATTTTGTCTAATCACAATAACAGCAGAGCCATTTTTGGTGTTATACTGAAACATTTTTAAAAGGTTCTTCAAAGAACCGTATACAGTAGTTTCTCTGACACAGCAAAGAACCTTTAAATCATGTAAAGAAACATTTAAACATTCAAATGGTCATTTCATTTGTCATGATTCTTCCTTTATATATTGTTTTTTAATGAATACCTGTTGTTTATGTTTAAGGAACCATTAAAAAAATGTATGTGTAGAGCAACCAAAAGGTTCTGCTATTGATACAAGTCACAGAGCCTTTTTTTTCACTATATAAAATGCTTTTTGCTAAGAGTGTACTAAAAAGGCATTCTTTGATTCCTAACAATAGTGGAACAAAAGTGGAAGCATTTTTTAAAAACTTCTTCCAATAACGATGTACAGTTTTTCCATCAGAGAAGAACCATTTAACCAAAAAACAAACAAACAAAAAAGGTTTGAGGATTCAACTGGTTCTTTGAGTTGTCATGGTTGTGTATATATATATATATATATATATATATATCCCTTGAAGAGCCCTATAGGTTTTTATACATGTGGCAGTTTTAGAGTAAAGAATTACACAGTAAAATCACACATAAATGAAAGGATAACTAAGGAAAATGAAATATATGTGTTTAGCAAGTTTGAAACAACCCAGACAGGCAGGCAGGAAATAAAATAATCAAGCTTGTCTTTGGATGTTTATTTTTCATGCCTCATTTGTCTGTATTGTCTGTGTGTGTTTTATTGTGTAGGAATGTCCCTCTATTATTCCCAAGTACGGAAAGCCATTGACAACATCCTGAGACATTTGGATAAAGAAGTGGGTCGCTGTATGATGCTCACCAACGTCCAGATGCTCAATAAAGAACCAGAGGACATGATAACGTGAGTTTTACACAGAACGCGTACAACAGCAGCACATGTGCCTGACTTACCTCACCTGCTCCAGCCCAGAGGACTGTACTATAATAGTCTCAACCCGCAGACGCCTTGAGTTATTACTCTCGTTTTGTTAATAGTTAATTACATAAATAATTAATATATATAATAATAATGATAAATAAATAATAATATAATAATGAATTATATTTACATTTGGTTTACATTCAGTTGGCAGGTTTGAGTCTGTGCTTTTATTCATTTCTGCATGTTTCCTTGTCAAACAATGACAAAAATAAGGCAAAAACTTTTGTTATGGCCGGTGATACCTGAGACTTTTCAGGGTTAACAGCCAACCGAGAAATATTGATAGGGCTACACGTTTTATTTATTTATATTCTGGTAGTTAAACGCACTAAAAATACATACCTTGCAGTTTTACTGTTTAAATTGGGCATAGGCAGATAGGAATAGTTACAACGGATTACCATGAATAATGCACGTGTCCCCAAAAAAAGTTGCTAAGAAGTGTTTCTTGCCATGGAAGAAATATTTTCGGTCGCCTAAAGGCCCTTTGCCAGTGGCCCTTTAATAAGCAGTTGAATTGAAGCCACTCAATTGAAAGTGCTTTTTGGGTTCTTTTGGGTTTTTTCTAAAGCATTGCTCCAGAGAACCACCTGTACTCTTAAAAGTTGCACTCTTAAAAATAAGTTGCACTCTTAAAAATAAGGGTGAACGTGCTCAGGCCCCACATTGTTTCTGTCTGGACCAGCCGCAGAATGCTTCCACATAACTCAGTCTGTTGTGTAATGTTGAAATAGTGTTGCCAAATTTTTGCTCAGCTGTTTTTGACCCCTGTGTTCTCTGGCAGCGGTGAGAGGAAGCCGAAGATTGACCTGTTTAGGACGTGTGTGGCTGCCATCCCACGCATTCTGCCTGATGGCATGAGCAAGCTGGAGCTCATTGACCTGCTGGCACGGTGAGTGTGTGTGTGTGTGTGTGTGTGTGTGTGTGTGTGTATGTGAGTCTTTGTTTTCCTATTTTGTCAGGTCAGACATGTCAGACTTTGTCAGGAAACCAGAGAAAAACAGAGCTAATCTAAAATGTCAGGACAAACAAAAGGCGCTTGGTAAGGGGCTTTTTACCAAAGGTCCATGTTTCATTTTCTTAAAACCGAAAGAGCAAAAATATTTCTTTTTCACTACAGGGGTAAATGGTGGGATTAGGTGTAGGATGAGGCTTAGAAAAAATTCTAACTATCAAATTATTACATATATGTACTTACATATATTTAATAGTTACAACACAGGTTAAATATTGTTTCTTACATGTACATAATATACATGGGGCATATTATTATTATTATTAATATTATTGTTATTATTATTATTATTATTATTATTAGTGTGGTAATGCACAATTACTTTGCAAAACAACATATAGAAAACACAGAGACATTTGGAAGCAAGTGCTTGGACTGATAAAGTAAAAATGGAACCTTTTGACCACAATCACCACCAAAAGTTAAGTTAGGGGTAAAAAGGGGCAGCATTTGATGAATAGAACACTGTGTCAACTGTTAAGCATGTCGTTGTATTATACTTTGGGGTTGTGTAGTAGCCAGTGGCTGAGGCTGAAATGAGGCTGGGTTCTACAGCAGTACAATAATTCAAAATGTATCTCAAAGATCCAGTGTGAACTACTTCAAATGACACAAGCTGAAGCTTTTGGAACGGCCCTTAAAGTCCCCTGACTTGAGCATTGTTGAACATCTGTGGGTTGATCTTAAACATGTAGAAGAACTAGAAGTGTTTAGCAAGGAAGAGTAGTAAAAAATCCTAAAACAAGAATAGAAACGACCCCTAACTGGGCTACAAAAAGCATTTACAAGCTGTGATGTCTGCTAAAGGGGGAGTTACTAATTACTGACTTATTAGGGTGTCAAAACTGTTTTTTTAAGCTAATCAGATCTGAAATAACTGTGCATAAACAATTAGACTTACATATGTTACATACATATGTTTCAAAGTCCTGGCAGCCTCATGGATAGTGTTTCTCAGGAATGCCCTGTCTTGTGTTCGGGTCATGAGGCTTCTGAATGGCTGGTTCATGATTCCTCTGATTGTCTTCTTTCATTTGGTTGCTGGTCGTCCTCTTTTACCTTCAACTGTTCCAGGCTTTATGGTCTTTTGCAATGAACTGGTTCTTCTCAGAATATGCCCAAAAATAGTTTCAGTTTGATTATGCGTGTTTGTATATGCTGGCATATGTGTGTGTGTGTGTGTGTGTGTGTGTGTGAGAGAGAGGGAGAGATAAAGAGGAAAGCTCAAAACCTCCCTCAGCCGCTGGTCAGGTTTCTCAGAGGCTATTCGGTAACATGAGCTCTTCCTGGCCTGCAGATGAATTGGTAAGCTCAGTGCAATCTGAGCAGAGAACTGGTCTAATTGGACCTAATTCCTCATGTTTAAGCCATTAGGTCAGCCAGGCTCAACTGACTGGAGCTGATCTCTCTCTTAAGCTTCACTGCTGCATGTGCCGTAATGGGAGATCTTGGAAAAGCCCATTATTTATAAGTGCTGAAACTTAAAGTACTGTTTAATGTCCATGAAGTTTCTTTAAAAGGGGGGTTTAGAAGGCTGGGCATACTGTTCCAGCTCATGGCTGTGAGTTTTCAGAGAATATTACTCAAAACTTAATCATTCTGCTGAAAGATTTTCCTCTTGTGTTCATTCATAATTCACTAATGCGCATGATGAAATACAGCCAACAGCAGCCCTTCTGTTCGTTCTCTTCAAATGCAGTTTGATAGCACTGTTAAATGATTGATCATTCTAGTTTCCTTTAACTTTCAAAATGAGGGTTGGTTCAGATCTGCAGAGCTACACTGCCTGTCAGCTAGGTTTTCAAAATGTTTTAATAAAAGAGCTTGTTTTCTTTGTAACTTAGAGTAACTTAACACATGTAACAGAAGGTTGGATGCATAAACTCTAAAACTAAAGCAACAACCAACAAACACCCTACCTTGGGAACAATGCCAAAGGCAACACATCGTATCTCCTTGTTGTGATGTCAGCACTCATCGGCAACCTTTCAGGTGGTTGAACCTTTGGCCCAAAAGAATTTCAATAAGTGCTTTCAATAAAAGTTTGGAAAAGATTTTTTTTTAGTTATTATTTAGGTCAAACCTGCATTTCATACCAAGGAAGATACCTTAATGAACATAATGAATGTGTTGAAGATAAATACCCAAAGAATTAGCGCATGGCTGTTGTATGCAGTTGTTTTTTTCTACATAATTGAAAAGCACCAATGAAAATCAAATATTAAAATTCTTTCACAAAGCAGGCCAGGTGTACGTAAACCTTTGACTGGCTGTGTACAGTACTGTGCAAAAGTTAGAGACCACTTGTCATTTATTTGATTTCCAATCAACAGTGCATGTTATTCCATTTTCAGCATAAAGAAAAAAGCAGAAAACACATATTTAACCTCAATGACCGAATATAATATCATTCTTTAACATTTAGTGTTCATCTTTTGCTTTTATTACAGCTTACATTCTGTGAAACTCACAATCACTACGAAAAAGTCATGATTGGAGAAAAAAGGAGCAGCATTTGATGGAAAGAACACCGTGCCAACTGTAAAGCATACCATTGTATTATACTTTGGGGTTGTGTAGTAGCCAGTAGCTGAGGCTGAAATGAGGCTGCGTTCTACAGCAGGACAGTAATTCAAAATGTATCTCAAAATCCACTATGAATTACTACAAGTGACACAAGCTGAAGCTTTTGGAACAGCCCTTAGATTCCCCTGACTTGAGCATCGTTGAACATCTGTGGGTCAGTCTTAAACATGGTAAAAAAAAATAGTTTTAGCAAGGAAGAGTGGTGAAAATTTCTAAAACAAGAATAGAAAGACTTCTAGCTGGCTGCAAAAAGCCTTTGCCTGCTTTGATGTCTGTTAAAGGAAGAGTGAAGTACTAACTTAGTAGGGTGTCCAGACTTTTGCACATGCCATTATTACTATTTCTTCCATTTTTTTTAAAACTAATCAGATCTAAAGTAACTGTGCGTAAACGTTTGCACTTACATATATTGCATACATGTTTTTATTACTTTCAAGAGACTCACTTTTAGTTTCTCAAAGAAATCTGCAGGTATATTTTTCCACTCCTCCAAAGTTCAGTCTTAGAGGTTGGTTGCATTTCCTGCATCTCATGATCCAAATGATCCCAAACACATTCAGTGATGCTGAGATCTGGACTCTGGGGTGGTCAGTCCATTGTTCTGAGAACACCAGCAGCTTCTTTGCTTTATTTGCAGATGTTTATCTAAAAAATTAATCAGCTACACATCCTTTCAGAGTCATAGCGCTGAGTTGTCTTCTCATAGTGGAAAGATGGACAGAAACACCTGTGAATTCTTTCAGATCTGAAGCAAGAGCTTAATTTTCTCCTCTCTCACACAGTTTTGGTGATCTACCAGGTCTTGTATGACTGTTAGGAGTCGTCCATCTCTTGAAAAATGAATCATTTTTTTTCTAGTTTTTACTGGAAATTAAATAAACGAAGGGTTGTCTCTGATTTTTACACAGTTCTGTACGTTTAACACATTGGACAAAACAAAATCCCTTTTTTCACTGCTATATATCAAGTATCTCTGATTTTCTAGGCAACATTTAACAAATAGCGCAAGTGAATCTGGCCTGGAGTGGACAGTGTTTATTATGTGTAGCTAAAATATATCAATATTTTCACCTTATTTGACCAGTATTTAATCATTTAACTTAACTTTGTGTACTCTGTTCACAGGCTGACCATCCACATGGATGATGAGCTGCGCTTGATAGCCCAGAATTCCCTTCAGAGTCTGCTGGTGGACTTCTCAGACTGGAGAGAGGAGGTTCTGCTGGGCTTTAGCAGCTTCCTGCTGCGCGAGGTTCAGGACACACACCAGGCCCTGCTGGACTCCTCCATCAAACTGCTCCTGCAGCTCCTCACACAGTGGAAACTGGCCCTGCTCGCGTCCAGCAAGAGCCTGGACACGGCTAAGATCTGCTCTGCTGAGGTACCGTATGGAGAGAGATATATTTATCCATGTCACCATATGGACACCCATATTTATCCACATCACCATTGTTACAGTGCAGAGTGTGAAGAGTGTTGAGCAGTATGATGTTTGAAGAGTGATAAGATGTACAGAATATTTTTGCGCCTTTATTGGCTTTGAAATTGAGATTTTAGGTGGGCAGATGATGGACAAGTGCTTAGTGAAATGTAGCTGAGGGCAGTTAATAGGCTTATTACATACTAAGGCTTATTATTCAGTAACTACAGGGGCTTCAGTGCAAACTGTCTGAGCTATCATTAGGTTACTGAAGTGTGTAATAAAACTTAGTAGTTAGGTAGTAGGTAGGTAACACCCTTCATTTATTTAATTTCCAGTTATTTAATTTCCAGTTAAAACAGTTATTTAATTTCCAGTTAAAACAGCCATTAGGTAAAAGGGTTTCATTTTACAGTGTCAGAGAAAAGACAGAAAATATGTATTTAACAGATTATTTCAGTGTTTAGTGTGTCCACTCTTTGCCTTCATTACAGCCTCTGTTCTTTTCAGTAGGTTTGGTTTCAGTTTTTTAAACGAAATCTGCAGGAATATTTTTCCACACCTCCAAAGTTCAGTCTTAGAAGTTGGTTGCATTTTCTGTGTATGATCCAAGTAATCCCAAACACAATCAGTGGACTTTTTCAGATGTTCTTCTTCTTTTTTCCATTTTTGTAACAGCTACACATCCTTTCAGACTCATAGTGTTGAGTTGTCTTCTCACAGTGGAAGGATGGACAGAAACACCTGTAGATTTTTTCAGATCTGAATCAAGACTGGAGCTTGATTTTCTCCCCTCTCTCAAAGATGAAAGCTTTAAGTGCTGTGTATCTGACAGGGACAGTTTTGGTGGTCTACCAAGGCTTACTCGATGTTAGGTGGCCCATTTTCTCTGTATCTTTTAATCATTTTTTTAAATTCCAGTTTGGAAATTTAAAATATATATTTTCCTTTGAATGTCATTTGACTTTCCTAGTTTATATCTAATGTCCTCAGAAGTATCTTCTAAAAAATATTAACATATTTAATGGCTGGAAATGGTTTTGGAAATTAAACAAATAAAGGGTGGTCTCTGACTTCAGCACATGTTGTAGGTACTTGCATACACATGGGACATGCGAATGACCACATATACTGTAGCTAAAAAAAAACAATACAGTCTTTTTATATGAAAACAATGTGTGTGTTAGTTATTGCAGGGGGGCTCCAGCTCCAGGCTTGTTCCAGAGCGTGCTCCTCACTCTGCAGTGCTACATGCTCTGGAGGGTTTGGCTCTGGTACTGCTGTGCTCTTGCCACACGGCCACACGCAAACTGGCTGTGGCCATCCTCCGAGAGGTCCGCCTCATCCTCCTGACCACCGGACACAGTGAGGTCAGAAATGCCTCTCACACACTGCAGCTTATGTCTTTTCTAGTTTGTGGGCAGTAATTGCCAGTTTAACAGGCCTTAAAGGAATAGCTTGGTCAAGCAAGCAAATGTGGCTAAAAGTGCATAGGAGTTAGTAGCCATCACTTAGCATCATTTAATTTGCTAAGCCAGTTGGCGGCTGTTTGTTTTCATTCATTTTTAGGAACATTAGCAGATTTGACTAAACCATTCCTTAAAGGTCAGCCATGCATTAGCAGTTGACATTGTTTTGCAGAACCTTAACCAGCAATGGCTTGAATGAAGTCATTAGGTATTATTATTAAATGAAATAAATTAGATTTATTATGATGTCTTTTTGTTTAGCCTGATAGGCTTTGTGCTTTTATTTGTGCCACTGGTTCGTGATAATTTGCTATACCTAAATGGTGGTTCTAGACATGGTAAATATAAGCTGTGGGCTTATTATTCAGTTGTTAAAGGGGGATTCCAAAGATTTTACTGTATGTCTCAATCATTGAGATATAAACAAAATCATTTCAGAGAGCTTTAACGGGAAATGATTCATTCAAACTTAATAACTCAGATTTATTACAGGGGTTACAATGTCTGCTATGTAAATATAGGCATTTTATTTACTATCCAAAATTACCAGTGAACCTACACATGTCTTAAAAGAAATGCTAATAATGGAAAAGTAGTAGAAAATTCCAATAATAGAGGTTTTCTAAATAAAAAATATATATTAAAAATAATAAATATATAATAAAAATAATATTGTGTTGTGCTTTGGGCCAAAACTTCAGGCATCAGGCAATGTATTGATGTTATATGTTTGTGTGAGGGAGCTTCTAGAGGCATTAAACACACTAGATGTCTGGTTCCTATTACAACCACAGTGAGCAATCTGACTCTACATGTTTCTTAGAATAGATCATTTCACATCAGACCACTCTTTGACTTGACATGACTTTATTAACATCTTAACCATAAAATTCTTCAGAAATTTAGGAGAATTGGTGGAATTCCCCTTGAAAGCATCTGAGTTGTTATTCAGTAATATTTTGGAACTAATATGTAAGTCATGTAAGAGAAGAAATGAAGTGTGCATATGGGGCATTAGGGATTAAGGGCTTGTCCAGTGTAAACACGGTACTGCTAGTTTATGAAAGCTGGCCTGTGGTGGGTGTTTGTATACTGTGCAGGAGGATGAGCGGCCCATGCTGGACGTGCTGGATCAGGTGAGCCCGGTGGTCCTGGAGAGTTTCGCCCATGTGGTGAGGGACTCGGTGAGTAGCTCTTTATGTTTTAGCATGTTAGCTGGCTCTCCTGAGTGCTGTGCTGAGGGAGGCTGAGCCACGACTGAACAGAAGCAGCTTCTGTACAGCCACAAAGTCTCCTCTGTTTGCTGTCTATATGAATTTGTATTTGGCTGGATGTTTAATATGCGGGCTGTGTGCTTCCACTGTTCCCTTTCCACAGCAGCACTGATGGTGATCCTTTACTCATGGAGAGTTATCGGTTTTTTGTATTTTGATGACTCAGCTTTTCAAATCAGAGATTTTGGACTTTTATTTTAGGATTATTTACAATAAATTTGTGTAATATTTACATATTTCAGCACAGCACCTCTGCCAGGTGATGCAATCTAAGATGTTGCAGATTAATTTATTGAGGGTTTTCATGCAGTCTGACAAATGTATCATTGCACTTTTTTAAATGTCCAGAACTTCATCAATATATCCTTTTTATGTTCCAGCTCAAACAATATATACAGCAATCTAACCCATTAGAAGCCTGAAGTTATGTGATATTGTTTTTTTAAATGTATTTACATAATTCCATAATTAATTACACAGTTATTACACAATGTAATACGGTTATGCTTAGTTAACGTTCTGTATTGTCTCATTCATACCTGCAAACACTGAAATATCGCAAAAAACGATGTTTTTTTTCTTCCTGTAGAACTGCTGTCTGTGCACAACAATATCTTTCTTTGAATTTACACCATAATGAACTATTTTGGAGGAGAGCTTTTTAACATGACATATATAGAACATTTTTAATGAATCTATGAATAAAAAGTTTGAAATTGTATTGAATCTATACGAGGGAGGATACAGACTTGTATGATGAACCAGACATTGGTTACTTCAGTAGGCGTAGTTTTAGCAGTGTTAAACTAACCCCACTGTGTGGAGGCTGTACTTCAGTCTTGCTAGATCTCACTTTGAGTTACTTATATTCTATACTTTTACTTATGGTGTACTTATTCAATTATTCTAAAGCATATATATATACTTATATATATTTGCTTTGGAATAGTGCTACATTACAGCCACAGAGAGAGTGATTAAAATAATATAGTTGTTTATAATTTTATTTTCAAACAGCTCTTTATTACAATATTACAGAACTGAAAACCCAAAACAACCCCCTTTCCCTCTTCTATCAGGATGATTCTCAAGAAAAATCTGTTACATAGCCATAAATGTTTAAAATAAAGTTCTACCTGTTTTGGAGTTGAAATATTCCGTTTTTTTCCTCAACAATATTGACGGAATATATATAGATGGGAAGGTGTAAGATTTACAGAACCTGGAGTAAACTGGATTTTCATAGGTGAACAAGCAATTCAGCATTTATAAAAGTGTTTTTATTAGTTTTTATTTATGTGTTTGATTGTTTGATATGAAGAAAGCTGCAGTTGTGTCTTTTTTATCTCAGCACAGCTGTCTTTGTCATTCCCTCATTGCTTGCTAGCAGCTCAACACAGTCACAACATTTCACAGCGAAAGTGACACAGAGATTTTTTTTTCTGTTAGTTTCAATGAGCTACGAGTGAGAAATAATTACTGTCTACATGCTTTTGTTTTCAATTGTAATAACTGTGCCTTCTGACGTTTAATGACAGTGTAAATATTTTATGCTTATCCTTTAAGTTTAGCTGTTACTTTAGACATGTTGCAATTCTCTGACTGATAAGTTTCCTCCCCTCAGATGTCGGTGCCAGTGGGCCAGCAGGCTGACCTGCAGTGGCTGGTGGAGTGGGGCGGGGGGCTCCTCAGCAGTCACTATGACGTCCTCAGCCCATCGAGGGTGTGGGTGGTGGCTCAGTCGGTGCGGGACCCCTGGGCCCTGTGCCTCTTCAGCCTGCTGAGACAGGAGCACTTGCCCAAACACTGCCCCACAGCCCTGAGCTACGCCTGGCCCTACGCCTTTACCCGCCTGCAGCTGCTCATGCCTCTGATAGAGCCTAGGTGAGCAATTAACGTCAGCCTGAGCTAGAATTCATTTATACTATGTACACTTTTGTACTATGCCTGTACTACATTTACTATGTAATAGAGCATGACTGATATATCTGATGAGTTCAGCCGATGTTGCTGGCATTGGCAGAACTCCTGCTGATAAAACACCATTTATATGAAATAATATGAAACATAATTTGAATAACTTGAATAATGGACAGGCCTCATATCATGGAAACGTACTATTCACTCCACAGTCCATTCAATGCAAATAGGAAATCTAAACTGTAACAACAGCTTTGAATTAGCTGTTTTGGTGGTGTCACGAAAACCAGTGCATTTACATATATCCACCTTTTCAGCCTACATAAGTTTAGCCCCACCCATTCACAATGAAGTTGGAAGGAGTGAATGCTTTTTGAATAAGGCACAATACAGGGTGGCCAATCAGATCAGACGTTATTTACATCAGTCTTAAAGGCAAGTGAGTCCAAATGCTCATTTAAAAATGAATGATAGCTGTTTTTAGTACATAAACCCACACAAACAAGAAGTGGACTTTAGAGGAAAAAATTAAGTAGAAGAAAAATGTATAATATAGACCCTCTAAATTTACTCTTGTGTAAGAATTCATGTTATTTAACTGTCTTATATGAAGTTTTAACTCGGTGGGTAATGTTCGGTTTAACTAAAACTATTGGATTTTCCTTTATTTTTTACCATATCAAAGCCCCAGGGAATCTAAATCAATGTTTTCATTCTAATTAGGTCAATGTTGCTCTTATAGGCACATAAAATAATATGTAAAACATGCTATGAATAATTGTCCAATATATCAATTAAATGACCAATGTATTTTGCCAAAAATTTCTCTCTTTTTAATACAAACTGGAAAGTCCTAAGCTTGAGTAAAGCTGATTTGAATGCTAGGCCACGTCCAGGCAGTCATCTTATAGATCTGGTCAGCAGTTTTTTAAGTAAGTCATATTTCTATCTTTTTTTTTTTAAACTTTGTTGAATGTTTATTATAACACTCAGTCTTAGTAGCATTCAAACATTTTTACTCTGTTTTCCCTGGAAAATGATGTTGGACAGATGTTATTGGTTATCAGAGGTTTTAGCTCTTTAAAATCAGTATAACTGATATTGGTCATAGCAGTCGTGTCTTAATTGAAATGGTATTAATGTAGGTATTACTCAGTGCTACTTTTTTCTTTTTGGAATTATCTGAATGGTAGGCAGTATAGCTTATATACTCACAAAGTTTAGAATTCTTAAACTTTCCTAAAAACACTTACACATAATAGAATTAGTATTCAGACTGCTGTATTTTCGTCCATTTATGTGGTTATTAATGTGAGTTAGTGGACTCCTGCTATCCAAGTAGTGGGAGAGACACAGTACGGACATCTGCTAGGATTGCCCTCACTCCCCAGAGGCTCTTTAAGACCTTCTACTATTAACAACGTTGTTAATGCCTACTAGCAAGTTTTCACATCTATTTTTGCTACTACAGTTGGCACTTGCTTTTTGTCTTAGAGGGGGCCTTACTGCATGGCTCTCTCAGTCTAAATCACATGGGCTTAAGTTTTCTCACATCAACACATGTTATCTTCTTCTACCCAGTTTGGTATCTCTCTTGTGCTGAATACAAGGTCAAATGAAAGCTGTTTTTATGAATGCAGTGCTGATCATAAATTTGTTTTTAATATCCCGTTAGCAACCCTGCTAATGCTAAGAAGACGAGTGCAGCAGGCTCAGGTGACAGCTTCGTCTCTCTGTGGAGGAACTACCTAATCCTGTGCTTCGGTGTGGCCAAGCCGAGCATTATGAGTCCTGGCCACCTCCGAGCCTCCACGCCTGAGATTATGACCCCGACCAGTGACAGCAGCAGCGGCTACGACAACAAAGTGAGTGCCTGCAGTCAGTTATGAAACAGGTTATAAACAAACCATTGCGTTACAGCCTGTAACACTACATGTCATCCACGAGCAGACCTGGTCCTGTAGTCACTGTTATGTTTAATAAAGGTAATGTTTTTGAAAGTACACATTTAAAAAATTAACAAAATTCAGACAAAATTCAGACTTCTACTATTGTTTTCAGCTATGTGATGTTCTTTTGTTCATTTTTATGGTTAACAGTATGTCATACGTTGTCAGAAACTACATAAGCCACAGGTCTGTTTTAGATAGAACTCAATGAGAAACAGGCCAGTCTTGATGTATAACGTATAATGATTTGACTTTCCGTAGTTACCTCTAATGTCTGTAATCCCTCTCATTAAATGTTCAAGCATTCCTTCACTATATTGACTGGATGTGTTGTGGATCAGGTTGTTGGGACTCCGTCAGTAGCGTGGCTCCTGAAGCAGCTGGTTCCTCTGATGCGCTCTGAAAGCATTGAGATCACCGAGGCACTGGTGCTGGGCTTCGGCCGCACAAACTCTCTGGTGTTCAGGTACTGCTCACCTGTTTCATAACCAGACAGCTCATTTCCCACCGTCTCAGCTACTTTTATATACTTTAATATGCTCTTGTCTTATTTGTCGTTACTCTCATAACATGGTAGTTTCATAGTAGTTCGTAAAGTTGTTTAAAGTGGTTTAACCCCTTAAAATCACAGGCTTGTTGCATACTAAGGCTTATCATTCAGTGACTTCAGTGTCAGCTGGTTGGTTAGGTTACAGAAATGTGCAATAAAACTTTGGGTGTTCCGGCGGGCCCTGGCTGTGTAAGGAGTCAATGCAAAAGGGTTTTAATGTGCAAAATTCAAAATTCATTGTAGTCAGTTTTTTTTTATAGCTTGGCTTTTCAGCAGCTGTTACACTGCAGACATGCGATTAGAATTGATAGCACTGTTTTGACATACCATCTGTTCTAAACATACCTGTTGCATCTCAAATAATTTACATACCTGCCATGGTTTTGAACCCTGTACCTCTCCAAATTCCAGAAAGCTCTGTGGAGGCTAAATACCAAGAGTGCTTGACGCAGGCTCATTTAAAAGCGCACTCAAAGACATGTTTCAGTACACAGTTGCAAACAGTGTTGGGTATTTACTCAAAAAAGTAATCCATTACACATTACTAATTATTTCTCTCTAATTAATTCACTCTGTGGATTACTATACTCATTACATCCTGGAAGAAATCTCACTATTCATTACTTTACACTAAATCACTCTCTATTCTCTTCTGAGCTGCTAGGTTGCTTACTGAATTTGCAGTAGTGAAACTTCTCAAGCTTAGGCATGACTTCATTAAGACAAACACTTAATGTGCCCTTATGATAATTCAAAGTAGCTCATGAAAATATACTTTTGGATACATCCACTTTCGTCCTCCTCGGTCAGTGGACACCTGGCGCTCACACTACACTGGTTGTATCCCCAAACCAAGTTGTGTAGGCAACTGGCACAGGTAGTCGTGCATGCACAAAATATGTAAAAAGCGCAAGCACCAATAATATATAGACAGAATGTTTTAAATGCACTGTGCATACTTTATATTATATGCTCAGAAACATAATAGTAACCAAAAACACTTTACTTTGCTACATAACTGATATAAACATGTGATGGGAGATGCTGTCATGAGTCGTCTTGACAGATGTTGTTCAGTAATATAACATTGTCATGTTAGCTTGATGTCATGACAGCTTATATTACATGCTCATTGCTCTCTAGTTAGCCCCCTTGGCATCTAAAATTATGACACCTGTTATGCCAGGTACCAGTAATGATAGCAAGACACAGGCTGTGTTTACATGCAAAAATTTTTGCCAGTCCGGTTGAATACATTCCGATTATAGATCAAGACTGAGGTGTTTATATGTTCACTCTACTCAACAATCTGATGGAAAATCTCAGTTTATATGCTCACTATAAGTAATCCAATCCAAAATTATGCGCATGTGTAGAGAACCACTTAGTGTAGACGTTACCATGACAACGAGCATCTTGTGAGTCCAGTCAGAGTGAGACGAGCAGCAGTGAGCAGTGCTTCTGTTTTTAATTACTTTAAAATGATGTCAGACTCAGGAAGACGTCCTTCACATGTACTTATTAAAGAAGGCCGAGAGGAAGATGTCGTGTTCTGAGACACATAAGCTGGACGTCCGTCCCACCGCCGTCTTTTAAAGATCAGAGCATAAACTTCGTCTCCTCTGCAGACCAGTTTCTGCTCCGCCGTGTTGAACGTTACAAGCGCGAATGCATGTGCACAGAACATTCTTAAACTTTCCAATTGGGAATGTAATCAGATACAGGTGTTTACATGGTTATTATTCTTCTATTTAATGGTTTATTAACAGGATTACCCACCTCGTTCAATTGGATAGAAACTGTATTCTGAATGGCTTCAATCGGACTAGTCTATTCCAATTGAGGTGTTTACACGTACGTATGTATCCCTATCGAGCTATTAGTCGGATTATTAACGGTTTATTGGGCTGCATGTAAACGTGGCTACTGTTATTACTGGACATGATCTGGCATGACAACTCATGACAGCATATGACATCTACCATGACATGTTTATGTCAATGTTATGTAGCAAGATATTAAATCAACATTCTTATTAAGTCAGTAACTGTAATGTGTTTATAAGAACTGTAGACTAATACTTATACTGCTTTATTACAGTAAAAAATGAATTCGCATTGTAATGTCTTACTTTTGTTTTTTTATTTTTATTGCCACTTTTTTATTTTTAATAATTTTTGATTATATTATTGCTACTTGTTTCATATTTTTTTCTGTTATATTACCATTGTCTTTTATTTGTCTTTCAAGCATTTGAAGCTGCATTATGTGTATGAAACGTGCTGTAAAATAAAGCTTATTATTATTATTATTATTATTATTATCTCCACCACTGATTGCAAGTCATCATTTGACATACCTCCTCTTATAAACATACCTGTGGCATCTCAAATAATTTACATTCCTGTCATGATTTTGAACACTGTACCTTTCCACGTTACAAGAAGCTCTGTGGAGGCTACATACCAACAGTGCTTGACGCAGACACACTTTAAAGCGCACTTAAAGACATGTTCTGTGACTGTGTTCAGTTTAAAAGCTGTGAGTGTGATGAAATACACCTTTTTAGTGGGCACAGCTTTTCCTCATTTGCATTGTTATCCAGAGATCAGCTGAAAATGGCATTTACAGCACAGAGTCCAGTTGTGTATAATAGTGTTATTAAATGTACTCTGATCTGTCTCTTTGTACGGATTGAAACCAGACATAAAGACCTGGTTATTTTCAGACTCGCAGTGAACCCTGCACTGCTTTCACCTTGGCCCGCTTCCATGGCTTATTCTGTTCTCGGTCAATTTAATTGTAGATCGAATATCCCTTACTCTGAATAAACATACAGGACAGACCCAACGTCTCATTACAGATTTCATTTCCCGGACTCATTAAAGTATTAACGGCAGTACAAATGTTTGCGGATAAACCCGACTAGGCTGTATTGATTCTTCAGCTGGATTGATTCAATCATTTGAATGTGTTTTTTGGGCAGAGAGCTGATAGAAGAACTGCATCCTTTGATGAAGGAAGCTTTGGAAAGAAGGCCAGAGGTCAGTATTTAAGATTTAACAATCACTGTGTGTCATTGATTAAATGCATAATATCCATATAAACACTGTGAAAAGCATGTTTCTTATTATTACAATAAGAGAATACTTATTGTGCTGTTTCAGTGAGCAGAATAAAGAATCGCAGAGAGCAAAAGATGCCCTAATATCTCTTATATTTCATGGCTTCGATATTACTATGTAACTTTTATACGACCAAACCTTTGCTGAAAGTAATGGCAGCTTGATACATCAGAATGGACACATTCAGTAACACTGTTTCTGACTGTGAAAAAGCAAAATGAGTTGGATTGAATGGAAGTTCCACCCTTTACAAGGTCTTAGTGGTTGAGATGTAAAGTCATTCAGAGTGATTTGATGTGAAATAGTTCATTGTATAGAAACCTCCTGACTCAGTTTCTTTACAGTGGTAGTGATAGGAACCAGGGGTCATGATGTCTTCAGTGCAAATGTAGCCATTTTATTTACTATCCGGTGAATCTACATGTATCTTCTGAGTTTTTGTATGTAATGTTGGTGCAGATAAAATAGTGGTAAATCTGGAAAAATTATTTTTCTTTGGGAAATATTTTGTCTTACAGCCCCCTACATGTGCACCTCCACCAAGAGCAGATTTTGGAAATACCCTTTAAGCCAAAAGTATAAAACAAAACTTTTATAAAACAATGTCTCGGGCATTCGGCAGCATATTCATAACCATTTCATGTAATAATCTGTGAGAGAGCTTTTAGAGGCAGACATCTGGTTCCTATCACCACCACTGTGAACAATTCTACATCAGTGAGCTTCTCTAGAACAGAAATTGGGTAAAATTGGTGGTTTCACCTCAAACCACTCTGAATGACTGTGTTCACATCATCAGAAATTGGGTAAAATTGGTAGAATCCCTCTTTAAAGTACGATGAAGCTTTTCACATGGTTATATTGTGCTGTTCTAAGACCTTTGTAAACCTGTATATTTAAATTACTAGCTGAGACTGAACTTGTTTCATGGACAAATGGGTCTTTATTCTTTGTGTAACTGATGGGTGTCTGTGTTTCAGAATAAGAAGCGCAGGGAGAGGAGAGATCTACTGAGGCTGCAGCTGCTCCGGATCTTTGAGCTGCTGGCCGACTCTGGTGTCATCAGCGACAGGTAAGAGGAAAGCTCACACATGCATATTTGTTTGTTTTCTTGCATTTTCAGGATGAAAATGTCCTGACTTTATAGAAAAAAACAGAGAAAAAAGCAACTAAATGGTCCTGACTACTTTTTTTACATGTGCATGCCAACATGTATTTGTGTGTGCGGTGGTGAAGCGTCTGGATACGCAGGGTATGCACTTTCATAAAAGTACTTTCCGACGCTCTTTACTCACTGGAAGGCAGGGCGCACATTGCTGTTTATCATCTGAAAGTGCCCTAAGGGGCCTGTCACTCACCTCTGCTTCTTTTTTATCAGTGTACAACAGTATGTTGAAAAAGTGTGCAAAAGTTTGAACAGACCCCATCAAACCACATGCTTTGTTAACTTTCTAAGTAAAAATTAGTTGATATGTCCTCTACAGGGAACAGAAAACATTTTTAAGTGCATGTTCTGTTTATTACTTGTATGTACAACTGCACAATTACCTCTGCTTCTTATCAGTGATAACTGACCAATTTAAATCCACATCTCATTTTCTTAGCCCTCCAATCAATACTTACAAGACAACAGCCGTGCGCTTTGGCAGTGCGCTTGCCACCAATAACAAAAACAAACAGTTAAAAAAATCTGTTTGGTAAACTGAATTGTAGCTAGTTTGAATGTTGAGTTATCCACTTAACATACAAGTGTCATAGGATGCCACCTCTGCCACAAGTCAGTTGGTGATATTTCTACCCTGCTAGATCTGCCATGGTCAACTGTTAGTGCTATTACTGTGAAATGGAAATGACTAGAAGCAACAACAGCCACAAAGTCCACAGAGTTCTGAAGCATGTAGCACATAAAAATCCTCGCTTACCCTCTTTTGCATCACTCACTACAGAGCTACAAACTGCCCTGGGAGCAACAAAAACTGTGCATCAGTAGCTTCATGAAATGGGTTTCTAAGGTCAAGCAGCTGCAAACAAACCTAAGATCTCTATGTGCAATGCCAAGTGTCGGCTGGAGTGGTGTAAAACACGCTGAAACTGGACTCTAGAGCAGGGAAAACATGTTCTGTGGAGTGATGAAGCATGCTGCCAGGAGAATGCTAACCAGCTGAATGCATAATGTCAACAGTAATGTTTGGTAGAGGAGGGATAATGCTCTGGGGCTGTTTTTCAGGGTTTGGGCCCCTTAGTTCCAGTGAAGGGTGATGTTAAAGCATACAGAAACATCTGAGACAATTATATGCTTCCAATTTTGTGGCAACAGTTTGGAAAAGACCCTTTCCTGTTCCAGCATGATGAGCCCGTGTGTATAATTGAGCTCCATAAAGACATGTTTTGATGAGTTTGGTGTGAAGGAACTCCGGTGGTCTGCACAGAGCCCTGACCTCAACCTCACTGAACACCTTTGGGATGAACTGGAACGTTGATTGTGAGCCAGTCCTTCTCGTCCCAACATCAGTGCCTGACCTCACAAAAGCTCCTTTGATTGAATGGGCAAAAATTCCTCAGACACATTCCAAAATCTTGTGGAAAGCTTCACAGAAGCTGTTAAAGCCACAAAGAGGGTAGGGGTTATTAATGCCCATGGTTTTGGAACAGGATGTCCAACAGGCTCAGGTGTGATGTTCAGGTGTCCACATACTTACACATATAGTGTATTTTAGTAAATTTCGCTCCAGGAGGAATTTTTTTGGTATTGCACTGTGTCCTCCTGGGCTTGCCTTTCAATATGTTTCAGATTAAGGGTGTCCCGGTCCAAATCTTTGCTGATGGGCCCAGACTTGCCGTGTCTCTGGTGACTGAGGACCTGCACAGTTTCTGATTTTAACAAATTACTATACATAAAATCTGACATATATATCTCTGTCTTTTTCTCTCTCTTTCTTTTAGCACTAATGGAGCACTGGAACGGGATACTCTTGCTTTAGGCGCTCTCTTTCTGGAGTACGTAGATCTGACCAGGATGCTTCTGGAAGCTGAGAATGATAAAGACGTGGAGATTCTCAAAGACATCCGAGCCCACTTCAGCGCCATGGTGGCCAACCTCATACAATGTGTGCCTGGTAAGAAGAACCTTTTAAACTGCACATAAACAAAAGCCTTTACTCCACATGTTCACAGGGCTGTGTGCAGCAGAGAGGGGCTCAAGTTAGCATCTTTAGTTTTACACTGGAGCTGTAAAGCTAACAAGTAATGGAAGCTTAAACCCCATCAATTAGCATCAAACTGCATGACTGAAGCTGTCACACATCACTTATGTTATGTTGTTAATAGCAGTGTCAAAGTTAACGCATTAACGCGATGAATTATCAATGCCACTATTTTTTAAAATTAAAAATAAAATTTGAGGGCTCCCGAGTGGTGCAACCATCTAAGCGTTGGCCCTATCATCAGGAGATCGCGAGTTTCATTCCTGATGTTACAGCCACGGGAGTCCAAGAGAGCACAATTGGCCTCACTCACTCTGGGTGGGTAGGATGGCTCCCCCATCACTCAGCACGATGCTAGCCAGCGCAGGCCTCTGTTAGCTGATGTAGCAGATCTGGCAGTTGGCGCTTTCCTCCGAGCACGATCAGCTGTCCAATGACATTGCATTAGTGGCAGTTCGAAAAGATGCGGTGGCGCTTCACAGAACTCGGAGGAAGCCTGTGCTAGCTTTCGCCCTCCTAGCGCTGGTGGCATCATGTGACTGGGGGGGTCCTAACTAGTCGGTGGAAATTTCGGAGAAAATTCGGGAAAAATCCAATAAATAAATAAATAACATTTGAGCAAATAATACAAATGCAATATAGTTGCATTAACTACATGAAAGAATCTGATTCATTACAATCATTTTAACTGTTTGTTAGCTGTAGTTGCTAGTCTATTTCTGCATTTACATAACAGCAAAGCAAGACAGTTTCTGTTTAGCCTCTCATTCATTTCTGTGGAGACAGATGGAGTTTTTAAAGATTTTTTTCACTAGTTCACATTTTAAAATTAACATTGGACCAGAACTAGTCTAGAACAGCTAAACCGACTCACATTATAGCAGCCAATAGTCAGCAAAGGAAACATTATGCTTTGTTGTAAAGTAATCGCTGCCTAAAATAGACTTGCTTATGTGGTTTCTAGCACCGTATTACATACTGTTATCTATAATAAGTGACAAACAAACAAAATCACCTTATTATATACCTTTTCCATTCCAGATTTTTGCTCAGATTGAATGTCCTGAGCTTGGTCAAGAGTCGATATTTTGCTTTAGAGTGTCTCATTTCCACAGTTTGGGAATAAGACTCCATTGCTAGGCAACAGGCCATGATCTCTGCCTGCCGCTGTCTGCTGTCTGACGTAGGACTCAATTTGAACCCGGCAGACACCATTCCTAAAATAGCAGGGGATTATGAGAGCAACATCAGGGGTAAAAGATGGGTCACGCTGTGCCAAAAGATAACCAGACACTCCAGGCTACCTCGTGAAGCGACAAAAAGAAAAGCAGACATTCAGACTTGTCTGATACACTGATTAGTGAAGGCTAAAAAGAGTGAATATTAAAGCCGTGATTCAGCAGCTTTATTATGGGTTGAATTCCCAGACAGGGATTCCGCCTGGTCCTTTCCATTGGAGAATCACCATTCAAAACGCTGTGTAGTCCAGGACTAGGCTTGGACCGGCCCTAACTGCTTCAGAACTTACAGACTGCTGATTCACTTTATTAACCTTTTTTTCTTATTCTTCCTTCAATCTTTCAGTGCACCATCGCCGATTCCTCTTCCCCCAGCAGAGCTTGCGCCATCACCTCTTCATCCTCTTCAGCCAATGGGCCGGCCCCTTCAGCATCATGTTCACGCCCCTGGATCGATATAGCGACAGGAATCATCAGATTACGAGATACCAGTACTGCGCCCTGAAGGTGAACTACTCCCACTGAACCTACTCACTGCTTTAGCTGTGTTTATCATTAAAGAACCTGCAATTGTTTGATATGCATAAAACAGATACACTGATCAGGCATAACATTATGACCACCTCCTTGTTTCTACGCTCACTGTCCATTTTATCAGCTCCACTTACTATATAGGTGCACTTTGTAGTTCTACACTTACAGACTGTAGTCCATCTGTTTCTCTGCATACTTTGTTAGCCCCCTATTACCCTGTTCTTCAGTGGTCAGGACCCCCATGGACCCTCACAGAGCAGGTACTATTTGGGTGGTGGATCATTCTCAGCACTGCAGTAACACTGACATGGTGGTGGTGTGTTTGTGTGTGTTGCGCTGGTCTGAGTGGATCAGACACAGCAGTGCTGCTGTTGTTTTTAAACACTGTGTCCACTCACTGTCCACTCTATTAGACACTCCTACCTTGTCAGACCACCTTGTAGATGTACAGTCAGAGACGATAGCTCATCTGCTGCTGCACAGTTTGTGTTGGTCATCCTCTAGTCCTTCATCAGTGGTCACAGGACGCTGCCCACAGGACGCTGTTGGCTGGATATTTTTGGTTGGTGGACTATTCTCAGTCCAGCAGTGACACTGAGGTGTTTAAAAACATGTCTGATCCACTCAGACCAGCGCAGCACACACTAACACACCACCACTACATCAGTGTTACTGCAGTGCTGAGAATGACCCGCCACCAAAATAGTACCTGCTCTGTGAGGGTCCATGGGGGTCCTGACCACTGAAGAACAGGGTAAAAGGGGGCTAACAAAGTATGCAGAGAAACTGATGGACTAAAGTCTGTAATTGTAGAACTACAAAGTGCACCTATATAGTAAGTGGAGCTGATAAGATGGACAATGAGTGTAGAAACAAGGAGGTGGTGAGACTTTTGGTAAAGCATTTCTTGTCTAAATGTCTTTAAAGCATTAAGAAACCATTGGAAACATTCTCAAGTTCACGGTGCTGTTATTTCTGGCCAGCGGCTAATTTTAAACATGCCAGTTACGTTGCTAATCCTGGCTGCGGATATTAACTCTGCTATCTTTATCCTCCTGAGTCCGCATATAGAACTAAAAGTGGAGTAAGAGCGTGCTGTAGACCTTTATAACTCCAGACCTGCAGCTGAGGGTTCGTGAGGTGACATTGGTGGAAGTCCAGCCTCGATGACGTGTGTTTGTCTTGCTTTTGTACTCGAGGGAGCCCCTGTTGATGATGTCAGTGGTGCTGAGTGATGACATGTAAACAGTGTCTGGTGCGTGTCTGCACCGGAGGCGAGAGATGTGGCGAGGTGCTATTCAGCGCTGCGCCTCTTTTCAGCTGTGTGTACTTGTATGCCCTTTGCTTCCTGAGGTAGCCTTTAGCTCTATTCAGTAACTGTGAGAGGGTCTGTAAGCTGATCTTGTGCAGCTCTGTGTGAAGTATGTAATTTCAGAGCCTTTGCACGGTTAAAAACATAAAACAGAACATGATATGAGTGTAATGGAGTGTATTCTCACTGCTTCGTTTCTTCTGCCGTTTGGTCACGAGGGGCTGAAGTTCATCAAAGCACAGCAAAAATGTCCCCTCTTAACTTCTTTAGAAAGAGTTTCCAAAATTGGACTAACAACCATGCAAGACCACCAAAACTGCCCCCATCAGATGATCAGTACTTAAAGCTTTTATCCTTGAGAGAGAGCAGAAAATCAAGCTCCTGTCTTGATTCAGATCTGAATAAATCCACAGCTGTTTATGTCTATCCATCCACTGTGAGAGGACAACTCAGGGCTATGGGTCTGAAAGGATGTGTAGCTGACAAGAAGCCCTCACTGAGAAAAGAAATAGACAAAAAAATAATAAATTTTGCAGATCAAACAGAGAATCTGCTAGTGTCCGCAGAACAATAAACTGGCCACCTCCGAGTCCATCATTGAACGTATTTGGGACTATGTGGATCATGAGAATCAGAAAAAGCAACCAACGTCTAAGACCAACGTCTAAGACTGAACTTTGGAGGTGTGGAAAAATATCTCTGCACAATTTCAATTTCTTTGACAACTGAAAGCGAGCCTCCTGAAAAGCATGGAAACTGTAATAAAGGCAAAGAATGACCATGTTGAATACTGGAAATTCTGATCCTGGAAAATGGATAACTTATACTTAGCATCCATTTTGACTAGAAATCAAATAAATGAAGGTGGTCTCATGACGGAAAAAGACCTCTGCATCCTGTGGTCTAATTTAAGGTTGCACAATATGGACAAAATACTAGTATTGTGATTATATTACATTACATATTGTGATATCACTTGCAATATGATTGGTGAAACAATAAAGATGTGTGGAGACTTACCTGCATTAATTTAACCAAACAAATTGACTTTTGTTGGATTTCATGAACACCTTAACTCACAAAAACACAGAAAAAGGCCCAATCCCATTTCACCCCTTGCCCCTACCACTTAGCCCTTAGCCCTCCGTTTTGCACGTTCACGTCTAGGGGGAGGGTGTCCCGATTTTTGTTGAGATAGAGGGGTTGGGTGAAGTGTTAGGGCTACATGGCCCTCCAAATGGAGAATTTTCAGAGGCACATTCCAAACGGCTTGTTATGAGAAAAAAGAAAAACCGACAAGATGGCTGGGCCAGCGACCAAAGAAACCCACAAATGCGAGTCTTTTCTCCGTTAACAGATTAAGATAACCATCGTTTTATCTTAGTTTGATGTTGTGTCAATGTATTATGGTCCTTTGCTTCATAACAAGCATAAAAATTGCTAGCACTATGCTAACGTCTCGGTAGCTAGCTAGCTAAATTTCCCGTGCCACCTTAAATAGTCCAGCAGTTCTGACGCCTGAAGCGGCAGAACGTTACTGCTGCTCCGTTTAAGGTGGAACGGGAAAATTCGACAGAGAAGCTGGCAAAAAAATCACTTAGAATTAGGGGTGGGTGGTAGTGAATCATTTTCACACCCCCCCCCCTCTTTAAAGACATATGATGCCCTAAATGTAACTAAAGCCCAGCAGTGAGGACTTTACCCTATTCTGCTGTCACTGCAGACTGGCAGGGTCACCTACAGAGCAGCACTAGTAGCTGTTAATGAAGTGATGTTCTTTTTTATTTGAGGGTCCCATTTTGTAGGGGAGGATTTCCACACCTACCTGTTGTGACTCAGTTCTGAGGGGCAAGGTGACACTTGAAAACAAGGGGTAGGGGTAAAAATTAGAAATGGGATCGGGCCAAAGACGTGTGTCTGTGATTTACTCACATGCTCACAGCACACAGTAAAAAGGGCCTGAGGGCTCATCTGTGGATTGCAGCCTTATGTGATATCAGTGTTATGAAGGCCAATATCACAAAAGAGTAACATAATGATCGCTCAGTGGAGGAGATACTAAACATGTCTTTCTCTCTGTTCCTCTTAGGCCATGTCCACTGTGCTTTGTTGTGGCCCTGTGTTTGACAACGTGGGCCTCTCTCCAGACGGATACCTCTACAAGTGGCTGGATAACATCCTGGCCTGCCAGGATCTGCGGGTACACAGCCAATTATTCATCACACTGAAACGAAAAAATAAATAAATAATTCAAAAACACCCTCCACAGGTTCACCTGTGCCTGTATGTCTTGCACTAAATCAGCTCAATTTTGCCCTCTTTAGAAATCCTTCTTTATGTCATTTCTTCCAGCAAATTCCAATGAAATTTAATTGCGTTCACTATGAGTTAAAGTGATAGTTTGGTGAAAAATCAGATCTACATGTTTCCCCCTTATTGTATTCAATCAGCCAGGATTTCTTTGGTGTCCTAAATTTCTTTCTTGAGCTACTAGTAGCTAACAAGTAATGGAAGATTATACCGCAGCAATTAGCAATGAATAGCATAACAGGTCTAAATCATCACACACTTGCCTCAAACAGTGTTGTATGGTTACGTAAGCTCAAATAGACTTGTTTACGTGGTGTTTGACAACCATATGACATAGTGTTATCAATAAAATGGACAAAAGTGTATTGCACAGCTAAACATAGTAGCATCCATCCTGAAGCTTGAATTTTTACTGTTCTTTTGTCGATTTTTGTAGATAAAAGTGTCAGAAACCACATAAAGCAGGTACATTTGAGATTACTTCATAGCTCAGTATGATTTTAGACTATTATGTGTATATATATAAAGAGTATTATGATAGTTGGTCATGATAAGCTTCTGTTTCTAGTTCGCTACATTAGCCTGATGGCTGCAATGTAAAACTAAAGAGGCTAACTTTGGACATGAATATGTCTTGGAAAAATTTTTCCATTGAACTATCGCTTTAAGGTGGTTGTCACATTTCTGTTCATATAGCACTTGAATTGTTAAATAAAAGACTGTGTTTACATTATTCTGCTTTCATGGAATCCCAAACTTAGTGCAAGGCAGATAAGGCCCAGATAAGCCTGAGAGAGAGATTGGGCCGTGGTGATGTCATCACAGCAAGATGTGTACCTTGCTTGGCAAAAAGTCTTTGGTATTCATGTTCATCTTTTTTAATTGGCCTGAAAAAACAATGAATATATTTGAGTTAAGCAAACACTGTGTATATAATCATGTGTGGTGACTGATTTCAGATCAATATATTTACAGTGTCAAATATCAGGGTAATACTTTACTGTAGGGTACAGTTCATAAGGCCACATGACACCCACATAAGCTTGTCATGACAACTGACATAACCTTACATAAATGCTTATTCCAGTAGGCTTCATATGTCATAAAGGCTACTTTAGCTAACTTTGATCAAAATTGGCATATGTAACATTTATAGTGAATGACACCTTTTGGAATAAGCATTTATAAACATTTCTGTGGGTCTATGTCAGCTGTCATGACAAGCTTATGTAGGTGTCACGTAGCCTTATGAACAGCACCGTACAGTAAAGTGTTACCAATATCGGTTATTTATTTCAGGCATAATATTTAGTCTGTAAAACCTTTCAGAGGGTGCACACCTTCTCCAGCCTGCAAACAGACTCTCAGATAAAGAGCTGCTTAGTTATCAATGGTTTAAACAGTGCTGGTTGGGTGTGTCTATGCAGGTGCATCAGCTGGGCTGTGAAGTTGTGGTTCTGCTGCTGGAATTGAACCCGGATCAGGCCAATCTGTTCAACTGGGCTGTCGACCGCTGCTACACTGGCTCCTACCAGCTGGCGTCGGGCTGCTTCAAAGCTATTGCCACAGTCTGCGGAAGCAGGTGGGCAGGAAATGAAACGTTTTTGGAGCTAAAGGGGCCATACTGTATATACCCATACCCATTTTTTGCCAAGTCCCTCGCACTAGTTAAGTCTCCCCATCACACGAGGCTATCAAGCAGAGAGGGTGAAAGTGAGCCTGTGCTTCCTCTAAAACACGTGAAATGCCACTGCATCTTTTGGGCAGGTCAACAGCGCTTGATATGTAAGCATTGTTAATATTTGAGAATGTATCAGTCATTCCCCCATCCATGTATGGAAACTAATCTACAAATATAGACAGTTTAGAAGTTATAACTGCATACAGTTTTCTGTGGAAATATATGATTTCCTTTACTTATTCAACCTATAGAAATTTAACCCCATACATGTTGAAGTTATGCAGAGTGTTGTTACTGCAGACAGTGTAGCAGAGTTCAACGTTATGTTGGGTGTCAGCAAACGGATCATTTCAGCTTTCCAAAGGATCAAGACATCTGAAAGGAGCTGCTACAGTTTCCTTTTTTCCAAGTTGACTGAGAACTTTAGTTTGAACATAACGATTTCTTCCATGCATTTCAGCTTGGACTGCTTTTTTTGGACAAGGCACAATGCAGGGCGATGAGAAACAGAGGTCATTTACATATATGAACCTTAAAGGCTTAGAATCAAGTTTGCTTAATCCCAGCAAATTCCAGGTGTATTACATCCTAGGGCTTATAATTCATTCTTATAAATAGACTACAGTGCAAACTGGCTGAGTAATTCTTGTAATAAACTTTTGAACTTCTAAGTTAATTTAAGGGGTTAATACATAGAGATTAACCTTGTTTAGTATGTATGCGTAAGGTTATATAAAAATTATGGTCATATAAAAAATATGGCTAATGAATAACAAATCATGGCTGTTTTTGGCACATAAGTGGAAAATGTTCTAATATACTGTGCCAGCTTGTTTCCACAAAGGTAAGCACAAGGTTGCTGTGAAATAGTACAGTTTGTGTGGCTTTGAACATGACATTTAATAGTAAGATGGTTTGCAAAAGCTGCTGAGCTTTTCTGGTATCTGGCCCATTTTATAGATTAAGGAAAACTGTGTCTGCACTGAGTTGCAGTAATTAGAAGTGTAATTATGAAAATGATACAATCCTATGCTTTTCTGCTTTTCTCAATGCTCTGAAAATCGTCATGCCTGTTAATTAGTTGCATAGCGAACGTTTTGAGACTGTACTGAATTAGCTTTTTCACACTTCAAAGAGTATTTCCCAGCCAAATTCCCCACCGTGAATACCCTCTCTACTCTGCAGGGACTTGGCTCTGTCTACCAGCGCTTGTTCTGATGCTAATTTGTTTACAAGCTCAGTGCCAGGGGAAGTAGTGCGTTTGGTGAGAACCGGAGGCCTAATTGTGTTTACAGGCTGGTTTTAATGAACTAAAACTGAACAAGCCTCTGTGCCTTAGATTTGACTTGAATAGAAAAGGGAAGACTTTAAAGACCTGTGAGCGCCTCCTGTTTTAGATGAATTATTCTCGTTCTCCATGCAGGAATTACCCTTGTGACATTGTGACGTTATTGAACCTCATCCTCTTCAAAGCGTCAGATACCAACAGGGAGATCTATGAGATTTCTATGCAGCTAATGCAGGTGAGTGAGAAAAGCACATTGCTCTATATATATATAGCCTAAACCTTGCAACCCTTTCACTGTGGCCCATAGCTCTATTACTCAGCAGAACACTACCAAGAGGTGTTCAGTAGGATTGAGGTCAAGTCTCTCTGCGGACCACTGGAGGTCCTCCACGCTAAACTCATCAGACCAAAGCATTAACATCACCCTTCACTGGAGCTAAGGGGCCCAAACCTTGAGAAACAGCCCCAGACCATTATCCCTCCTCCACCAAACTTTACTGTTGGCACTATGCATTCCAATAGGTAATGTTCCCTTGGCATCCCCAAAACCCAGATTCAATTGTCAGACTGGCAGATATTGAAGTGTGATTGTTTCAGAGAACACGTTTCCACTGCTGAAGGGGGGTCCACATGCTGTGCTGTATTTGAGTGTCTGCATCCCAATTTCCCATGTGGATAATTGTTAATACATTCTAATGTAATGTAATATATTATGTATCATACTGTCTCATGTCAAACTTTGCACATACATATATATATATTCACACATTCTCTACCCTTTCTATGCCTTTAATCTAATATGCCCACATTTTATTGTGATTATTACACTTATTTATTATACATCATAGTTACTTCATATCTGTTAATTGCCTAGACTCTTTTATTTAATATGTTTATTTTAAAGCGAACAGTGCATCCTAAAACTAGCATTTAATGTTATTTGTTGTGTTATGCTGTGTTCTGTTGTGCTGCATTGTATTCCTGAGCCTCAGTAGTTTGTATCCTTTCTTGTGTTTTTGTCCTTCAGTGTACTTTCACTACAGTACCCAGCATGCATTATGTGAACAACCATTGGGAATCCCCCATATCAATAAATAAGAGGCAGACCTGATATTCAGTCTTTCTAGCAGTAATGTTAGCTATTTGGCTTCCATCTGCATTAGACAGTCTCTGTTCAAAAATTCAAAAGTTTCTCCCACCTTCCAGAAACATCATCAGAAGGCAGTTTTCCTAGTCTTTAAACCAGAAAATCTCACTCTTAGGACTGTAATGACTGTTGTGGCACCACTGTAGGAAGGGAATAGGCATGCTTACAGCAGCAGTGGTTATGTTTTTCATTTAGGCCGGAGCGTCCATTTAACATGTGCACTCACAAAGGTAAATGCCTCTTACGTGTAACGTCCCCAATAAAATGAAACTGATTCTAATTCTAATCAACCAGAAACAGCAATTGTGATTGGAAGTATTTATTAAATACGTATTTATGTATTGTTTTTCTTACCTAGATTTTGGAGACTAAGCTGTGTGTATATTCTAAGAGGATACTAGAGGAGAGGAGTAGCAGTTTGCTATACGGCACCCATGGACCTTTGCCACCCCTCTACACCCTCTCTCTGCCACAGCTCTCTGCCCAGCTCGCCCGGATGTACCCAGAACTCACCCTGCCCCTGTTCTCAGGTTAGAGTCTGGGTGTGTATGTGGTGACTGATAAAAGCAATTGTTCAGTACAAAAAAATCAAATATAGTGGATCAGCAGGGCTACTGTTTTTAGCTGTCTGAAAATGTAACATTTTTATAAATAACAGTCATATAGTGTCAGAAACCACATAAACAAGTTTACTGGAGATCATTTAAAGGGAAAATGTTCAATATTTCTGCATAATTCAGTCAAATTCATTAAGAGTGTTTTGATGTAAAGTGGATGACTGTAGAGAAACTTACTGACTCTGTGGTGATGATAAGAAGCAGGGATCATGATGTCTACAATGCAAATATAGCCATTTTATTTACCCACAATAAGCAGTGAACCTAAATGTGTCTTCTCAGTTTCTATATATAATGTTGATGATGGTAAAATAGTAAAATAATAAGTAAATCTGATGTAGTTCATTTTCCTAGGGTAATATTTTGTCTTACAGCACTCTGCATGTACCTAACCTTCCGTAAGAAAGATATACATTTGAGAATATTTAATATAATAGCTTTCACTTAGGTAGATTTCAGAGCACATGTGTCAGGGTCCAGTCCTTGCAGGCCACAGCACTGCAGACCTCAGCACACTGCATCATTAAACATACTTTATTCAGCACATCGGCTAATTAGCAAGACTTTAATGAACTGAATTCAGAGTGTTAGACGAGGGTAAATGCTAATCTCTACAACACCTTGGCCGGGAAGGTCCCCAGTTTGACATGGCAGGCATTAAAAGCTTTGGACGTCTGGTTCCCATTACCACCACTGTGAACAGTTCTGACTCTGTAAGTTTCTCTAGAACAACGCATTTTACATCAAACCATGCTGTATGAGTTTGTTTACATCTTATTAACTGAATTATGCAGAAATTTTGAAAAACTGTCTTTGAGGCAAGTGTGTGATGATTTTGCACGATGCTATCTGATAGGTGTGTGAGAAGTGTGCATTAGCCTATTTATTAGCTACATTAGATTGATTAACTGTATTAGGGTCAGGGGCAAATTGGGTGAATTTGATATTTGGTCAAACTATCGCTTTAACTTTATATACATGATATAGAATGACACATACTGCTAATATAGCAATAACATAATGTTATTGATATTCTCAGAATTTGGCAGTTCAAAATCCTGAAAATGACCAAAATCTCTTTATCACAGACAACAAAAACTCATATCTAAACACGTTAGGGCGCGCCTCGTTAAATGACATGTTTTGCTGATTTTCTAAGTGAAAATAAGTGAACGCATGCTGTACAGAGAACAGACATCTGCACATTTTAATGCATAATCACTGTTTATTTGCTGAATTTATAATATTGGAAAAATAAAACATCAAATGTGGCCTGAGAAAAAGTTATAACACACTTTATATTTTATGTGTAATTTTTTTAATATGTTTAATATGAAATTGTGTCCTAAAAATACCATATTTAAATGCGTTCTCTGTAGAAGATGTACTAATTTATTTTCAATAAAACATATGATTCGACCAGGGGTGTTCAAACTTTAACATACGACTGTAATTATTGTCCTCTTTTCTTCACTTTTCTCCTCTCCAGAGGTCAGTCAGAGGTTTCCCACCACTCACCTGAATGGCAGGCAGGTGATGCTGACCTACCTGCTGCCGTGGCTCAGGAACATTGAGCTGGTGGATGGAGGTCTGCTGCCGGCCACCTCCAGCCCCTCCCACCGAGTGGAGGAGAGGAAGAGGCGGGGCTCCAGCATGGCCCCACCCTCCTCTCACCTCCCAGGCTTGGGCTGGGGCTCCCCGCAGGCCACCGCCCTCGTCCTCAACAACCTCATGTACATGACTGCCAAGGTGAGCACATAACCGAGTTTAGTCTGAGTTCATAGCATTACTTTCATACTGTGTAACTGTAGGCTTATCCTGTTTTCACAAATGTAAATACAAACACACGTTATAAGTGATCGTTGTCTCTCTGGGTTTGCAGTAATTTAACAGATTGAAGACCAATCATGATTGTTCAAGGAAAACTTTTTTTTTTTTTGTGAAGTGTGATTATTTATAGCTTCATTATTTTGAGTTATTGTCACATTGTTTTCCACAAATCATTTTTTGTTTTGTTTTTGTTTCACACACCAGATATATAAATCAAAACCCCTTTACCTTTATCACAACATAGCTTCTTATGAAAGAAAAAATAGCTGCACAGGCTTTATCTACATAATTAAATCATTAAGGTGTAAACAAAATCATTCAGAGTGTTTTGATGTAAAATGCTTCATTCTAGAGAAACTTACAGAGTCAGAGTTGTTCACAGTGGTGGTGATGGGAACCAGACGTCTGGAGAGTTGAATGCCTCTAAAAGCTCCCTCACAGTTATTACATGACATGGTAATGAATTGCTACCTGATGCCTAAGCTGTTCCACGATTGGCTGACACTTTATTTTGAGTGGCCCTTTTTAGGTCAAACAAACACTCGGCTCTCAGTAACATGTCAAAAACATATGAGGGTTAGGATTAGGTTTGAGTTGAGGTGAGGATTAGGATTAGGATTAGGGCCATAGTTAGGGTTAGGATTAGGGCCAGGTTTAGGGTTAGGTGTTGAGTAAGGTTGGGTAAGGTTAGGTTTTGTGTAATGGAAGTAACATATTAACAACACATCTACTTAATGTAAGTAATGTATCAACAGAACATCTACAAGATATTTACTTACAGTGTATTCAGATGCTTCACTACTGCTACTTCACTGATATGTTGTTGATGTGTTATTGATACTCTGTTAAGAGTTTATTAACCATCTACACAGAATCACTCCAAATAAAGTGTTACCCACAATTGTTTTGCAAGGTTTTTCCCCCAAAATATGTTTGTAATGGCATTGAGGTACATGCAGGTCATTGTAAGGCAATATTTCCCATAGAAAAGCTATTTTTTCTGATTTATCACTGTTTTACCATTGTGAGAGATATATATATATATAAAACTCAGAAGATGCATGAAGGTTCACTGGTCATTTTTGAAAGAAATCCAAGTTAGTATATTCCTCTGGGGTTAATGCTTTCAGATCAAACCACTCTGTTTGAATTTGTTTACATCACAAAGATTTAATTATAGCTGGTATTCCACTGTAAACGTGTGTGTCTGTGCGTCAGTATGGAGATGATGTGCCGGGTGCCGAGATGGAGAACGCGTGGACGGCTCTGGTGTGTAACGAGAAGTGGAGCAGTAACCTGCGCACGGCCCTGCAGTTCCTCATCAGCCTGTGCGGGGTCAGCAGTGACACCCCCCTCCTGCCGCACGTGAGTGGGTTGTTTTTCAAGGCTGGTATTGTTGGGAGAGTGAATGATGTCATTCGGAGGTGTTAAATGCGCTGCTGTAGGGCAGGGGGGAGAAACCGCAGCACTGAGGAGCTCAGGCAACATTACTTATCACTCAACTATGAGTTTAAAGCAGAGCGCTCCTGTTCCTGCAGAGCCCCTTCAGGAGAACTGCTTTTACTCCCGCTGAGTTCTCAGTGTGGTTTTAACAGCGAGAATCGAAACACAACACACAGAAAAATACACTGAAAAACTCCACATTATAAATCAGTCCTTATCTATTCTCTCTCTCTCTCTCTTCTTTCTTTCCCTCTCTTACTTTCTATCTTTCTTCTTTCTTTCTTTCTTTCTCTCCCTCTCTTACTTTCTATCTTTCTTCTTTCTTTCTTTCTTTCTTTCTTTCTTTCTTTCTCTCCCTCTCTTACTTTCTATCTTTCTTCTTTCTTTCTTTCTTTCTTTCTTTCTTTCTTTCTTTCTTTCTTTCTCTCCCTCTCTTACTTTCTATCTTCTTTCTTTCTTTCTTTCTTTCTTTTTCTTTCTTTCTTTCTTTCTCTCCCGCTCTCTTACTCTCACTTTCTTCTTTCTTTCTCTCCCTCTCTCTTACTCTCCCTCTCTCCTCTTTCTTTCTTTCTCTCCCTCTCTCTTACTATTTTTCTCTTCCTCTTCTCTCTCTCTCACTGTCTTCTCTCTTTTCTTCCTTTTTTCTCATTCTCTCTTCCCTTTCCCATTTTTGTTCTGTCTTTTTTCTTTCTCTGTCTTTCTGTCTTCCTCTTCTTTCTCTGTCTCTTGCCTCTTTCTCTTCTCTCTCTCTTTCTTTTTCTCACTCTGTCTTACTCTTTCTTGCTTCCTGTTCTCTCTCTCACTCTCTCTTCTTTCTCTCCATCTTGTTCTCTCTCTTTTCTTCCTTTCTTTCTCATTCTGTCTTTCTTTTTTTTCGTTCTTTTGTCTTTCTTTCTTTCTCTCCATCTTTCTGTCTTCCTCTTCTCTCTTTCTCTCAAATGCTTTCTCCTTCACTTTCTTCCTGTCTTCCCTGTGTTTTTGTCCCTTGTTTTTTCGCTCCTTTTTCTGTTTTTCATTCTTCTTTTTCTCTTGCCCTGCCTCCCCCTTTATCCCTTACTCTCCTTTCTCACTCACTTTGTCTCTTCATCTCTTCTTCACTATCTCCTCTTTATCTGTCTGTCACTCTCTCTCTCACACACACACACACACACTTTTTCTTTCCTCTCTCTCTTCCTTCCTCTCACCTGTTTGTTTTTTTCTCTCTGTAGATGAAGAAGGTGGTGATCTATCTGTGTAGGAGCAGCACCACTCAGACGATGGCGGAGCTGCTGTTTGAGCTGCAGCAGACTGACCCAGTTAATCCTGTAGTTCTGCACTGTGATAATCCGCCGTTCTACCATTTCTCTGCCACCAGCAAGATCTCCACTGTGACCTCCGGTACAGAAAACCTGTCTGCACATCTATACAGAACGCAGGCTGAATGTAGAGTTGCATTCTGTAACACACTGTGTAACGTACTGTGTAATTGACTTAGTAATTGATTAGTCCACTCTCTCTTTCTGCAGGTACAACATCCAGCAGCAACACAGTTGTTGCTGGCCAAGAAAATATCCCAGACACTGATGACACGAAAGTAGCCAAGGAGAATGAGGACAGGTACAGTAGAATGCCCTGTTGCTATAGTAACCCAGGTGGTTGTTAAGGTGCAGTTTGGCCATTGTTATGGTATCTCAGGATTGCTAAGGTGTTGCTAGACTGTTGCTATGCCATCCCAGGTGGTTGCTAAGGTATTGCTGGGCTGTTGCTATGCCATCCCAGTTGGTTGCTAAGGTGTTGCTAGGCCAGGGGTCAGCAACATGTGGCTCCGGAGCAGAATTAGATATTTAGGTAAAAATAATCTCATCTAACTCGTAGCTAACGAAAAGACAAAGAGAAATATTTGAGACGAACAATGATAATTTGGAGACGAATGGAGTGGATTTGCATTTATAACCACTCCAACTGGTTTCCTGATACATTTAATCTGCAACAAGAAACTGTCAAACACTAAAAGGTTGCGAAGTCAGCTTGTCGTTCGCCAGCTTCTTGTTTGAATTGTTATATTCTGATGCCTCAGGCAGCATTTAAGGTGGAACGGGACAATTCGAACAAGAAGCTGGCGATTGAGAAGCGACTTCAGCCTTGTACAAAGTTCAACATTGAGAGACATTTTGCAAGAAACTATTCTACTTTTGAGGAGAAGTTTCCTGCTGGAGATGCGAGAAAAATGGCTATAACTGAGCTAAAACTTAAAGCATAACAAAATAAGTCTGTGTTTTCATTTATATTTTAAGCCTATACTAGTACACTAGCAGTTAACAGTTTTGTAGCTTTCAGATCCAGTGTAGTAGAATCATTTATACATTTTTCTTAAAAAAAAAGTTTGTATATTATTAACAACACTAATTTCAAACTTCAGAATGTTGATATCAATCATGTAGGCAACAATCAAAGTAATGCCACTTTACCCAGAGTAATCTGAGAATGTTTAAAGGTGCCACTTAAATCATTTTAATCATTTGTTGTGGCTGCAAATTCCTGACAACATGCTCTGTATGTGTCTCCTGCAGGCTGAGCAGTATAATGAGGGCCCATAACCGACTGGAATCTCGCTACAGCAACAGCTCCGGAGGCTCTTACGATGAGGAAAAAAGTGCGTTCCTAACCAGTTCTGTCCTTCAGGGCAATTATAGCTAACAGTTATGCTGCTCTGTGCTGAGAGATTGACAAAATGTGTCAGCCTCAAGGCCCGAGAAGGTCAAAGGAAACCAGAGCTTCAGTGCATGAATTTCTCTGGATCCTCTTAAGTTTATTCTGCTTTTAACAAAGCGTTAATGGAATGCAAGACAGAGTCTGAAAACTTGCTGTCTAATGTTCATTGAGCTCAACATTTTTCTTCCAAGTACCTAACTTTGGTCCCATTTTAAATAAGGCTGTTATAAAGGGCTTATGAATAGTTTAAAATTATAAAATTAGTTTATTAATGGTTATTAATTAGGTCACTAACACCTTTAAAATATTGATAAACAGTTATAACACAATAATAAAAGGGTAAGAGTGACCTGTTATATCACATGAATACGGATATCTGATGAAGCTGACAGGTTTAATGACTGATTGAGAAAACAAAATAAGATGAGTAGCCATGAAGATCTAGAGTTTAACAGTATAAGTGAAGCTGGGCTCACTATTTGGCAAGCAACAGGTCACTGTTGCTCTTTACTGTTGTTTTTTATTATTAATGTGTTATAACTGCTTGTTAATGATTAAGGTGTTTATGGTCTAATAAATAAACACATTAATAATAAACTATTTGTAAACCATTTATAAACTCTTTATAAAGGTAGTCTTATTCTAAAATGGTACCTACATTTATTTTTAAGTAAAAAAGTCTTTTACAGTGTTTATTCTGAAAAATTATGCTATCCATCATTTTAAAAGAAGAGATAAATGGTGCAGCTGTGCGTGCAGAACATTTTCACCTAAAAACTACCTCAAATAACACAGCTTTGGATTAGAAGTGACTGGAATGTTCTTTTGCTTTAAGACGTAACACTTATTAAACTCTCTAACTAATCCTGATGTCTGTGGAGCTCAATTTACTGGACATGCTTGATGGCTTCTTGTCAAAACTCAAGCCATCAAGAAGAAAGGCATGACTGTAAAATGCAGCACTGACCAAATTTTCGGTTCCATTTGTTTCCATATCTGCCAAGCATGTTTATAACTGATGGATTGTAGTCATCCATCAAGAAGCTTGGCATGACTATTAAATATGATCTTTACGAAATGCTTCCTAAATGTGCAGGTGAGCCCCTCCCGCTGTATGCTGGTTGGCTGCTGAACATTCTGGAGACCAATCAGCCGCTCCCTTTGCCCATGCCTGTTAATGGAGGCTGCTGGGCACCTCTGGTGGACTATCTGCCCGAAACAGTCACTCCAAGAGGACCACTGCACAGGTCAGTTCACTCTGTTCTAATGCAGTATGTATCTGATAAAAACATTCCCAGAAGTTAATTTCACACACTGATCATCTTCTGCAGCTGACCTAAGATGTTTTGCTCATTTTAGACATGAAAAGCATGTGTTTTAAATCAGTGTCTTTTAGTGTCAGATTCTTGGAAATCTGATAATCTTCAGAAGATTGGAAAACATTTTTGGAAACAAATTCAAACCGGTTTTAACCGCATCGATCCAACGCAAGCCAAGTCCTAAATCATGTAATGGTAAAATATGAAACACGTCATTCTCTCTTTATCAGAGAGATAAACATTTTGGAATGTGAAACCTTTTAAAGCTACCGTCACGCTTTCAGTGATGCAGTTGATGAAGCGTGTTTTAAAGCTTAGCTGAGCTACTAAGAATTTTTTTAAATCTCTGTGTATGAGACATGCAGCCGACTCACTTCAAGAACAGGCTGGTTTATGATGTATATATTAAAATGTATATTTATTTGGTTTTTTAATGTATATCTTATGATGTATATTCATTTATAAAATAGATAGCACCTGTCCTAAAATCTGATTGACTGAGCTGTGATCAAAGCTGTTGTAAAATCACACCTGATATGAGCACACTGAGGGTGGCTTTAGATGGTGAAACTGTCATGCAACTAGCATGTCGTGAGTTGCTTACAACATCATTTCCATGCATCTTCAAAAACTTCAAAAGTTGCATCTACAGGGTCTAATTTACGTGTTTACCCCTTGTTATGTTTAGATTGCTATAGCGCTGCTGTGGGAACAAAACCTCTTATTTCTATTTTTGTCATTTTTCAGTTTGTGACTTTTTTTGGCCCAGGAAAGTGACAAAATGAAAATCAACCAACCTTGAGTCAGTCGGGGTTTTTAGGCAGTCGAAAAGGAGAGGGCTTTTCTTTTCAACTGCCTAAAAAAATCTTCCTTTGTTTTTTTCTTCTCCACTGATCCAGTGAAATCAGTGATTTGAAAGTATGTCGTTTGACCTGATCACATGACATGCTATCAGCCTTTTGATTGGCTGTTTCAAGAAATTTGTTTCATGAAATTGCAGCTCTTGCAACTGTTGCAAATGAGATTCAAATGAGTTGCAGAACGCTTTAAACTATGCAACTCAAGTGCGGTTTAGTTTCATGTATGTTTCAAGCATGAGAGTTTCTCTATTTGAAGTCAGTCTTAGATTCACAACCCTTGGGTTCTTTATTGCTTGTATGGAGTGATGGATGGGACCAGGCATCAGCTGGTATAAAGTACTTACTGAATGATTCACTTTAACTTCATGTAAGTATGTGAACACAGACACCACACGCGGTTCTGTGTGTCGCTGCGTTCTGAAACGTATCACGATGCGATTCATACTGCTACACAACTGTGAGCTGCATTCTGTAGTGACAGCAAGGCTGACCAAACTGTCTTGTATCACCGGTATACTTTCTTCCGGTTAACTGTCACAGCAGACGAGCATTTGGACAAGTCTCTCGAAAAAAACTGTTTGCTCACATAAACGTATACATATGTTACATAATCACCTCTTCATGCTGATAGAACTGGTAAAGCACCTAACACTCGTCCACCGTTCACATGTTTAGTAGTTGCGGATGTTGGAGTGACAGTAGCTCTCATTCTTGTTTGTCTTCTGTTGCCCCCTTGAGTACTGAGTGTTATTACCACCGCAGTAACGTAAGGATGCAGGGTGAGTTTGTACAGAAGGGGTGTGTGTTTGCAGTGTGCTGGCAAGAATATGTTATCTGAATGTCGTACAGGCTTCAAATGTCTGTGTTTTGTTAGATCTACCATAAGTAGGATTAAATGCAGTGTTGGGAGAAAAATGTGCAGTGCTGTTAACTTGATAGTAATACAACACCAGAAATCACATAGAGGCACTAGCAGCAATTAGCATTAATGCTGCTGTGATGATGTGATTATAAAACTCATAAGATGACTTTAAATGCTAAACACTTATATTACACATGTTCATGATAATGTGACAAAAATGCAAAAAGTTCATGACATGACTGTAGTTCTTGGCCTCATTAAGTGGTCCATTATTGACAAAGAAAGCCTACCCTAATTGAACTACATTTCTTGGTAGAAGAATTATCTATGAACCTGTTTATTGGTTTTGTCATTTAACATTGTCATATTTGCGTATTTTATCATATTGTGTGTTTGTGCAAAAAAGCTATGCATTATAATAGTTTTACCACAGATAAGGGGTGTTGTTGGGTACAGCGCAAAGTGGTTAAGTACAACCTTATACCAATCCATATAATGAAAAAAAGACATTTCTAGAAATATTTTAGATGCTTAGCATGCTCCATTTCGTTTTTAGGTTAACAGTGAAACATTATTATTGTGCAAAATACCAAAAACAGAACTGAGCAATATGTACCCTCTGCATAAGCCCACAGCAGCTTCCCTGGGCCCAGCAAAAATAGGCGTAAATGTTTCACGTCTGAAATGTTCTGTTCTGTTTTTCTGCACTTACTTGTGGAATACCAGTATAAAGGTGATGTCAAGTCAAAGAATTTCAACTGGTATACCAGTTCATCCCACTACTAATTGTAGTTCCAAAATCTGATTGGCTGAGCTACATTGGAAGCCATTGTGAAATACTCGTTTGGTTTTGATCTGACATGTTATTGTGCTGTTCATGGAGTAACCTTTGACTGTTATTTTGTTTGGCAACCACAACCTACTGTTCACAAATTATATTGCTTGTTGGAAGAATTCTTCGTGTGTGAATATTACTAGTAAAAATGTGATTATTTGAAATTGGCATAGTTCATTATATTGTATTTTGTTACAGCTGCCTGTTATTTTAAATGGTAAAAGATATACGTCATAGTAACGTCACTGTAATGCATAACCTCTCATGGCTTATTGCCTTAATGTTTGAGTTTGTAATTGAAATGCTCAGTAAAAGGTCAGTATGTGTGCTGTGTTTGTTGTACAGGTGTAATATAGCAGTGATCTTTATGACGGAGCTGGTGATTGACCACAGTGTGAGAGAGGACTGGGCCTTACATCTGCCCCTGCTGCTTCACGCTCTGTTTCTGGGTGAGTTTTCTCTCTCACTGTCTCGGGTTGAAGCTTTGATATGATTCACAGCCTGATGGTTTAGATTCTGTCTGACGAGCAGATAAAACACATCAGACTGCAGAATCTGTCCATCACTGAGGTCTTTGCTCTGTAATTGAGCATGCAGGATGGCACGATCTTATCATCTTTCTGAAATATGTGGAGCGTTTAGATCTCCTTGGATACGAGCAAAACGATTTACTGACAAAAATACCGTCTCTTTCTCTCTGTATGTCTCTCTTTCACTCTCTTTGTTTCTCTCATCCTTTCTGTCATTCTGTTTTTCTTTCTTTCTTTCTTTCTCCTTTTTACTGTCTCTCTTTCACTCTCTTTGTTTCTGTCATCCTTTCTGTCATTCTGTTTATCTTTCTTTCTTTCTTTCTTTCTTTCTTTCTTTTTTCTTTCTATGTCTCTCACACATATATGCATCTATACACCTATGAACTCTCTCTCTCTTCCTTTCTTTCTCTCATTCTGTCTTTCTCTCTGTTTCTCTCTCTTTCACTCCCTCTTTCCCTTTTTCTCTGTCGCTCTCTCCCTCTCTCTCACTTTATCTCTATCATTCTCTCTCTCTCTTTCACTCCCTTTTTCTCTCTCTTTCTCCTTGTCTTTCTCACAAAATCATTCTCTTTCTCTCTTTCTCTCTCACTCTCTCTTGCTCTCACTTTTTCTCATATTCACTGACTCTCTTTCCTTCTCTATCTCTCTCTCTCTCTCTCACTTTCTGTCTTTCTCTCTCTCTCTTAAAAAAAACACACTCTCTCAATCTCTCTTGCTCTCTTTCTCTCTCTCATATTCACTGAAAATCTCTCTCTCTCTCTCTGTTGTGTTGTTAGGTATGGATCACTGTAGGCCGGAGGTGTTTGAGCACTGTAAGCGTCTACTCCTGCACCTGCTGCTGTCTCTCTCCTGCAGCCGCAGTTTCCCTCTCCTCGCCTCCGTCCTGCTGCAGAGCCACGACGCCACCAGCACCAAAAGCCTCACCATCCGGCCCAGCTACCAGCCCGACTTCTTCTACACAGGTACGGCCAGAGCCCTCATGTGCTATAACTTTTGCACAGGCCTCATTTTATGTTTTAGATTTCACTGATATGATAAATTCAACAAATAAACAGTAATTATGCATTAAAGTGTGCTGATGTGTGTTCTCTGTAGAGGATGTGTTCCCTTATTTTCACTCCGAAAATCAACAAAACATGTCATCTGATCAGGGGCGCCCAAACTTTTGCATACGGCTGTATGCCTCTTATTATTTTGATTTTAAATCTAATGAAAAGTTATTCTTCTTTTGAAATTTTGTTTTTCTGATTTTTAAAAGAACAGGAATTTAGTCGTTACAGAAAGTAAGCCTGTTAATGTATAAATGTAATTTATTACTGTGTTATTATTTTAATTATTTAAGTATTTTGAATAATCATATGTTGTAAACTGAATGTTTCACAGAACAACAGTAATAAGGGCTAAATACTACATACTTGTACTCTTTGCAATTTCACATGCGCTAATTTTAGAAGGACTTCTTGTCATCGACTCGGATGTAACACATAGCTTTGCTGCGAACTTTCGAAATCCTCTGAGGGGGGAGTGGAGGGGGAGTAGTGGGAATGGCCTTATCTGCAATGAAAACATACGGAAGCCAAGCCAAAAACATCATACGTACAGAGAGGGTCTGATTAGAACGTTCCTCTGAGCTCTTTTTATCTTCTTCCCCTTTAAAGGGGCACCTACAGACTTGGCTAGCGCACACAAGACGAGGTCCTGTATTTGTCATTCCGCTGAACATGTCTGGACCGAGCCACACTGACACTGATAATACATTATTCACCGTCCAAGACCCGGCCCCCCGTCATAACACTCCTGCTGAGATTAATGCTCATGTCATAATTCTGGTTTGGCTGTGTTGAGCTGGCATGGTGCCAGAGCTCTTCACCTCTGGTTTAGTCTCATTCAAGTAGTAGAGAATGTAAACATAACTGCCTCAATCAGAGTCACTCTGTTATCATCTACAGAGAAGAATTTTGTAAAATCAGCCCCCAACATATAACACAGCCTGTCAAAAGTTTAGGGATGGCTCACTTTTCAAAAAGGTTCTAACACAAACAGGCATACTTTCTTTGTTATTGCAATATGCAATAATTCCACATAATAAAGACTAAGCCCTATTCAAGCTGGATTAGTTTTACAGAAAAGGTCTGCTAATGTAATATGTGCATGATTTGACTGGCCTTTATACGGGTTAAAGGATCTGTGGAATTTCACCAAATTGCCCCAAATAGCCCGGATCGACACTTCATCACGTAGATGTTTACGCCAGCATTATGCGACAGGCACCACACTTCTAAACAATAACTAAAAAAGTTTGACACTGGACAAGGGACACTACATCTCCTTTCAGTGAGGGGAGATGCTCATTATCAATGGCACTTCAAAATGATGGTGCATAATCAAAACATACGGGAGGGTATATACAGCAAGGGTATATACAGCAAATAGCTGTGGATTTCAGTCTGGGATGTGAACTTCAGGATTAACAAAGTACAATTTATATGTATTTGTTCAGTTTGTTATACTGGAAAACCATAAGATGACATATAAAACGTGCCATAACGTAAGCTTTATGTTTTATTTTTTCCTCTGTATGTTAAATTATGCAAATGAATGCTAATTATGCATTAAATTGTGCAGAAGTGTGTTCTTATTTTGTACTTATTTGCAATAGGAATATCAACAAAATGTAATTTGACCCTAAACCTTTGCCTGCAACTGTACAAGCACACACCCGCATTGTGGCTTATTGGACCACCAGCATAAACACATTCACACACGCTTTACCCACTGCCAGTAAGACGTATTCTGAAATGTGTCTGATAGGAGTTGACTTGTTTGTTACTGTTGTGGCTATTGGAGCAGGCCTAGTAGTAGATCTCGCTGATTTTGGCTACTCCTCTTTGCCTGCTGAGGCTTAAAACAGCCACATTAACATAAGAATGCACTGTGAATATGTACAGCTGGACTGTGCGCTTGTCTTCATGTGCGTTTGTGTACTTGCAGTATGTTTCTGGCCTAACAGTTACAAAACTAACTCACTCTTAATTCAGCCTGTCCTCCTGTCTCAGCCCGTTTCTCACTGCACAGCCACCACAAAGTCTTGATGCCTCTCCTGCCTGTGTCCATGTCCAGGTGGCGTTGATTTCCTGAGGGATGGTCAGGCCTCCCCGGTGCCGGATTCTGGCCTGAGCTCATCCTCCACATCCTCCAGCCTGAGTCTGGGGGGCAGTAACAGTAACCTGCCGCACCTGTCCCACGAGGAGTCCGACCCTCTGGAGAGCAGCACTGAGGCAGAGGAGAAAAGCAGCAAACTTGTAGAGTTTCTCACTACCAGGTAATCACACGAACACTCAGTCCAGCTGGACGCTGCAAAAATACTTTTTCACCATCCTAGTTAGTTACTAACTCCATTTCTGTTGGGTTTATACTTTTTACACCATTTGAAAACACCATTTGCCCTTCACTTTGTGTGAAATTTTTGTTTTAATTGTACAAATGCAATATACATTAACAGATTAAAAATGCTTAACTTTTTTTCTTCTTTTATATATATATATATATTTTCGTCAATGTAGTCATATCCAATTCCATCCACTAGTTAGGACGCCCCCAATCACACCATACTCCCAACGCTAGGAGGGTGAAGGCTAGCACAGGCTTCCTCCGAGACCTGTGAAGCGTCACCGCATCTTTTCGAACTGCCTGGCTAGCATCGCGCTGAGTGATAGGAGGGGAGAGGCGGGACCATCTTGCCCACCCAGAGAGAGCGAGGCCAAATGTGCTCTCTTGGACCCCCGGCCAAGGATGGCTGTAGCATCACCAGGGTTCGAACTCGCAATCTCCTGATGATAGGGCCAACGCAGATGGTTGCGCCACTTGGGAGCCCCCACCAATACAATAATATTAACCAATAATATCATGCTTCAGCATCCCTTCCCACCCATACTTCAACTGCTCACCTAGCTCAGCTCAGACACCCTCTCTGATACCGATTCACATTGACTTTATTGAGGAATTCCACCATTTTTCCACTTAAACTTCTGCATAATTAGTCATTGCAAAAAGTGAAACATTTTTTCAGAGTGGTAAATATAAATAATTACTACCCAGAATAACCAGTGCACCTACACGTCTCTTGAGTTATAATATGTAATGCTAAAAATGGTAAAATAGTGGTAAATCTGACAAAATATGTGTTCTATTGATACCATTCTGCCCTATAACACCCTGCATGTAGTTTAGTTAACACCCTGCATGTAATTTAGTTGTAATAAATACATTTCAGGACAAATTTTTATCAAAGCTATCATAAAACGATGTCTCAGGCAACTGGAAGCATATTAATTTCATGTAATAACTTTATATGAGGGAGCTTTTAGAGACATTAAACTCATCATCATAATCACACGATACTCCCAACGCTAGGAGGGTGAAGGCTAGCACAGGCTTCCTCCGAGACCTGTGAAGCGTCACCGCATCTTTTCGAACTGCCTGGCTATAATAAAACGATGTCTCAGGCAACTGGAAGCATATTCATTTCATGTAATAACTTTGTATGAGGGAGCTTTTAGAGGCATTAAACTCTTCAGGTGGTTGGCTCCCACCACCACCACTGTGAACAATTCTGACTTGGTCTCAGAGGATGACCTTGTATTTTATCTTATGCAGAAATTTTGAAAAAAAAGTTCCACATATACACATATGCAAAAGTTTGCACTCCCCTGTTCACACTTTTCATGTTTTGTTGATTTTTGAAGTGAAAATAACACATTTTCAACAAGAAACAAACTTAAATATAGCATTTTCTGCAAATTCAGTGAACAATTTGTTATTTATTTGCATTACATATTGGAAAATAAAATAAATTTAAAATGTGCCATAACATTTGCACCTTTTATTTTTTTCCAATATGTTAAATTTAATCAGTAAACAGTAGTTGTGCATTAAAATGTGCAAAGGGTGTTATTATTTATTTTCACATAGAACATCAACACATGGAAATTGACTTGGGGTGCCCAAACTTTTACATATGACTACATACACACCCCCACCCCCCACTCGCAATAAAAGAACAATAAATGATAAACTGTTTTTGTTGTGGTAGAGATACAAACTATACTGAGTTAAGAAACTTTATTAATGCTTGGCTCTTCTGCCACCTAGTGGCAATGTGGTGTTATTACAACTGTCCTCTACAACTGGGCAAACAAAGCACGTGTGGTGGTTTCAGATGTAAGTGTTACCTATCAAAAGTTGGACAACGAAGCACATAAAACCATGAGTGCTAATACCAGTCATTTTATATCACCTTCCTGATTGTATCGCTTTCCATTCATGTGACATTCTGCCTACAGATGTTTTTATGAACACTCACTCACTGATCATCTAAGCCGCTTATCCTCCTGGGTCACGGGGGTGCTGGAGCCTATCCCATAAAAGCTTAACGATGGATGAAGCTCTATTCTGATTTGTTGACTTTCATTGATTTGCTCTGGCTATGAATATTTATTGTCTGTGTGGTTTGTTCTTTTGGTCTTTAGGCCATTTGGTCCTTTGTGGTGCCATGAAGACATCACGCCTAAACATCAGCACTCCAAAAGCACTGAGCAGCTCACTAACTTCCTTCGCCATGTGGTGTCTGTCTTGAAAGAGTCCAAATCAGGCAAGTTTATACCATTTAAACCTGGAAACCTTTTGCATACAACTCTCTGGTCTGTCCAAAGTTTGTTTCCTCTTTAATAGTAAATATATACATATATATATATATATATATATATATATATATATACATATATATATATATATATATATATATATACAGACCTATTGCAAACAATAAAGAAGACATGCTTGTTAGTGTTGCACTGATTTTTATGGCCAGTACCGATTTCTTAACGGCCACATCAGTCAATGGCCTTTTTTTAATCAATGCACACCAGCACATTTCCAGTACTTTCTGTTAGCCAAGAAATAAATCACATTATCTGTTTTTAATGAGCCCAACTTTCGTTTTAAATTCTTAAATGAAAAATCAGTCAAAAAACCATGAATCAAATAACATGACACTTCAAAAGTAAGAGATGTCTGACTGTCTAATACAATGAGTCACATCATAATTACAGTCATATGCAAAAGTTTGGGCACTGGTCAAATGACATGTTTTACTGCTGCTCTAAGTAAAAATAAGTTAATGTATCCTTTAAAGTGAACACACCTCTGCACATTGTAAAGCACAATTATTGTTTATTTGCTGAATTTAACATATTGGAAAAAATGAAACATAAAATGTGGCCTGTGCAGAAGTTATGACGCTTCATATTTCATGTTCTATTTTTTCCAATATGTTAAACTCAGCAAATAAGTAGGAACTGTGCAGAAAAATTACACTGAAGTGTATTTTCTGTAAAGGATAGGTTCACCTATGTTCACTCAGAGAATCAACAAAACATGAAAGCTATGTTCAAACTTTTGCTTACGAATGTATGTCATGATATTCTGGTACAGACGCAGCGGCACCATTCACATACACTGTGGGTGCACTCACCTGACTCACATTATTTACATTGTAAAATTGCAATACAGATCAGCTGAAATCTAAATGATAAACTGGATGGTTGCTTATAGCATATTTGAAGCAAAACTATACCAATTCCAACCTTGGCAGATTCCAATTGTGCATCCGTATTTGTCATTTATTAAGGCTATTTTTAATTGCTTGGTGTGGCTAGACTTCTGATGAATGCAGTATATTGTTGAAGGCATAATGATAATAATAAGAATATTAATAATAATAATAATAATAAATAAAAAAGAAATAATAATAATGACTATTATTTTTTTATTAGGCGTGTATGTTTATGTGTATGTGTTTGTGTGTACAGACGTACGTCTGGAGCAGCAGCTGAGTGACGTGGCTCTGCAGACGGCTCTGTGCAGCTCCTCCAGGCACTACGCTGGCCGATCGTTCCAGGTATTCCGGGCGCTGAGGCAGCCTCTGTCTGCGCTGGCCGTGTCAGATCTGCTCTCGCGTCTGGTGGAGGTGGTGGGGGAGCACGGAGAGGAAGTACAGGTGAGGTTCACTGTCTCTGTGGGCGAGACAGCGGGCGAGGCTCATCTCTCTTGCCATATAAATCTTCTGGAACTCGCTCACCATTAGCTGAGGAGCAAATTTGCACAGACCAGGCTTTGATAATTGTAGGGTCATAGTGCAGTGGTTCCCAGGGCCCCCCCAGACACAGACAGTCCACATTTTTGCTCCAACCCAACTTGCAACATACATTGATAAAAGAAAAAAGTTGACCATCTAGAAGGGCCCTTAGGACTGGCTCGAGAATCATCATGAGGAGCGGGCTGGGCTGCTTTGTGTGCGGGCCGCTCAGAGAGTGAGAAACAGAGTCATAGTGCTAGATATGTAGCACTATGTTGACACGTTTGTGGCCCTCTGCATTTAAGTATGTGACCAATTTTCAATTATGCAAATGCCACCCCTAGGGGTGTTGTGGTTAGGGGTCAAAGTGAGGGGATGTCACTGTGCTGGTCTAGATAAAAGTCCAGGGTTTAATTTAATTCCCAGCCTAGCCCTGCCATAGTGTACTAAACATTAAACATTAAAGTGTATAGTGCTCTACACAGGGGTTTTCAAAGACCCCCTGAAGCTTATGCTCACAACGCAAGAGGGCCAAATAGTGGCTGTGTGAATAAAATTGCTGTCCTTAATTGATGTTAAGGATGTTTTCTCCTCCTACAAAGTTATCATTTCAAAGTTTTTTTTTCTGTGTACACTAAATATAAGCGTAACGGGTCAGACAGTCAGATGATTAAACTCATTGTTAAAAGAGGTACCTGTTTGTCCACAATCCACAATCAAAGTCAAAAAACAGGCAAAGGCCAGATCCAAAATGAGTCCAGGCAACTGAAATCCAAAAAGGGAACAAGCGAAAAGCAAAGTCAATAAACACAAACAAAGGGTCAGATACACAAGGAATAACACATAATAGCTTATAAGCTAACTGGATATAGTCACATGATCAAATACACAGGTGAAAAACATCACTAGTCTGGTGAAGCTGATCTCTGATAGGTGGAACTGTGTGATCACCCAGGGGGTTCTGGGAATTGGAGTCTTGAGAGTCAAGGCTGGAGGGATACGTGACAATAAGCATAAGTTTTAATGTAACAAAATTTAAGTATGTTAAATATCATCATAGTTGGGATAAAACAATGTTTTTTTTTTCTTCTTTTTGTAGAATTTGAAAATGCCAGTCGCCTTTTACTTTGCGTTAAAATTTCATAATGAACAGATCAATAGAAATATTCAAACATTACTTGGAGGAAAGTCTTATTCACACCCTGTGAACATTTTTCTTCTCCTGTAAAGTTACCGTTTTGGAGATATGAGATTTTGTCTCGTAGGCAACAGTATGTCTATTTTGGTATGTTTAATGTGGCTGGTGGACTCAAAATGTGTGTCCTCCTCAGGGTTATGTGATGGAGCTGCTTCTGACCCTTGAATCAGTGGTTGACAACCTTGCAGAGTGCCTCAAGAACAATGATTTAATGGCTCTTCTCACAAGGCAAGTCACTCACAAAAAATAAACTACACTCGCAAGAAAGAAATCGTTTTCCCGAGCTAAAAGTTTTGTATCTTTCCAGGGCTCCTTCTCCAGACCTGCTGAACAATGGTAAGCTCTTGTTCAACCGGAAGAGCACCAGCCAGCTTGACTTGGTCCCTGGCACAGGGACTGCATCTGAAAGAATCCGCCACCAGCGGAGCTACTCTGTACCCAAGCGCTTCGGTGAGGCCGAGCGTTCCTCTGAGGTTCCTCGCAGTGCCACGCTGGACCGCATCAATGCCTGCACCCACCAGCACCAGGGCAACCTGTCCAGGCTCCGCTCACACTCCTCCACCTCTTCCAGGGACAACGTGGTCTCCACCAATCCAGCCAACGCTAACCACCCCCGCAACCTGCTGGCCACCATCTTCTGGGCGGCCGTGTCCCTTATGGAGTCAGACTTTGAATTTGAGTACCAGATGTCACTGCGCTTGCTGGGGAAGCTGTTCACCCATGTCTCTCTAGACAAGCAGGAGAACAAGGAGAAGCTGGAGAAGATCCAGAGCCAGCTAAGGTGGAGTGGATTTTCCGGGCTCCATCAGCTCCTGCTGAAGGGCTTCACCTCGGCCGGCACCACAGAGCTCACACTGCAACTTTTCTCTCAGCTCACACCCGTCTCCCGCCTGCCTGTGGTGGACACCTCGCAGGCCATAGGTGAGGTGATATGATTGGCATCCTATAGACCAGAGGGGTCCATTCCCTCTCCTTCCCCTGACAGTTTGATGGTTTACCTGTTCAAACACATCCACTAAACTTAGTAATTAACAAATTGGATGAGTCAGGTGTGTTTGAACAATGACACTGTGGCATGCGCCCGCCCCCCGGGCCCCTACGATGACGGCCGCCTACGGGGCGGGAGCATGCCACAGACACCAAACTAGATTTAGGCCCACACCACACCATACAACATCTATGTGTTGTGGATGGTTCTATATAGGACCTTTTTGAAAAGAGTTCTATTTTGCACCAGAAACAGGTTCTTCTGTTTACAGGCTTGATAGAACCCTTTTCAAAAGGATGCTGTGTAGAACCATATACAACACATTCTCCATCAATCTGAAGAACGCTTTCATGATGCGAAGGACCCTTTCATCATGCAAATAGTTCTTTGAGTGTCCATGGCTACTAAAGAACTCTTAAACAACCATTTTTTCTAAGAGTGTAGTTGAACTGAGGAACCTCAGTCGGAACAGGTGGAAGATGCATTTTATAGCTACTGTGAAAAAGAGGCATAATCATGCCTGGGCGGCACGGTGGCGCAGTGGGTAGCGCTGTCGCCTCACCGCAAGAAGGGCCTGGGTTCGATTCCCGGCCGGGCGACCGGGGTCCTTTCTGTGTGGAGTTTGCATGTTCTCCCCGTGTCTGCGTGGGTTTCCTCCGGGTACTCCGGTTTCCTCCCACAGTCCAAAGACCAAGCCAATTGGAAATGCTGAATTGCCCCTAGGTGTGAATGTGTGTGTGATTGTATATGTATGTATGTCTGTCTGTCTGCCCTGTGATATCCTGCCTTTGGCCCAATGACAGCTGGGATAGGCTCCAGCACCCCACTGCCACCCAGAAGGAAAAGCGGTTTAGATGATGTATGTATGTATGTATAATCATGCCTGTCCTGTTGCTCTCTTGCAGGTTTCCCGCTGAATGTGCTCTGCCTCCTCCCTCACCTGGTGCAGCACTTTGACTGTCCAACGCAGTTCTGTAAGGACGTGGCTGAGAGGATCGCTCAGGTCTGCTGAACTAAACTCACATCTTACTTAACATCTGTTCCACATGTAGAATTTTTCACCCTAATCATCACCCGATTTGATTTTCAGGTCTGCATTGATGAAAAGAACGCCAAGCTGTCCAACCTAGCGCACGTGATGACTCTGTACAAAACCCACTCGTACACCCGCGACTGCTTCTCCTGGGTCAACGTGGTGTGTCGCTACCTGCATGAAGCCTTCAGTGAAAACACCGTCAGCATGGTCACCTACATGGCAGAGGTGAGTCAAAATATGCAAAATATGTGGTTCATTCCTTTTATATTGTTGTGTCAACATTAATATTTCTTTCTTAATATTAATATTTCAATAGCTGAGGCTTAAAAAAGTGGAAATTGCAATGACGTACTATGTTTATTTATTTACTAATGTACAGTTCTTTTCAAAAAACCACAGACCATTTATTCAAATATTACATACAAGTTTTTTTATCATCAGGAAAAAATCTGAAAACATATACTTAACAAAAATTACACAGAAGCCTCAACAACTAAATATATTTTTTTCAGTATTAGTGTGCTATCTTTATTACAACTCCTTTTCAGACATCTGGCTTTCAGTTTTTCAGAGATATTTTTCTTCACCTCTAAAGTTCAGTCTTAGTAGTTGGTTTTTCTTTCTGCTTGTCACAATCCAAGCTATCCCAAACACATTCGGTGATGCAGAGGTCTGGACTCTGGGGTGAGAACACCAGCAGCTTCTTTGTTTGATTTGCAAATTTTCCTTCTCAATAAGGGCTTCTTAACAGCTACACATCCTTTCAGACTCATAGCGCTGAGTTGTCTTCTCACAGTGGAAGGATGGACAGAAACACCTGTGGATTTTCTCCTCTCTCTCAAAGACGAAAGCTTTAAGTGCTGTTTATTGGTTGGGGACGGCTGTTAGGAGTCTGATTTTTTCTGTATCTTTTAGTCATTTATTTGATGTCCTATTTTAACTTGCACTCTTTTTGGGGTATTTTTTCCATCTTTCTCCCCAATTTGGTCTTGTCCAGTTCTGTCCACTAGTTATATCTCCCCCATTTCCACATGCACCAGCACTAGGAAGGTGAAAGCTAGCACAAGCTTCCTCTGAGTCATGTCAAGCCAGCCACCACATCTTTTCAAACTGCTGCTAATGCAGGAGAGAAGAGTTAACTCCTTAAACTGCAAGGGTCTGAATTTGGGCCCATATTTCCATTCCTCACTCTTACAGCTACGTAACCTAGTAGTTTCATGACAGTGAACAATTTATGGGAGTTACTGAATAATAAATCTTAAAATTAATGACTGAATAATAAGTCAATGATTTAAGGGTTTAAGCATTAAAGCTAGTCTGTACTTGTAGTCTTTATAATGACCTTCATTACTAGTCCACTCTGTGATGTGATTGTAATGTATTGTGGCAGTTGTTGGAGAAGGGGCTTCCCAGCATGCAGCAGAGTCTCCTGCAGATCATCCACAGTCTGCTTACTCACATGGACCTGAGCGGCATCCAGGCCAAGCCCTTCAACATGGAGGTGCTCAAGACCATCGAGAAGTTTGTACAGGTGATACAGTCGCTCTCTCTCTCTCTCTCTCTCTCCTCTCTCTCTCTCTCTGTCCCTCTTTCTCTCCCTCTCTCTCTCCCTCTCTCTCTCTCTCTCTCTCTCCCTCTCTCTCCCTCGCTCTCTCTCTTTCAGGGTTTAGAGTTTGTTCTTTATTAACATGTTCAATCTTATAAGACCAGATTGTTGCTTCTCAGTACTTTGAGTAAGACAGGTGCTGTTTCTTTCTTGTGGAACTAGAGATATTAAACTAAATAATAAGCCTCAATTTGTGAACAAATACATAAGTTTAACCTATTACAATTTACTAGAGATCAAAATTGGTTATTTTGATGCTTAAATGAGTTTGCTAGCAACCCATGATCTCACCCCCACCATTTTTAGATGATAGGCAATTTATTATATACTTTATTGTTTTGTTATTTGTGTAACTGGCCTGAATAATTCAAATACTTGTTTGTTATGTTGGTGTTCGTTACTCTGTTTAGTGTTCAGAAGCTTCGCCTTTTTAGAAGCCACAAAAATTGCAGCCTATAGTACAGCAACTTTTATCATCAAAGGCCTTGAAAAAGAACAGTTATTGTTGTTATATGGAAAATATAAAAAGGCAGCTTGTTTTAGTTTAAGATCATAAGATTTTAGTAAAGTATTATTTTAATTATAATTTGAAACACTATAGATTATTGTGTGTGTGATTTGACTGAATCTCTGGGAGTTTGGGAGTTTGAATGCACATATGTGGGTGCTCAGTAGGAAACGCCATGTTTCGACAGTTCTACAGATCTCTTCCAAATATTTAGATTTAGATGAAATGTTGTATAATGTCCCAAAGTATGTAGGTTATGAACAGTTCATTTAAGTGTTTTTTTTTTTAAACCCATTAGGCTGGCTTTACACATTGACACTTTCATGCACCTAGTTGTATGCTGTGAGTTGCCTGCAATATAATTTCCATGCAACTTGACAGTCAAACAAAGCAATTCAATAACAAAGTTGCATGCAACCCATTTGGATTACTATTAGTAGTTAATGTTAAGCATATTGTCACTGTCCAATGAAAAACAAGTATCTCCAAAAACGCTCTTACCTTTGAATGTAAGTCAATGCAAAGATATTTTGTTCCAAGTGATTTTAGAGCATTTCTATTGGTCACACAATGTAAAGGACAGCTGGTGTGTTGAAACGATATAGAAAACTAAAAATCCACAAAAATGGAGATACATGATTTTCACTGATCAGCGACGATATGAAACAGAATATTTAAGTAGCCAGTACAGTTATAGCTGAAACAGCTGTTAGCATGAGCTAGCTGGGTAATGCAGCTGCTTGCAGAAACAAACTTATGTTTGATGTCATGGCTCAAAATTAAAAACCAGGCTTGCGTCAGTTGCAGGGGGCTCTGCAGTTTCTTGTAATTTATAATTTAAAGTATGTTGTTTGATGTGATCATGTGATGCGTTATTGCTATTTTGATTGCCTTTTTCCTGAAACTTGTTTCAAAATTGAGCTGTCAGCAACAGTGAATGGCAGGGTGCTTTAAATTTAGTTTCGTGTAAGTTGCAAGCAACTAAAATTGCATTAAAGTTTCACAGTGTAAAGCCACAAATACATGTTACCAAATGTCTTTCTGCAGAGTGTTTCTGCTTCTTTGTTGGTGAATTTACAGTTTTATAGCTCATCAGGCTCCGCTGTGAATACTACGTCTGTTAGGGTAACTGGTTCTTTCCTAAAGCTGTCGTTATCTCGCCCTAAAGCTGTCGTTATCTCAGCCTAAACTCCTCTCTATCTCACAAGAACAGCAGCGTTACTGTGGAGTCCCAGTAGTCTGGAGCGCTTGGGTAATCTCTTCCTATCTCTCAGCCCTTTCCTCAGGGAGAGAAAACAGGCGCTTACGTCTGGGGAGTAAATCCAGAGGCACACCCAGCAGCAGTCTATAAACAGTCTCTGCTTTTGGCTACTCTCCACATAGCTGAGGCCTTCGCTGTGGACTCACAGGCTGCTTTCCAGCAGGATTCATTAGTTTAGGACTTCAAGAGGAAATCTGGACCACTGAGAGAAGAAGCTACTGCTCCTTAGTGTGTGTTGACTGGCTGAGCATGTCTTGTCCTGTTGGTTCTGTCCTGAGAGGAGTGAGATGATCTGAGTGGGCTTGTATACGTGAGGGTGGGTGGAGAACGTCTGCTCGTGTTCTCGTGCCTGCACGTGTTCTCTGTGTGATTGTTTTGTGTTTGTGTGCATTCCAGACGGTACACTGGAAGGAAGCTCTGAACATTTTGAAGCTTGTGGTGTCCCGCTCGGCCAGCCTGGTCCTGCCCTCGTCCCCTCCCAGCAGCAGCAGTGCTGTGTCCCATGTGGAGATCAGCCGAGTGTGGGACACAGCGTCCAAATCACTTCCCGGCAAAACACTGGACTTCCACTTTGACATCTCAGAAGTAAGAGCTAACACCACTCTCTCTTTCTCTCTCTCTCTCTGTCTCTCTCTTTCTCTCTGTCTCTCTCTCTTTCTCTTTTTCTATCTCTCTCTCTTCCTCTCTCTCGCTCTCACTCTCTCTTTCTCTCCCTCTCTCTCTCTCTCTTTCTCTTTCTCTCTCTCTCTGTCTCTCTCTCTCTTTGTCTCTCTCTTTCTCTCTGTCTCTCTCTCTTTCTCTTTTTTCTCTCTTTCTTTCTTTCTGTCTCTCTCTCTTCCTCTCTCTCTCTCTCACTTTCTCTTTCTCTCCCTCTCTCTCCCCCCTTTTCCTCTCTTTCCCTTTCTTCCTCTCTCTTACTCTCTCTTTCTTTCTCTCTCCATTTCCACCTCTCTTTCCCGTTCTTCCTCTTTCTCTCTCTCTTTCTCTCTCTCTGTCTCTCTCTCCCCCTTCCCTCTCTCTTTCCATTTCTTCCTCTCTCTCTTTCTCTCTTCTCTATCTCTCTCTCTTTCTTTCTCTCTCTCTCTCACTCTCAGTTTCTTCCTCTCTGCTGATCTCTCTCTCCTCCTCCTCCTCTGCTCTGACTCTCTCTGAGAGGATTTGTAAGTCTGTGTGAAGTTGACTCTGAGCAGGGCACGCTGCCAGCTAACCACCCAACGCTGGCATGCCTGCTGTATGTGCCCATGTTTTCCAAGGCGGGGTCTTCTACTGCTTTCTGCTTTCTGCCCTGTTTGTCTGTCTCTTCTTTATGTGGAAGTGTACTTTCTCTGTTTCAACCTCAGGCTGACAGAGAGGAAGCTCTTGACATTAGCATTGCTTCGTCTACTGAAGGTTTGTGGGAAAGCTAGCTTGGCTGGTGTGTGGGAACCAAACTAAAGGGATCTATTTGTGTTGCCACATGAATTCCAGGAAATGATGTCAGTCTGGCTGCGGTGCCATGCATCCGAAGTAAGTGAGAGTTTTGAGGAAGACAGCAAACGGCTCCTTCAGGGGCTTTAAACACAGCGTGTAACAGAATAGTCAGCCTTTTGGAGAAGTGTTCGAGGAGCGAAAGAGAAAGAGAGAGAGAGAGCGAGGGAGAAATGCATAGTTGAGTGCAGGTGGATCCAGTGGAAACCCTGAGAATTCCCCTTCCAGCTTGTTTTGTCTTGGCGTCCAGCTTCTTCCTCGTCCTGTGGCCAAGCTGCTGGGCACACAGAGTTGTGGAACTGGATGGGAATGAACTCCACTCGTCCAGCAGGTGCTGCTTTATTGATGTTGCTCTGGGCTCTGGCCATTGGAGCTTGACAGAAGAGAGATAGGAGAAGGGTTGTCTGACTTGACACTGGGATACAGGATCATATTTGTAGGTCATGCTTTTGACTGACTGTTTCTCTGTGTTTGTTTATGTGTTTCAGACACCTGTGATTGGCCGGCGGTATGACGAGCTGCACGGTTCCCCAGGCCGGGATGGTAAGGTGAGGGGTGTGGCTGCGGTGACCCGCAGCACCTCCTCCACCTCCTCCGGCTCCAACAACAATAACCACGCCCTTGTCCCTGTCAGCTGGAAACGCCCTCAGTCCTCTCAGGTGGGTAATACACAGGGGTTAAAGTGAAAAATCTGATTTATACAAAACTCCCTCATGTTAAATGTAGAGGAGAGTGAGGCACAACCTAGCTATTTTTTATTTTTTTGCTAAATTATTTCAAAAGTATTTTAAGAGGATGAATAATGTTTATATAAAATCAACATAAACATCTTTACAAATTAATACATAAGCTTTGTTTCCAGCACCTCCCATTTATGAACAATACAGCCGAAAGTGGCAAACATTACAACTTACCCCATTGGTGGGGTTAACTGTAGCAGCAGTTGCTAGAAAGGCCTGTAAATCAGTGCACAGCACAGTTTATTCAATACACTTTATGTTGTTTAAACTAGACAAGCTTTGGAATAAATACAAACATATTTATCAGCATAAATATGTCAAGATGCTATGTCAAATGTGGCAAATGTATTTTTATAGAAGAGCAAATATCAGTACAAATAAATTGAAATATATATTGTTTTCGGGGCAGTTGGGGGCTGGAGGTTAGGGAACCAGCCTTGTGACCGGAAGGTCATCGGTTCGATTCCCTAAGCTGACAGGACATGACTGAAGTGCCCTTGAGCAAGGCACCTAACCCCCAACTGCTCCCCAAGTGCTGTGGATTGGGCTACCCACCACTCTGGGCAAGTGTGCTCACTGCCCCCTAGTGTGTGTGCGTTCACTAGTGTGTATGTGGTGTTTCGCTGCACAGATGGGTTAAATGCGGAGGTGAATTTCCCTGGTGTGGGATTAATAAAGGGTAACTTAACATCTGTAGTATGTCAATAGTGTGTTTTTTGCAAAATCTGTGCATAAAAACATCAAAAAATAGAATTTATTTTATTCATTTCTTTCATTATTTATTTTGGGAGGCTTAGTTGTAACACTGTGCTAAACTAACTCCACCATGTGGAGGCTGTGATTTAGCCTGGCTCGGTTTCACTGTGAGCATCAAAACAGTGCAGTATTGCAGCTGCCAAGAAGGTGATTTAAAGCAATAAAGGTGTGAATTCTGTGACTTACATGCAACACAGAAATCAAAAACACTTACAATGAAAAAAAGTTACTTTTGCAGTACAAAAACAGTCTTTAGGGTGAATCTTGAGAAATATCTGTCCACTTTCTGTCAAAATTCACAGATGACTTTGCTACACAAATGGAAGATCACTAAAAGCATGTTGTACTGGTACTACAGTACTGCAACAGTAGTAGCCACCATGTTGAATCTAGGGATGTTCACTGGTACTCAAGTTCTCGCTTAACCATTTAAGATGCCAGGATTTGAATACTAAAATGACTGTTTGGGTATTTTTTATAATGGGGAAGATGGAGGAAATACCCAGACCTGCAGTTCTGCTATTTTATGTTTTAACAGGCTTGTAAATGTGACAGTTTTGCTGTAAACTCTTAAAAATAAAGGTGCCAAAAAGGGTTTGCATGATATCCCAGAAGAAGAACTTTTGGTTCTCCAACGAACATTTAGTAGATGGTTCTTTAGACAACTGTTTTTAAATGAGATGTGAGAATGTGAAGAACAAACTCAACATTCAAAGAATCTTCAAATAATGTGAACATTTTAGGAAGAATTTTTAAATTGGCCTTTAACCTTTAGGTTAAGGGTCTTTAAAAGTTCTTCACACTCACAAATCTCTTTTTCAAACTTTCAAACACCAAGACATGGTTCTTTAGCAAACCAAAAGTGGTTCTTCTATGTGGCCCCTTTATTTTTATTATATAGCACTCTAGCTTAAGCTACTCTAGCTGCTCTAGCTGATGTTGGGTAGATCCAGAAACGGTGAAAATGTCTTACAAACTTACAGACTCAAAAGAAAAGGCCTCATGTAGATGATGATGAGTCCTCATCAGAATCCAGATGTACACGTTGGTTCTTCAAGGGTTCTTTAGTAAAGAAAATGTTTCTATATAAAACCATGAACGCTCAAAGAACCCTTTACATGATTAATGATTAATGATGTTCTTTGCATTGTAAAGCTTTCTTCAGATTGATGGAGAATGTGTTGTAGATGGTTCTATGTACAACCTTTTTCGAAAAGGGTTCTATATAGCACCAAAAAGTGCTCTTCTATCGCTACGATATATCAAGCTTGTACAAATAGAAGAACCCTTTTTGGTGCTATATAGAACCTTTTTGAAAATAGAATAATCTACAGTACATTCTCCATCAATCTAAAGAAAGCCTTCACAATGCAAAGAACCCTTCAATCATACAAAGGGTTTTTTAAGTATTCATGGTTCTATACAGAACCTTTTTCTTTACTGAAGAACATCTGTGTACCAGTTAGCTCTAGTGTTAGATCATTAGCTCATGTGAAGAAGCACCCAACACAGAAATCTACTGATTCCCCTTGATTGTTTTTAAATAATAAAAAAATCTAATTTTGCTGTCATCTAAAAACTAAACCTACAGCCATACTTTATTTTTTTACTTTCATTTTTTGTTGTTGCTATTTTCTTCCCTGCAGTTCAGCTGATATCCGTTTATTAACTCTATACTCGAATATACGCTCTCCACTCACTCTGTACATATGTATACTATATTTATACCTGTATATCCATATTGTTTTGCCACTATACCGTCCTTCTGCACTTTGTACATAAATAATACTGTATTTTTGCACTTCTGGTTAGGTGCTAACTGCATTTCATCGGCTCTGTACCTGTACTCTGGACAATGACAATAAAGTTGAATCTAATCTAATATCAAAATTAGTTGGAATGTACATCCCCAGTTTTTATCTGGAAATTCATCTTTACTTCTGTCCACGTTAGAAACCACACAAGCACGTCTGTTTGAGATTACTTAACTCATCACATTTGAATCATTACTTGTTACAGTTGCCTGGTAGTGCAAAACTAAAGAAGAAAACTTTTGACACCAAATATTTGCTTAAACTAAGGGCAGAAGATTAGATTTTTCCCATACTGTTGATTTCATTGTGCAGAAGAGAATGAAAGCTAAAGTCATCATCTACCCATTCATCTTCACTCTCATTCTCCATCTTGTTCTGTAGAAGAGAACGCGAGAGAAGCTGGTGAACGTGTTGACCCTGTGTGGACAAGAAGTGGGGCTGACAAAGAACCCTTCGGTCAGTCAAACTCCTTACTGTTCCAAAAAGACAGGTAAAGTAGAACATCCTGGCATCAGTGTCATATTGAAACCCTTCTCGGCTCTCCAGGTGATCTTCTCGTCCTGTGGGGAGCTGGATCTGATTGATCACCAGCCCAGTCTGGTCTCCTCAGAGGACAGCACTCGGGACCCGGACAACATGGATGACACAGCGTCTGAACAGCAGTTCCGGGTCTTCAGGGATTTTGACTTCTTAGACGTGGAGCTGGAAGATGGAGAGGTGAGAGGCCTTCAGCTACGAACAAATAAGAAAAATGCATTTCTGCAAGCTTTTTCAGTCTAATGCATTTCTTTTGTTTAGTAAAACTCATGTTTAAGGATCTGTTTGATTGGTAGGACTTTTTTAGTGTTTCTCAGAGAATACTCTCTATGTAGAACCCAGAACACACACAAAGCTCAGCTCTTACACAAATCTTAGTGCTGTTTGTCCCAAACCAGTCCAGATTTACAGAATACAGATTCAAATAAACCAATAGGCCTCTCAAGGTAGGCCATGATAGTGATTTTGAACAACACACAACTTTAAATGTGGCTCAGCGAATCAGATTTTACACCCAGAACTACGTTAAATGTGAACTAGCAGGGCTTCCCAAGGACTGAGTTGGCAAACAATGATTTTGTTTGCCAACAGTATCGTGTAAAAGTCAGTATTTGCAGTATTGTGTAAATATGCAGTATTGTGTAAAAGTCAGAGACCACACTTCATTTCTTTAATTTATTTCCAGTCAAAAGCACAAGATATTTATTTTTCAGTCATGCAGAAAACATATATTTAGCAGAGAATGTCACAGACGCCTTAACAACTAACTATAATATCACAGTTTTTAGAATTGAGTCCACTCTTTGCCTCTTTTACAGCTTCCATTCTTTAAAGTAGACTTGCTTTCAGTTTTCCAAGAAATCCACAGGGATTTTTTCCCACATCTTCAGTTCAGTCTTAAAAGTTTTCTGCTTTTCATGATCCAAGTAATCCACAAATAAAACACATTCACTGACGCTGAGGTCTGGACTCTGGGGTCGGTCAGTCCATTGTTTATTGATTTCCATTTCTCAGAAATGACTATATCTATTATATATTATATCTGTTATTCATTATTATATATCTGTTATTCATTTTTTTGAACTCCAGTTTTGGAAACTCCTGTTTTTACTTATTTTCTTTGGACTTCCCCTTCCTCATGCCTCATGCTTCTGTACTGAGTCTCCTACATAGCTTGTACTTAATGGGTATTTTGACTGAAAATTAAATAAATGAATGGTAATCTCTGAATCTCTGACAGAAACGCATTATGAAAGAAGCTACTGCTAGTGTCTCTTGTGTTGACCGTTGTATAATATGGTTTCCTCTCTCTCTGTATGTCTGTGCTGTGAAGGAGCTACAGGTAAGTTCCTCCATGCTGGTGTGCGGTGCCGTATTCAGTAGTAGAGCTAGTCTTAAGTAGATAAGTACATATTACCTACAGTGTTGTCTGCAGTGTTGTGCATTGTTGTGCATGGTTTTCACCCTTTGCACATAGTTTGTTATGGATTTTGGAACACGTTTTAACTAAATGGAGTTCCTGCAGGCCAAATACAGCTTACAGACGTGTATTTCACCCTAGACCCAAGAGAGAATTCAGAAAAGGTTGAACCGATATATATATAGATATAGGGGAATTCCACTGAGTATGTCATATACATTGAATTTCCTACATTATGATCTACATTACAATGAAATTTCTACATAATTCAGTTTTCAAGATGTGAACAAAGTCATTCAGAGTGGTTTGATTTGAAATGAGTAACTGGGGAGAAACTTACTAAGTCAAAATTCTTTACAGTGGTGGTGATATGTACCATTTTATTTACTGTGCAAAACCACCAGTGAAATTTTCTTTGTGTAATGTTTTACCGTACAGCACCTTGAAGATTTATTTAACAAAACCTTGTAACAAAGACGAACATAAAACAATGTATCTGGCATCACGTAGTATATTTATAACAATTTTGCGTAATTTTGCTTTCCTGCCATCACTGATTTGAACATTTCTGACTCAAGCTTCTCTAGAACAGCATTTCACATCGAACCACTGTGAATGACTTCATTGTATATTAACGAATGAACTTGATGTAAATCAGTGGAATTCCCCTTTAAGTAAGCCAAATGAATGGGGGTGAGAAGAGCTCAGCGTTAAATGGTAGCAAATGGTCGACCTTGCACTTGACCCCAGCTTCCTCTCATGTGTTTGTCTGTCTCTGACTTTGGGGAAGTGATGTGAGATATGCAAAGAGCCCATTTCCTGTGTATGAATACCGTTGGCCAAAGTGATTCCTAATCTTAATTTCAGTGATTTACCAACATAATGACAAACGTGAGCTCAGCAGTCTCCTAATCAGCTAATAAAACAAGGCCTCTGTCAATGTCTTATAGCTGTTTACTCTTGGTGTTTAATATTAGAAGGTGGACTGTAGCAAGACAAACTTTACAGAGTTCACTCCCTTATAATGAGTCTTCTCATCGTCTCATCCTCCCTCTCTGTGCAGTCTTGTGAAATCAGCAGAGATAAATCAGAGGAGATTAGGTGTTTTGCTGACGTACTTTTGAGGAGCTGATGAAACTGCTCTTTGCCGGTACCAGGAGCATCCCTTTCTCCCTGTTGCATCAGAGGCTGTTATTAGAGGAACGCCTTTGAATTGGGTTGATGTAGGCAAACAGCCATCCATAATTAGGCTTGAACTCTTGAGTTCAACAGCAACGAGACTATAGGGCTGACCAGAGTGTGCCCCGCGGGCCAAAGACTGCCTGTGAGAACGTTTGATTTGGACCGCCAGACAGTCACCCTGACCGTACCACCTCATTCGATGAGTGAACAAACACTTTTTATTCATTAGAGGTGGGAGATATGGCAAAAATACAGGGTGATTCAGAAAGATTCATCCGATTTCAAAATGATTAATTTCACTTGTAAACCGTTACAGAACAATGCAGTAAATTGTAAATGGTTTAAGTGAGCATAAAGTTTATTATGTAATTTTAAATGTGCTCAATAAGAACCTCCTCCAGCCGTACGGACAACATCAACGCAATAGTCAAATTCATCCCACACTCGATTGAGCATGTCAGGTGTTGCTGTACTAACGGCTCTTTCAGTGTGATTTCGGAGATCATCCAGTGTTGTGGAACCAACGACGAATGCTGTTGGAGGTTCACTGCCGATAAAAATCACGTGGCTCAGTTATGACAGATTCACTCTTATTGAAGTGGAGAACACAAAATGCTTTCTGCTCAGGCGTCTCATCTCCTCTCAGACTGAAGAGAGCCATCTTCCAGTGACAGTCAGAAACTCTATGACCCCCCTCTTTCAAATGGAATGTGATTGGTTCCTAGACGCCTCACGGTTGTAAAAATATGGCGCTTTGAAATCGGATGAATCTTTTTGAATCACCCTGTATAACATCGTGGTACTTCAGTACATTTCCATGAAACCCATTATGCATTGATATTTAGTTTTTTCTGAGTTTTGAGAAGATAAAAAAAGAACCAGTAGTGCCACATTTAAAAATACTATCAAAAACTATGAATACAGTGATTTTTTTTCAGTGTTCGCATTGAATAAATCACATACTGTACTGCACTAAATTCATTTTATAACATTACCCATCTTTTTGTTTTTAAAATTTTATAAGTTATAGACTGTAGTCCATCTGTTTCTCTGCATACTTCGTTATCCCCCGTTTACCCTGTTCTTTAGTGGTCAGGATCCCCACAGAACCACCACAGAGCAGGTACTATTTGGGTGGTAGATCATTCTAAGCACTGTGGCAGACACTGATGTGGTGGTGTGCTAGTGTGTTAGTGTCTTTTTTAAAGCTCCAACAAGATATTTACGTTCCTAGCTAACGTTAACTGTCTGCCTTCCATCTGCGTTCACCAGCTAAAGACAAAAAGAAAGTCAAAACAGCTCACCCTCAAAAAATCCACTCAAAAGCAGTTTTTTAAGGTCCCACCACCTTCAACCTGAGAAATCTCATCATAGAGACTACTGAGGCACCACTATAGGATGTGCACATTTACAACAGACGTAGCTATAGTTAAGTTCTTCATTTTGACCAGAGTGTACCTTTAACATAGCCATATGAGAACCAATGAGAGTCAACTCTCAGTCAGCCTCAGCCTGAAAAGCATGACCCAGCCTGCTTTCTGTGTGTTGCCACAGATGTGCACTCGTATATGTGGATGCATGAATTTAATCCCGATTCCCGACTGTTTGTGTCAGGGTGAGACGGTGGACAGTTTTAACTGGGGAGCACGGAGACGCTCCATGGACAGCCTGGACCGAATGGAGCCACAGCCTCTGGAAGAGGACAGTCGGCTGTCCGGCAGTTCGCCCAGCCTGGGACCCATCGCTCGAGATGACTCGGACGAGTCTTCGGAAGAAGACTCGCTCACTGTCAGCCACATCCTGTCCACCTCACAGCTAGTGAGTCAACATCTGCTTCAGAGAGAATGAGATAACTTCTATAGAGTTCATCACTGAAGGATGTTAAGCCTTTTATTTAAACCTGTTATTAATCTAAAAGGGAAATTCCACATAATTCAGGAGTTGAGTTGTAAACAGAGTCAGTCACAGTTTGTTGGGTTTGATTTAAAGTGGTTCATTGTCGAAAAACTTATACACTTTTTCTTTACAGTGGTGGTGATAGGAACCAGGGGTCACAAACACTACAACACAAATATAGCCATTTTATTGACCACCTAAAGTGACCAGTTAACCGACACGTCTTCTTAGTTTGCATGTAAAATGTTAGTCATGGTGAAATAAAATAAACGGTAAAAATAAGTTTTCTTTGGGGACTATTTTGCCTCACAACACCCTGCATGTACCCCTCCACCTTGCTTGAATTTTAAAAATACTTCAGGCCAAAAAATGTAAAGCAAAATATTCATAAAACAATGTCTTAAACATAATGCTGAGCATTTAACTTTCTGTGAGGGAGCTTTTAGAGGAATTTAATGCGTCAGACATCTGGTTCCTATCACCACCACTGTGAAAAATTCTGACTTGGTAAATATCTCTTTGACATTTTATGTCAATTTTATTGAAACAATGATTTACAATCTTGACTGTAAATATGTCTCAGTATGTGCTAACGTCCTAGTATAGGCTAAAACATATAGTATAAACAAAAATGCTCACTTTGCTCTTTTTTAAGCTTTACTCAGCTATGGTTGATTTTCTCGCATCTCCGACAGGAAACTTTTCTGCAAAAGTAGAATAGTTTCTTGTAAAATGTCTCTCAGGGTTCAATGACGAGGCTTAAGTCAGCTTCTCATTCGCCGGTTTCTTGTCACAATTTTCCCGTTCCACCTTAAATGGTGCCTGACGTGCCAGAATGTAACTGCTGCACCATTTAAGGTGGAATGGGAAAATTCAAACTTCAAATTTCTTATTGCAGATTAAATATATCAGGAAACCAGCTGGAGTGCTGATAAAAGCAAATAGGTCTGTCCATTCATCTCTAAATTATTGATAATTATCTTAAATCTTTCTTTTCTTTGCCCTTTCGTTAGCTACTGGCTAAACGACATTGTTGTGTGCGTTTCTGTGTGACCAGCAGGCTGCACACCAACCTTCAGGGTGAAATAGTGGTAAATTAGCAACTTTTAAGACGATTTCTAAATTAACAGCAATCTTTAAGACCATGTATTGTTCATATTGTGTTAGGGCTGTGTGTTAAAACATTCAGCAGAGCTTTATTTTACTGCAAAGGATGATTATTTTATTTTTGCTAAAAAATCTAATTCTGCTGTGGAGCCACAAGAGGGCAGTAAAAGAGCTGCATGTTGCCGACCGCTGTCCTAACCGTTTAATTATGCAGAAATTCTGAAAAGCCAGTGGAAGTCACCTTTGAGGCTTTATCCATCCACCCCATTCATTAAGGATCCCTTAAACTGGTTCTGGTTTGGCCTTTTTATGCCAATTTTAATGACGTGAAGGCTAATCTTAAATTCACATAAGTTTTCTGTACTGAATTGTAGCATCTCTGTCTCCTTTCTGACTTTAAGTCCCGTCATTAGGATGTTTGTAAAAAAGACTCCTCTGTATTTCTTTCCAGAATGTCAGCATGTCCCCCACCGAGCAGGTGAACCACATGGACTCTCTGTCCGCCTCCCTAGATGCCACTTCAGCTGAGCCCCTCTCTCTGCCCACCCCAGTGCCCAGCCTCAGCGCCAGCCTGCCCGAGGATTCAACCCCGCGGGTGAATAAGGGCTTCAGAATGGCTGACTTGTGGGGGCCCACGCACTCCTACTCCTACCGCACCTCCATTCTTGAGTTTTTCGCTAACACTGCTAAATAGGAATGCTTCTTTTTTCTCTTTCTGCTTTAGGCTTTGATGAGGGGTGAGGTTTAGCATCTTATGGCTAGATAATATACTGTACATGTTGTTTTTCAATTACTGTTTCCGTTTTAAAGAACATGGGAGTTCTGCACTTACCCACAGCTGCATGAAGATGCGCTAACTTTAGCATTAGCTCTCTGGCTTCTATTTTCTAACTCTTCCTCTTCCCTGCATTAACCATCTTTGAGGCCTGCCACTGCTTTGCCTTCAGGGCTCCTTGGGTTTGGTTTGGCAACAGGAAGAGGCTCTAACCCAGCCACTGCGGCAATGTGTATGGCTTCTCGCTGGGTGGCAAGCTAACATCCTCAGCATGGTGGGGCTACAGAGTACGAGAGCGTACACATTGCCTGTGGCCCACATACATTAGACCAGACCGATTGGGTCTTGGTTTTCCCAACATGTCAGTGGTTTCCAAACATTTCTAAATTTTCTATCATTTGGGCCCTAAAATATGCTAAAGAAAAAAAACAAACTCGACAAGGAGTCTCTTAGTATTTAAAGGTTAGTGTACTTATTGTTTATCCTCTATACTTCACAATGTTCATAATTAGTTCACTTAAGAATTTTGTTTGCAAAATAAATATGCCGCTGTGTTATTGATTGTTTAAGGAGCCCATGTCCTGCATTTGTCTTGTATTTTATTTTGTTCCCTGAGATCCACTTATGACATTTATGTAGTTTTATATACCAAAACCAGTCATAATTCATTTGTACGTAACCATTTTCCAACCTCTCCTTATCCCTTAGAATTTAATAGGCTGTTTTTTGAGTGTTCCTGTAAGACACGGTCATGTGTAAAAGTTTGAACTGGTCAAAAAGCATTTTGTTGATTTTGTAAGTGAAAATAACTTAACACGTCCTCTTTGTTTAACAAACATAAATATGCCATTTATCTGCTAATTGTATTGCAAAATGTTCTATTTATTTGCTGAGTTTAACATAAAAAACATTAAAAAACATACAACATAAAATATAGAAGGTGCCATAACTTTTTCACAAGCCACATTTTATGTTTTCTTCCACCAGTACTCTAAATTCAGCAAATAAACAGTGATTGTGCATTAAAATGTACAGTACTGTGCTCTCTGTAAAGGATGTGTACCTTATTTTCACTTAGAAAATCAAAAAAACAATTTGACCAGGGGCGCCCAGACTTTTGCATACGACTGCATATGTGAAAGAGCTCTGTTCTGATTGGCTTCCCTGTATTATCCCTCTTTGAATAAGCAGTCTGGGCTGAAACACACTTTATAACTTCAGCACGAGTGGGCGGGGCTGAACTGTTGCAGGCTGAATATATGAATATTTGTTTTTTGTGACATCACAAAAACAATGAATTCAAATGGGCTATTTTTGCACATGTGGACTGAATGCATGTTTTGTAACTTCAATAATGTTTACATTACATATTACACATATTTATGTAAAAAACAAGTGAGGGAAATTCAGTTTTTCCATGATATGGGCCCTTTAAGCGCAGTAGTTTCTGGGATATTACAGACTTTGATTGAGGCGAGGTGATTGTGGTGATAGATGACATAAAAAGAGAAGCAGCCACATAATGTCATGCATAATCAGTTGCATGATTTCATAGTCATGACTGCAGTCTGTTTTGGTTCTCATGTCAATGTTTTGTTCCTTCAGTTATAAATAGCTAAGGCATAGCTTTTACAGTGACCGTAGTTCCCCACAGCTGTTCAGTTTCCAGTGTAAGACCAGTGTGTGGTGCATTTCCACTGCTTCTGCTTACTCACACTGCCTTTTATCTTCCCTTCCATCATTAGACTGAACTATCAGCAGAAGATGAGGGCGCAAGCATTCATGAGGATGAAATCTCTCTCTGCATTAATGAGCTTCCCTCAGCTTTCAGCCACTCTGACAGCATAACGCTGGACATTCCTGGGGACGTCAAGGGAGATGTGGAGTCAGAGTCCAGCTGTTTACCCAGGTATGGTCATCAAGCAGCTTTGCCTGATAAATATATTAATATAAAGCAGAGAGACTTGCATTGCAGGGATATGTCTCACCTAGAAGTACTTGCAAGGTTCAAGCTACAGTACCAGTCAACAGTTTGGCCACACCTGATTGAGTGCCTGTTTTTTTACATTTTTGGAGTCAGAAGAAAAAACACACTACAATACGATGTGTATGCGCCGCTGTGAGTCACCCTGTAAAGCCTGATATAATCATTTAAAAGTCAGAGGCGCCGGGGTGGGAATTTTTCAGACGTCATACATGTTTATGTGTTAGCATCACACGCACAGGCTCAAAAAGAACGTCTGGCTTGATGTTTAGGTCTCAAATGCAGAATCAACATTATACTGATGAAGATAGAAGATAGAGAATAGTAGATAATAATTTGCATCCTCAAAGGAAACGTCCTACACCAAGTTTGATGGGTTGAGATGTGTTTGAATTTCCTTTCAACACACTCGTAATCACCAGATTCATCCTCTCGGGGAAGGGGTCTGAAGCACAACCCACGTTATAAAATGTTCTTCTGCATGCAAGTTGCATGCAATTACACATTTCTACCAGGTCAAATCCAAATCCCCAAATCTTACATAATGTAGCTTTAATGTCTCTAAAACCACATTCCCAACCGTTTATACTCTAAAATGTGTCATAGCATCACTGGTGTTGAAAAAAAATCTGAATTTGACAGTATGCCAAAGTCAAACAATATGTCAACCTCCTGTTGACTCCCTTGCTCTGTGTTGTGGAGCAAATTAAGCAAGTAAATATTTGAGTTGTGATTTTTTTGCAACGTTCACCACTTTTTTAGCATAGTTCATATAATCTTCTTTCTCCATTATAATCAATAGACCCAACTCTGATTTTGCAGACCCCCGGTCCTGCACATTTCATCACTCCCAAACACTAGATCCATCTCATAAGGTATTTATCAAAACCTTTATGAGCTGGATCAGGTATTTTGTATCAGGGAATTCACAAAAGTGCCAGAAAAAGGTTCAGAAAAGGCTTTAAGCAGGACTCTCTATTCTTTTTATAGCATATAAATTCATAGTTTAATTTAATGTTATGTACTCTATATTATTAGTTAAAAAGCTGCATCAAGGGAGGCTTATTTTTTAAACAAATCTAAAATAGAAGATTTGATCACTGCATGTTATTTCACAGTTTTGCTGTCTTCACTGTTATTCTAAAATGTGTAAAGTTGTGAAAATAAAGAAAACCCTTTATAAGTAAATGTATCCAAATTTTGACTGATACTGAATTTAAAGTATAAACGTTTTCTTTCGTTTTAGAAAAGAAGTCAAAAGTGTTAGAAATCGGTGCAACTGGACACTTTAAATCTATCATAAACGTCTGTATCTCTGCACCTTTGTCTTTCTGTGTGAATCCAGTCTCCACTCCTGCAGTGGCTTTGGGGAGCAGCCCAGTCTCATGTTAGCTGAGGAGGAAAAAGACGATCTCCTGCTGGAGTCTCGTTCTTCCTCTCCTCCTCCGTCCCCATTCTTCTCTGCCATCCTGGCTGCCTTCCAGCCGGTAGTGTGTGACGATGCTGAGGAGGCCTGGCGCACTCACCTGAACCAGCTGGTGGCTGACACGGATGGCTCCTGCGCTGTCTACACCTTCCATGTCTTCTCTTCACTGTTCCAGGTATGTGGCAGCGTTGGCCGAGGTTTAGCTGTTGGGAATGTGCTGAGCCTAAACATGGTACCAACTTTATGGTACCATTCACAAGTTGAAAATCACTGATTTCATTAAGAAAATAAAAAATATATACATATATATTAGTGAATTCAGTAATACACCATTTATTTGCAGATTTGCTAGTACTCCACAACTTTGTAGGTTTCACACAATTTGTTGTAAGCGATAAAAAATAGTTCATAATGGTGAATAGAGCTGAAGATGATTTCATCATAACTGAAAAAGCTGTATAACATAAAGAATCAACAATTCCTCATAGATAATGTGACAAATTACTATATGTAGATAATTACAGTATATTAACTATCACTTAACTTTTTGTTGTCAAACAATTCAATATTGAGTAACACATTCTAACAATACTGGTCTGTGGTTTGTAATATTTCACTGTTATTGTAATAAAATAGCAACAATTACTAATATGACAAGTGATCCCAAGTTTTTTAATTAATGTAGAATCCTGAAAAACAAATCCAGGTCCGTTTCACTAAAGATAGTGGGGCTGGGGGGTTTTCATCAAGGTCCCAGCAAGAGACATTCCACCACTAATCTATTGACCATCATTAACCTATTTAGCTGTGCTCCATCTCACAAAGCTGACAGGCCTGGAGGCGCTGGCCTCTCAGGAGTCGTGCTGCGTCTTTAATAAGGTTTCATTAGTACTGACAGTATGATGTGTCTCCTTTTTTGCCTTTTAGAGTATCCAGACCAAGTTCTGTGCCTTGACCTGCGATGCTGCTAGTTATCTTGGAGAAGGCCTCCGCGGAATAGGAGCCAAATTTATAAGGTCGTCGCAGATGTTGACGGCGCACTCAAAGTGCCCCACTCTGTTCATAGATGCTGATACAGTGAGTAATGTGTGAATAAAGTATCTATGTTACAGTCCCTAATTAACAATTGAACACACTTTGCCTTCTGTTGAAATGTCAAGAGTAATACTGGAAGTACCTGAAAATGTTTTGTTAACATAGAACACTAATTTTCGAAATAATTATTTTGTAATAGTCAGCTTCATGATCATAAAAGTGTCTTCTTTGGTATGCAGAGCAGGTTTGTCTAAAAATGTATTTGCTGACTGGAGCACGTCCTGTGCTACCCCGGGCACAAGGAGGACGCTTGAGGCAGGATTCAGTGTTACAGCAGCCATTTAAGTTTTATTTACACACCAAATACACAAAAACAAAACCAAACTAAAACCAATGCTATGCTGCCCACTTCTCAGTGGTTCCAGAACTCAGACTTTTCAGTCTTTTTCAAAACCAAGCTTCTCAGCTCTTCAGTCCTCTTTTGTTGTTGTTGTTGCTGCTGCTGCTGCTCCTCGCTCCTTGCCCTCATGCCTCTCATGGCCGGCACCGTCATCGTCTCCTCCTCCAGCCGTCACTCGCGTCCCTCAGCGGAGCTCAGGCTTTGCTCTCCGTCCACCACCCACTCATGGCTCTCTCCCCGCCGTCCACACTGGGGTTCGTCACCACTCTGTGTTTAGGCCCCGCCTTCCGGCAGGCTCTCGCGGCCACCATTGAGGGCCCGGGGTTCGGCCCACGCCACACTGACATAATGACACAGCAAGGAGATAAGCTGGATAAATGCATGATATTGTGCCTCTCAGAATGAACCTAGTTAGTCTTTAATATTAACATTTTAACATTTTAATATTAACATTTTATTAATTTAACATAATTCAGTGGTTGAGATGTAAAGGAGTAATTTCAGAGTAGTCTGATGTGAAATGGTTCATTGTAGTGAAACTCACTGACTCAGCGCAAACATTTTATTTACCATCCAAAATGATCAGTGAACTTTGAGATCTTTTGAGATCTTATATGTAATGTTGATAATAATAGGAATAGTGGTAAATCTGAAAAGATATGCTTTTACATGGCTACTGTTTTGGCTTACATGTACCTCTGCATGTACCTCTCCATTATAAATGGCTTTTAAAAAAGAACAAATCTCAGAACTATTATAAAAATGTCTTATGTGCACATTTGTAACCACTTCATATACTTTCTGTGAGGTAGCTTGTAGCTTTAGAAGAATTAAGGCAGAGGAGATCTGGTTCCCATCACCACTGAGCTCTGATTTGGCAAGATTTTCTACAACAGAGCATCTCACATCAAACCATTCTGAATAACTCTGTTTGCATTTTAAAGGAAATTATATCATGGAAAAACTGAGTGTTATTGAACTTTATTGAAGTTTCAAGTCTTACCATTTACTCCCCAGTCCATACATTATATACAGGAAAACTTAGGGCATTTTGAGTTCATTGTTTTTCTGATGTCACAAAAAACAACATATTGACATATATCCCCCTGTTCAGCTTACAGCAGTTTAGCCCTGCCTATTCACACTGAAGTTATAGAGAATGTTTAAACCCGAACTGCTTTTTTGAATGAGGCACAATACAGGGCAGCCAATCAGAGCAGAGCTCATTTTGTCACACCTGGCCCCTCCTCGCCAGCAGAGGTCACTATCGCCTGAACACTAGTTCAGATCACGCACCTGAGCTTAATCAGAAGCCATTTTGTGTTTTCACTTACATCTTGTGAAGCCTTGTTTGGGTGTTTTTCTTGTAATTCTGAGCCGTGTTTGCTTTTGCAGACTTTTGGGTTGTTTGGACTCTGTATATTGGTATCTTGACTACGATTTCTGTCTAGTGTTTTTTGGAACTGTCTGCTCTTGGTATGTTTTGATATGGTTGGCCTTCTCTGGCTCTTTTGTTCGACTCTCCTGATCTTACTCTCATTAAACTCCTGCCTGGTCTGAAGCTCTACATGACACGTGTACATATATCAGTCTTAAGGGCACAGTAACAAAAACAGCCTGTTCAATTCTAAGGGCTAAAGAAAGTTTGGAAAATGGTCATGCATAAATGAATTATGACTGTTTTTGGTACATAAAACATACACAAAACACTATAAGTGGAGCTCAAAGAAAACAGTTTAATTAGGCATTTTGAAAATGTTTGCATTTCCCCTTTAAGTTATCACAAGCCAGCAAAGAAAACATGCCTATTAATACTAGATGTGATCAAAACTTCCACAGGCATTGTAAGCATATACCCAAATAAATAATAACTGCTAGTGATTGCTTATGAATGCAGCCATTTACTTGGGCATGCGCACGTTTGCTTTTATGATTGACGTTTTAAATTTAATTTAAGTGTAAAAAAAGAAACAGAAACCATTATCAGGCTAAAACTGTTTCTGTGTGTCCTAGATTGTCTCCTACGGACTGCTAGAAAAAATGAAGTTCAGTGTTTTGGAGCTGCAGGAGTATCTGGATACCTACAACAACAGAAAAGAGGCAGCCATCTCAGTAAGTGTGATTTCTCTTTCTAAAGTCCTGCTTCTAATGAATATTCTTTTAATTCTGACCACCTCATGGCTTTGTGTTCTTTCAGTGGCTACGGAACTGCAAGGCTACCTTCACCAAAGGCTCTGGGGATGGGGTGATCACATACCAGCCTGCTGAGACTGAAGAAAAGGTAGAGAATCCACTTCTTCATAATCCAAAGACTAACAAATCAGAATGTAGTCACCATGTCAGAAACATACTTTGTAAAGTGGATCATAGAGGGCTTGCCTGCAGCCCACCGCTTGCCTCATTACTCACTCAACAGTCCAATTCAATGAGTGTGTTTACATGCACTTAATAATCTGATAACTGCAAAAAATCAGATTTTGTCAGTAATCCAATTAACGCATTTATACTCACTTGAGTAATCAGATAATGGGGAAACTCTTGGTCTACATGAGTCAGGCAGTAATCAGATTTCTGCTTTGTAACCAGCCAGTAAACTCACAGAAGAAGACGTGACATAAATGTAATGTTAAATGTCAAATTTCATGCCGCAGCTTTTTTTACAACATCGCACCACTTTACCTGAAAATATGAACATACATAATCTAGAAGATACACAATATTTAAATCTTTCCTTTTGTCAAGCATGTATTTGGTTTCAGCATCACTCCAAAAGTGTTTTGCTGCGTCTCGCGGCAACGCTGCTGGCTTATTTCCAGTACTGCGATCGGTTTTCGCACATGCACAGACTGAGAGAAATCTGAAAGAAATCAGAGTAAGAGTACACATGCACTGAGAAATCTGATTACTGAGCTAAAATCCTGGTCTCTTTTTCAAAATATATTAATCAGATTTCTAGACCTTACTCTGATCTAAGAAATCGGAGTATGCTGTTTACATGACCATTTGAATAATCAGATAACTGCAGTAATTTGATCATGATTGGATTATTGAGTGCATGCAAACACACTCAGTGCTGTATGTTGGAACTGAGTACTAATTATTACTGTTGTGCTACTGAATAATGTTGTAAACTATGTATTATAGCAGGCAGTATCTTAGGGCCACTGTGTAGCTGCACATACTGTTGTATATAAATTTTGAAGAGAGCACACACCTCTGCACATTTTAATGCATATTTGCTAAATTTAACCTATTAAACTGTGCAAAGGTTTTGGCACATTTTATATTTAATTTTCTTCCAATGTCAAATATGTATGTTCTCTTGAAGGGTGTGTTAACTTATTTTCACTTAGAAAATCAACAAAACATGTACTTTGACTAGGGTGTTCTAATGTTGGTTTAAAACTGTATGTAATGCATGTTAGTGAGTCACTGTTAACACTGTATACATTAGGCTGGCAGTTAAATGATTTGACCTGAGGTTGTTTCAGAGTCCATTTCAATCTATCTCTTACATTTTCTGCCTGTCGATTACTCTGCAGTCGCTCTGTGAGTGAAACACCTGTCTCAATCTCTATCCATCTCTCAAGCCTGTTTCCAGAGCAGCCTTGGGGTTGCGCTGCATCACGCTAACCCCTGATTCCTTTGTTCAGCGCAATTTTCTTTAACCTCTGCTGGGCAGAAGAGCGCTAAAAGTGACTTAACATAGAAATTCACAAACATTGCAGTTTAGCATACGAACCTACCAGGGGTGGGGAGACTGAAAATACCCACTTAAGTACGAGTTCTACCCTAATGTTCAATATAATTTAAAGTTGGCTTAACATCTCTGTCCTTTTAAAGGATGAAATTGTTAATGGTTAACGTTAATCAAGCGGTGCCCAATCCTGGTTCTAGAGATCTACTACCCTGCACAGTTTAGCTCCAGCCCTAATCAAATACACCTGATCCATGTAATGAAGGCCTTCAGGGGCATCTGAATATTAGAGCCACGTGTGTTAGATCTGAACTGTCTAGAGTGAGTCTCCAGGACCAGGACTGGGTACCACTGTGTTAATCTATCTGGCTAGCTGCCTAAACATTTTCAGCTGGCTAATATTAGCTAGCATAGAGAAAATTTAAAAAGAAAATGTGAGCATAATGATAATACATTATGTAAACATCTATGACCTGACTGAGCCCTAAAGATTAGCCAAATTTGTCTCAAAACGGAAGTGCTGGTAAACGTAACCAAACATCAAGTTTAATAGGCAAAATATACAAAAGTATTTAACTCACTCAGTTGGTTATTACTTACAAAATTCAAGTTGCATTTAATTTTCTTGACTCCTTTTTTATGGATATTATAAAATAAAATTTCTACATTAATAAATTGCAAAATAGTACACTTACAGGGAAAAATGCACTCAAGTACTAATAAGTTATAGTTGTAGGTCTAATTTGTTACTTTCCACCTCTTGATCCTAGATACTGTACTGCAAACAGAATAGGTTGCCGAGGGCCATCGTACCTTTGTTCAATCAATCTTTGAATCACTCGCTCCCCCCTTTAGACGAAGGAGATGGGGGTTAAAATAATCTCTAATTCCCTTTCTTCATTTACAGAAGGATGTATGTGTACAAACGTTAAGCTCTCCCACCAGAGTCCCTTTAAGAGCTGCTTCTGTGCTTGGCTTGAAATAAGAGAGCTGCAGAACTTCTGTTCATTTTGCTGCCAGTCAGCTCTTTCTCTGGCCTTGCATGCATCAAACAAACAAAGCCTTTGCTTATTTTTGGCCCAGTCGACTGGGCTGCATGCTTTCTCGCTGATGTTCCAAACTTTCTTTCTTCTTACTTCTCACCTTTTGTCTTGTGAAACGCCTGCTTTGTAGCAAATGGAATCTCTTGCAGTAAGTTATATATAAGCTTTCTATGTCTTATTTCAGTCCAATTTTAGCCCACATTTCATTTCAGAGTACACCCTGTAGACTATATCATTGTTTTTGCATTCTTGGGTCATTTTACTGAATTGGTTCAAAATGAGAGTTAAAAGACTTTTAACTGACTTAAATTTCTTTTTGTTTGAGAGATACTGTACCTTAATTATGTTTATTTTATTAAAACACATGATTGAACATTTCATTTTGTCACTAACAAAACAATCATAACACCACTGAAACTCTGTCTAATGTTTTGGTCGTGACAATTGTAGCTAACTTTGAGCTTAAGTCAAAAATGCTAGATGACTAGCGAACATAGCTTTAAACAGCTGCACACATATAAAATCAGAATATATGTTAAAAACATGAAAATTGCAGAGAATGTGTGTTTGTTCCACGCTGAGTTTTAGACTCTGGGGCACATTTACTTCAAAACAATGGGAACTAATTGCTCACCATGTGGCCCTGCTCTAAAAGGCAGGGGTGTGTCTACAATAAGGCTCCACATACAGACTAAAACTCATGTTTCGGTAGTAACATGAAAACATTGGACAGCATTTTGGAGTAAAGTATTTTCATTTCAAATTTAATATTTTAGAATATTTGTAATATTTAGCTTTGTGTAAATTTATAATATTTGTAATATTTAGCTTATTACTATCTCTATTAATGCCTTTGGTTCAAATAGATCATACCGCAATCTGTGTAAATATCTTTTTTTTTTTTTAATATTTTGTATTTTACTGTGGGACTGCAGTTTGAACTAATTCAGTAGAATGGTCCTATTTGAAATAGTGTTTTATTTTGTTAAGTTTCCTTTTTGTAGTTATTTCCCTCAGGAAAGCAATGGAATAGCTTTTGTAGACTTCCTCTTTGAAAAAAAGAAAAAAATAGATTCCTGTTTCCATTTATTTTGCCTCAAGTCTTGACTGTTGAATGCTGACAGATTCTTTGATGTAGTAAGTGAATGAAATGTACACTGAGAATTTTGTTTTGTTCTGCCTTTTTTCCTCCAGCAACTGGAGCTGTGTCAACGACTCTACAAACTCCACTTTCAACTGCTTCTGCTTTATCAGTCTTACTGTAAACTGATCGGTCAGGTGCACGCTATCAGCGCCGTCCCAGAGGTATGCTGTTTCTCTAATGAATATGCGTGTTTTGTGTAGTTTTCTAGAGTATAAGTCTTTCACACTGATCTGAAAACCTGCACTCCATACCTTTACATGCCTTTTACCCAACATGGTTTGTTGCTGGTTAATCATTATCATGATAAGGCTGCAATATGCAAATCTAACCAGTGACAATGTTTCTTGTCTCTATGCTGTGAGCGTCTCAGTTCCGTATGCATGCTGCTGTGGTTGTTCTGATGATGGTATTCATGTAATGTTTTCCAACAAAAGTCAGTTATTTTGGACTAAATAATTTAAGTCAATAATTAATCATGTCACATTATTGACTCACATAAACATTTCACTGTTGTCGGAACAAAACCTCGTATCTCCAAAATGGTAACTTTACAGGAGAAGGAAAAAACATACTTTACTTTTATTGTGAGTTAATGGAACCAGACGTCCATGTCATTTTTGGTCATTTTGTTTAGTCCATTTATCCTGAAATTTACACACAATGTAAAGGGTACCAAATTATGTCAAAAACTGTAAAACGTCAAAAATGGAGATACAAGGTTTTCTTCCGACAATGGCGATATATTGCTAGGTGTATCACAATTGCAATATGTAATAATTTAATTGCATTACAAGTCATTTGTCCACATCTTGCAGCCCTAGTTCAAGTATGGAAGGCTGATCCTTGTGGCTTCGTAAATCAAAATTTCTTCACATCATATTTTTCCCTCTCTAGCTCGTGAACATGTCAAAGGAGCTTAATGATCTGAAGAGTAACCTGCGGGCGGCGGCAGCTTCAGTGGCAGGAGAGCAGGCAGCCCAGGGCAGTGAGCAGTCCTCCGCGCCCTGCTTCAGCTCCTCAGAGGCGGCGGTGCAGGCCATACTGGAGAGTCTGAGGAACAACGAGTTCTCCACAGCCATCCGCTACATTCAGGAGTGCAGGTGAATCTCTCACACGTTCACTCCCCATCCCCAGGCCATATAGTCTATTTATGAAAACTGAGCTGTTTTGAATTTGTAGTTTTTGTGATGCCACAAAAGCATATTTTTGCTGCCAGAACAAAATATTTCATCTGCAAAATGGTAACTTTACAGAAAAACATTCTTAACTTGTAATGGAAGTTAATGGAACAAGATTTTTTCTAAATCATTTTGGACCATTTCTGTTGTTCATTCATTATGAGTTAGAGTTACGCAAAAAAAGACATACAAGGTTTTTGCTTGACAGCATCGATATGTCCTCTTATTCAGCCTATATCAGTGTAGCTAATTCATTCTAAAGTTATAAGGGACATTTCAGCCCAGACTGCTTTTTGAACAAGGCGCTTCTGGTCACATTTAATGTTTTAATAACAAGTAAACACATCCTCTACAGAGAACACACTTCTGCACAATTACAGTTGCAAAATTATTGTTTATTTGCTGAATTTAACATATTGGAATAACCTAGGATAACATAGCAACAGCCTAGCAACATCCTAACAACCCCCTGGATTCCATAACAACAGCCTAGCAACATCCTAACAACCCCCTGGATTCCATAACAACAGCTTAGCAAGACCTTAGCAACCACCTAGGATAACATAGCAACAGCCTAGCAACATCTTAACAACCTCCTGGATTCCATAACAACAGCTTACCAACACCTTAGCAACCACCTGGGATACCATAGAAATGGCCCAGAAACACCCTAGGGATCTCATAGCAACGGCTTAGCAAGACCTTAGCAACCACCTAGGATAACATAGCAATAGCCTAGCCACACCTCAGTCACCTTGGGTTTCATAGCAACTTCTCTTGCTCTTCTAGTTAAGTTCGTTCCCTGTAAATGACTGGAGGTGTTCACTAACAGTCTCAATGGAACAGAACCAAAACAGCTTGTTTAATTAAGGAAAAATTGTCTGAATTAGTTTTATTTTTTAAAGACAGGATTAATTACAAAGTAATCTACGTACCCTTTTAGTGTAAAATTAGCAGTTTGTTTTAAAGTGAGTCACAATAGCCTGCTGAATCGAATAATAATGATGAGGATTAAAAGAGTCACTCACTGCATCAGTCCCTTCATCCTTTTCAGGAGGATGTGGCCAAGCGACATTTTCGGCAGCAGCTCGGAGAACGAGACCCAGACTCTGCTGAACATCTATTTCCGGCACCAGACGCTGGGGCAGACGGGCACGTTTGCTCTAGTGGGCTCCAGGCAGGACCTGTCCGAGGCCTGCGCGCGGCTGACGGAGCTCAACTGCGAGATCCGGGACATGATCCGCCGGGCTCAGGGCTACCGGGCCATCACCGCCTACCTACCGGACTCCAGCGTGGCTGGCATCAGCCTCTGAACCATGGACTGCTGCGCTTTGCTGACCGCTGCTGACTGCTGCTAGTCCTGGCCCAGCCTGGCCCGGCCCGGCCCAGGGCTTTCTTCCCTCCAATCCGGAGATTTTTAAAATGTATTTAGCGGATTCTCTAATCTCAAAGCAGATGTGTTGAAAACAACACGTAGCGTGTTATTTTTAATACATCCATGTGTCCAACTAATTTTTTGAGTTACTTTTGACACAAACAATGCATTTTTAATGCAAAGATGTGTTCTAATTACTGGGTCTGTTTCAGAGATTTGCTGTGGTCTTTTGGCCTGATACAAAAGCAAAAAGTGTTCGTCATTTTTGAGAGCGCAGCACTTAGAGTCTTGCTCAGTCTAGGTTACGTTCAGATTGCAGGTAAAAGTGGCCTGAATTCTATTTACTGCCCAAATCTGATTTTGTTATTTGGTTGTTCACGTTATCTTTTTAACCTCTTATTCTCCAGGGTATATTTTGGTTTGTCCATCTGAATTCACATGACCAAATCGTAAGGCAAATTATTCAGTAACTGCATGAAATAAATGTACATTTTTATTTTATTTATTTATTTATTTTTTAAAGTTCCCCTCAAATTAACAGAACATGTGTTTTATGATCATAAACATATTGCTATATGCTTACAATTTACTGTTGAAAGCCAAAAATCTTAGACGCTCTTTGTATTATTTTATAAAAATAATTTTTACAGAGCAGATCACCGAAGAGACGCCATCTGTTTATAGTTTGTAGCTCAGATTTGTGGAAAAATGGGTCGACTTTCAGTAGACAAAAAAAAATCAGCTTCTTTTACTATAAGGGTTTAAAATTACATCACCCATCTATTTGACTGGAAAGAAGACAGTTACAGCCCTCATATGACCCCCACTTTTGGAATGTAGCTTATGAAATATGAAAGTTATGAAGAATATGACAAAGTGCATTTTGAGATGAATAGTATCTGACATCAGTCTGAACAGATTACGCTCCTGAACTGACTTGCATGTGTGAAAGAACACTGATCCTCCCGGGACACTCATCTGAGATTAACAGATTTTCCTTTCAGACAACACTGAACTTTAACATGTGCTTATTTATTTATGACACTCCTGCCTTTCTCTTTTATCTTTTAAAGAGAAACATGTAAAGCGTAACCATAGTAACAGGAGTTTAGATGATGTTGCACACAAAATTATGATTAAGATAGAGTTAGATTGATGTAAATATCACATGAATTCAAACAGAAGTCAATATCAGATATTGATCAGATTTCAGTATGGCATATGAAAGGCTACGTTCACATTACCAGGCTGAATGTGACACAGATCTGATGTTTTCAAATCAGATCCGAGCCACTTTCATATGTGGTCCTAGATCGAATACTTATCTGATTTGTGGCCGTGGAATCTTAATGAAAATGCTCCGATCGGAATTCATGTGTTTTGTTAAGTGAGTCACTTACCTACACAAATGTGAACAATTGAGTTAGAAAGGTCCGAGCAAAAAAAACAGAACTGAGCAATGAGGCTTGTAATGTGAACGTAGCCAAAGTGGCCCAAATCTGAATTGAGTGTCAGATTGAGTGTTTTTTGCTGTTTACATGCACTCAATAATCCGATCATAATTGGATTTCTGCAGTTATCTGATTATTTAAAGTGTCATGTAAATAGCATATTCAAAATTTCTTAGATAAAAAATCTGATAAAAATAGCTGGATTTTAGCTCAGTAATCGGATTTCTCAGTGCATGTACACTCTTACTCTGATTTCTTTCGGATTTCGTGAGACGGCAGCAAAACACTTTTGCAGCGACGCTGAAACCAAATACATGCTTTACGAAATAAAGGATTTAAATATTTTTCATCTTCTAGATGATGTATGTTCATATTTTCAGGTAAAGTCGTGCGATGTTAAAAAAAAACAACGTCTGAAGTTTTTCATTAAGTTTATGTCACGTCTTATTCCGTTAGTTTGTTGGCTGGTTGCAAAGCAGAAATCTGATTACTGCCTGATTCACGTGGACCTGGAGTTTTCCTGTTATCTGATTACTCAAGGGCATGTAAACACGTTGATCAGATTACTGACAAAATTACTGATTTTCTGCAGTTATCGGATTATTAAGTGCATGTAAACACACTCACTGTCACACAAAAACAAATCACATATGAAGAAAAAAGGGCATGGAGAAGATCGGATATGGGCCACTTTTACCTGCATTGTGAACGTAGCTTTATTGGTGAAAAAGATATTTGTCTTTTGTTGCACTAATATCAGCACACATGACATAGCAGGGCAATTCCTTCTGCCGTCGAGCACCCACTGGACAAACACCAAAGCTTCGTGACGCCCACGTCCACGTCTACCATTGTAAACTTTTAGGGAAAACGTGCAATGCTTCACATAACGTGAAAAGACTCTTTACTGTATCTTCAAAAGAATGTTTTTAAGCTGTAGTGCTTTGGGCTACTTGAATATACTGTAGCAGGTGGAACGATGCCGAATATTTCTTTTAACTGTCACGACTCAAATGAAGCTGACTTTTATGTTGCTGTGGGGCAAAAAAGAAAAAATGATCAGAGCACCTCAATCCATTGACTTCCACACACACACATGCTGCAGTGCTACTGTCTGAAAGACCCGGATGCCAAGGAAAGCCATCCGATACTTAATGAAGATGTAATTGTACTAACTGTTTGCTTCCTACTGTCCACTGGTTGCTTATAGGAGATTTATTTATATTCTCAAGAAATCAACATGCTTTGGATCGTATAGTTTTATAGAATGAAGATATGTTCCTTTGAAATGGCCAAGCATGCAAATCTATGTACTATAAGAGGAGATAGAAATATTTATGAATATAAAGAAACTATTTTAACTGAAGGTTGCATTTGTACAAAGTACTAAGAGTGGAGCCGATGCTTGTTACGTTGTGTTTTTTATTGTTCTGTTTTGCTGTTCGACTCTGCAGGCCTGTGCATGGCACAGACATGCAACGCTTTTTTGAGAGATGACAAAGTCTTTATCTTGTAAATAATGTTTCTGAGTTGTGCTTTGAGTTGTTCTTGAAACTTCTGTTACACAATAAATCGTTGAATACTGGTGAAACCATCCTGCATTAATGATCTGTGTTGACATTCAGAGATTTAGTCCTGCTTTAATGAGATACAGTGGCCCCAGAAAGTATTAGGATCCAAAGAAATTAAGTACTTTATTGGTACTGTACTTTAGTGGGCCTAACTATGCCCAATCTGGGAGCAGCACCGCCTGGGGCAGTGGGGGGGTTAAGTGCCTTGCCCTAGGGCCCAACCAGGTATACCTAGTCAGTCGTGGGATTTGAACCTACAACCTTCCGGTTGATGGCTCACGCCAGCCAAATTTTGAAAGAATATTTTGCCTGAAAGAAAACTGTTGGGGCGGCACGGTGGCGCAGTGGGATAGCGCTGTCGCCTCACAGTAAGAACGGCCTGGGTTCGATTCCCGGCCGGGCGGCCAGGGTCATTTCTGTGTGGAGTTTGCATGTTCTCCCCGTGTCTGCGTGGGTTTCCTCCGGGTACTCCGGTTTCCTCCCACAGTCCAAAGACATGCCGTCAGGCCATTTGGACATGCTGAATTGCCCCTAGGTGTGAGTGAGTGTGTGAATGTGTATGTCTGTCTGTCTGCCCTGCGATGGACTGGCGACCTGTCCAGGGTGTATCCTGCCTTCCGCCCAATGACAGCTGGGATAGGCTCCAGCACCCCACTGCGACCCAGAAGGATAAGTGGTTTAGATGATGGATGGATGGATGGATGGAAAACTGTTGAAAATAAATGCCATTTGGTTTGACATTTTGTTTCCCAGCAGAGTGAACTAAAAGTATGGTGAAAATGCCCAAATACTTCTTGGGGTCACTATCTCATGGTAAAAGCAGTGCCCATGTTTTTGGCTAGAAAAATTCTTTGGGTGGCCTTTGCACACAACCATCCATAGTAAGTGTGGGTACTCTATAGGCCTAGATGTTTTTAGGCCCAAACCTAGATTTAAAAAAATTCCAATGGTAATTCTCCACTGACACTGAAGTTTGGCCCAAGATTAGGCTTAATACATATCTAGGAAAGCGGCACTCTATGTTCTGGGGGAAATTAGCCTCATTTAGTAGCATAAACTTGAATTTAGTTACTCAGTTCTGAGTTCAGCATCTGGTGATTATGCACAGTTATCTTATAGTGTTTGGAAATATGCACTTGTTCTCAAAAGATATTACACAGACAATTGTGCAGAGAGAAGTCTACTGCAGCTTGTTTTGTTGCTTATAATTTAGTCAAATGCATTAATATTTATTATTTTTAGAACTAATAATAATAATAATAATAATAATAATAATAATATTATTATTATTATTATTATTGTTGTTGTTGTTGTTGTTGTTGTTGTTGTTATTTCTGGGTATGTAAATCTATTATGGGATCCAGGTGGCCCTAATAATCAAAAGACTTTGTATCAGAGAATAAATAAGGGGATAAATAAGGACCCCAATGAGAAAAAACCCTGTGTTATGTGACTCTCTAAACCTGTTTGAGTCGCCCCCTGCTGCCAAAAACCGGTATATATTACGTATACACTGTACAGTCAGCAGTCTTGAGGCTCTTATTATACTTCCTGTTAGACTTCACCACTTTTCATAATGTGTCTATAAGCGTCCCTTAATTATATAACAGTAATATTAAATTACAATTTTACAGTAAGATACATTATATATGTTTAAAATGGTCTTACAATATTTTCTATTTTAAGAAGTATCAGAGTCAAGCTTTATTGGCCAGGTATGCTTGCACATACAGGGAATTTGGTTTTAGTTACAGGAGCTCACAGTGCACAGTATCAGACATTTACATGTAGAGAATAAAATAAAATAAAATAAAATAAAATAAAACTACCTACCATCACTCACTCATACACGCCCCCCCCTCACACACACAGTCATACATGTAAACCTTTGAGTGCGCAAAGTATGAGTCTAAAGTTAAAGTAACAAAGTGTATTCAGATATAATAAACAAATGATAATACCGCAGTAATAACACTGAAGAATATTCAGATGTAATATAACAGCAGTCTAATATGATTAATGTAGTGGTGTGTATGTAGTAAATACAGAAACACGGACCTGTCGCTTTAAAACTGCTCCCCGAGCAGAGCGCACTGATTCGTGTGGCTTCCTTGTAAGCCCCGCCCTCCTCCAGATTCACGGATCTGATTGGCTCTCACCTCTGCTCTCAGTTTATTGGCGGGACTTTCAGCAGCGGGAGGAACGGAGCTTTTCGTTTTCACGGCGTGTGGTGAGGAGGAGGAGGTGACTTCAGAGAGACGTACGGTACAGAAAAAGAGATTAAAGTACGTTACAGACCGCATAACAACATGTCAGGAGACCGTACACCCGTGTCGTCATGTCGGTTGACGGTAAATTGCCTTTGTATCTGTTCGGTGCTGCGTTTTTATTGATCTCGTTCAACGGACGAACGGCTAACGTGGCTAACTAGCTAAGCTGAGCTACTCAGCTCTCCGTTTCTCCTGTCAGGATGTCGTTTAATTCACCTCTCCTCGCCGGACTTCAGCACATTTCCATGTAGTTCGCCGATAAATGCTGTTTTAGTTCTCCCTTGTAGTCTCTGTGTGGTGAAAACAGACGTTTGGTCAGCTGTTAAAGCAGAAAGCCGTCCTTCCGCAGTGTTAGCTGTGCGGTTGACATTGAGTTGTTGTGTTTTCTTCGTCGTGCGGCCTGAGAGGAGGAGGGGAAGAGGAGAGGAGGGGAAGATGTAGCTGAAGAGGTAAAAGAAATGACAGAAATAAGCGCTGCTGAATGCTGTTGGCTTATTTCAAAACTTACTTTTTCTCCCCCACATCTGAAAAATATAAAAGCCTCTTTCTGCCACTGAAAAACTGTAAGGCCATTTAATAAATCATAGTTGGGTGATTCTACAGAAACGTCCATTTTTGTGTCCCTAGCGTTTACAGATATATTACACTCGAAAAACATGTTAGGGTTACAATAAAACAAGGCGTTTTAACAATTACACCTTCTTGAGCATCAGTTTAGCAATATTGGTTTTAAAATCAATCATACAGAATTCCAGTCGCCACAGAGGAGCTCGTCCTCACAGTGATGTGTAAAGGTGAGGCCATATTTTGAGGTAAAAGACATGTTTTTCTGCAGTTTTAACTGCAGTAATTTATACATGACTATGAAATGTTTGATTTAAATGACATAAAGAAAACAAATGATAAATATTATAAAATATATAATGAAAGTTATTGTCCCTAGGAGTGTCACTGGTGTTACTGCATAACAAAAAATCTCTTATTTTGAAATAAAAATCACACTGATGACATTATTTAACTTCCTTTTACCTTTTTTCTGAAGATCTATGAAGAAGAGCACTTGGTGAGTTCACTGTGTCTTTTCAGTTATCAGAGATTTTCTCATTTAGTTCATGAATTCATATGAAGCTTTTAGCTGAAGTCACTGGTGTGACCTACTTTATTCTGAGGTAATTGTGAAAACATAAAATACAAATGGATTAAATTACATATTTTAGTGGATATTTCATGATTGACAACATGTGGTTTGATGCTCTGTAGCATTTTTGTAAAATGCATTTTTCATTAAAAATGTAACTGGTGTTACCTTTTCTATGTGTAACACCAGTGACTTCTATGGACAGATAAAAAAGTGGACGTTTCTGTAGACTGACCCAGTTCTGAGTTAGTATATCATAGTGATGACTTACTGTGTCATAATTATCACTTAGTATCTCATCATTTTGACTTAGTAAGTTGTGGTTATGACACAGTAAGTCATTATTATCATATACTAACTCAAAAGTAAGTAAGTGGACGTTTCTGTAGAGTGACCCAGTTACGAGTTAGTATATCATAATAATCTCTCGGTGTCATAATTATGATCTCATCATTTTGACTTAGTATGTTGTAATTATGACTTAGTATCTCATAGTAATGACTGTCATAATTATCCTAATTATGACGCACTATTTCATTATTATGACTTTCTCATAATTGAGAATTTCCCTGTCATTATGAGATAGTAAACAATTATTATGAGATATTAAGTCATAATTATGAGAAACTTTCTCCTTGCTATGAGAGAGAATCTCATTATTATGAGGAGATCATAATTGAGATAGTAACACATACTTATGAACACCTTTCTCATTGTTATGATTTGCTGAATGGTTATATATTTCCTCCCAGAGGCAGAAACAGACTTCTATAGTAAACCCTCTACAGTTCTGGCACTTCTGGGATGGGAGAAGTATGAGAAATGTAGTCTGAAGGAATAGCCTGCTATTTATTGCAGTTTCTATAAAGGACCCTATCCCAGCGCTCTTTGGGCGGAGGGCAGGAAACACCCTGAGCAGGTCGCCAGTCCATCACAGGTCCATAACTAAACTGTTTAGACATTTTTATACTGATTCCAGTTTTTTCCTCCTATAGGTCAACTTGCCTTCATTTCAGAGCTTACACTGACCAACACTGACCAACACTGGACAATATGATTGAAGACTTTTTCCATCAGATTGAAACAGGTAGCTGATCATGGTTTTATTTTGTCGGGCCATTTTCCCTGACATGGATTAAGCCTTTTCTTGGACTAAATGGTAGTACAAAGGGTAATCACCATAGGATAAGCCTGTCACAGTCCCATAAAATAAAGAAACAGTATATGTGACATATTTCCAAAAATCATTTAAGCATTATTTGGCAATTTTTGATGCCCTGTATTTAAAATAAATGGGTCATTAAAACTTAACCTCTTTAACTTCTTGAGACCACCGTTGGTTCCAAAATGCACTTTGTCATATTCTTCATAACTTTCATATTTCATAAGCTACATTCAAAAGGTGGGTGTCGTATGAGAGCTGTTACTCTTCTTTCCAGTCAAATAGATGGGTGATGTAATTTTAAACCCTTATAATAGAAGAAGCTGAACTCAATTTTTTTTTTGTCTACTGAAAGTCGACCCATTTTTCCACAAATCTGGGCTGTAAACTATAAACAGATGGCGTCTCTTCAGTGATCTGCTCTGAAAAAATTATTTTTATAAAAAAATACAAAGAGCATCTAA